TTGCTTTAATAGTAATTTTGCAGACTTACTTATTATAAAAAATAATATATTATTTAATAGAAACTTTTAAAATATATATAACTAGCTTGCTTTTATAGCTACTATAGCATTTTCTATTTACATGCTACGCAACTATAAAAAAGCTATAATAATACTTAAAGTAAAAGTATAGCGCAATATAATAATAAAAAAACTTAATTTATTTTTTAAAAAAAGTATTTATAAAGTAGTCCCCTTATTTAAAAGTAAAAAAATTATTTCTATTAAAATAGTTTATAAAGTTAAACTTATACTAATTAGTAAAATTATTAAGTTTAAAGCTTATTTTATTGCTTGCAGTTTCTAATAGCGCTCTAGTATTAATTATACTAAAATTTTTTTTTTATAGCTTGCTTTATATTAATACGCATACTGCTTGCTATTTATATATTATTTAAATAAATAAATATATAAATTAATATTATTATTATTTTTTTTAATACTATACTTTAAAAAATAGTTTACTATATACTACTACTTTTAGTTACGCTATTTCCTAGCTATATATAATTATTATTTAAATTTTTTTATAAGCTTGTGCAAGCGCTTTGTATATAGTATAAAATATTTATTATAAAGCTTATGCAAATAAATTTTTATATTTTATTTTATAATAACTGTATTTATATATATACTGCGCAGAAGCTAATTATTTTAGTTTATATTAATAATATTTAGATCTATGCTTTATATTAAAATAGTATTAATAAGTTTAAAAGTAAACTATTTAACGCTTTTACTATTATATTAAAAAACCTTAATACCTTATATTTAAAAATATATATTAAATAAAGTTTAGATACAACAAAGATTTACTAAGCTAAATATATTTAGTAATTTTTTAATTATTATAACTTTTACAATATAGCTGCTACTAAAATTTTATATAATTATTATATTAAGCTAGAGTAAAATAATAATAATATTGCTACTTTTACTTTTAAAAAGGAATACTTTTAAAAATTTAATTTTTTTAATTATTTATTAGTTATAACGCGTATTAACCTAGCCTACGCTACGTTCTTTTATAAATATTTTAATAGTAATTTAATATAGTATTATATAAATGCAATAATTAAAGTATATATTTATATAAATAATACTTGTAAAGTTAGTATTATATACAAAAAGCAGGAACTTTAGCTCTTAGGCTATATTAATACTAACTAAGCTAGATATTTTAATTTTTAATATTTTACTACTAGCTATATTTTTATACTAGCAAAAAGTCCTATTTTATAATTATTTATTATATAAAAAGTTGTAGCTTAGTTTATATATAAGGTAGAATATATAACTTTTAGCAAAGCTATAAAAGAAGCTATATAAATTAAGTTATTTATTAATAATTTTAATATAAGCATTTACTTTAATATAGTACTTATATATATTAATAATTAATTAGCTATTAAGTTTGCTAAGAACCTAAAGTTTTACTAATATAGTAAATATATTAATTTTTATTATTACTTTTTCTGCAACTACATTTAATAAAGTTTTATTATAATTAAATAAATTAGTAGTAAAAAAAATCCTGCTAATATGCTTATAAAAGCTTTAAACTTTATTAAATTTAAAATAGTTTGCTAAAATATTAGTTTTATTAACTAGGCACTTGCTATAAGCGCTATTTCTAACTTACTTAATATAAATATAAATAATATTATTATTTATAACTACAAGTTTTACAAAGTAGAATAGTATTTTATTATTTATATATTATAGCAGGAGCAAGCTTAAAAAAATGCTAAATATATTTAAATTTTAAAGCTTAAATAGCTTTATACTACTTATAGTATTACAGAAAATTATATAAAAATATAATTTAACTATATTAGAATTTACAAGTATTGTAATTATAAAAAAAAAGCATATAATTATAACTTTGTATAGCTTTACTATAGTAAATAGTATATAAACTATAATTTTAATATAAAATACTTTTATTATAATATAATACTATAATGCTACTATTCTTTTTTATTTTATCCTGTATTAAAATTTAGGAAGGCTATTAGTTTAAATTTTTAATATATAATTTATTATATACTTAATATACTAGTTTATATATAAACTAGCTTACTCTAGTTTTACTTTTTTCTGTATATAAATATAGCTTCCCCCTAACGTATTACACAGGCGAGTTGGTTGCCTAGTTAAGTTGGTTACAATGCTAAAACCCTACTAAAATTAGTAATTTTCTATTATTAAACGCGATGCCTTAATATAATAATATATAATTTTTTTAAAAAAAAAATTAAATATAGCTTATAGTTTAAGCTTTAAAATATAATGTAAATTTTTTTTAATAAAAAGCTACGCGGATCTATAGTATCTTTTAAATAATACTTAGTAATTAATTAAAAAGAAAGCTTTTATAATATAATACTAGGCTTAATAAAATAAAGCTTTCTTTAATAAAAGAAAAAATAATTACTTAGTATATACTTTACTTTAAAAACTAAAGATTTCCGCCCTAACTAGCTGCTATAAATAATATAGCTAATATTTTGCTAACTAAATATAGGCAATTATTTATTAGCAAAAACTAAGTTAGTATATTTATTAAATAATATTTACAGCTTAGTACTAGGACTTTTTAAAAGTATAACTACTAAAAAGCTTTATATAAAAATCCTAAGCTTATATAAGGCTAGTTCTAACTTATAAAAAATATAAAAGCTAAATATAGTATTTAGGATAAAAATATATACAACTTTAATAAAATAGGCTTTATAATAGGCTAAATATTATATAAAACTATTATTTTAAGTGCTAATTATTAAAGACAGCTAAAAATAGTGCAGTAAAGTAATTAAAAATAAATAATAGTAATTTAAAGCATTAATACAATAAAATAAGCTATTTTATTTTTTATTATTTTTGCAGGCAAGAACTACTTCTTAGCCTAGTATAAAAAAAATAGCTTATTTTATAATTAAATTATTACAGTTTTTAAAAATAGCTAAATAATAAATAAGCTTACTTTTAAGTAGTTAAAGCACTTTAATAAGTATACTAAAAAAAAAGTTATTAGTACTTATTATTTATTTATTATTAATAGTTATAAAAGCCACGCATTAGTTTAATTCTAGCAGTACTATAAAAAATAAAAAATTATTACTTTTTATATACTTCTATATTTGTTGCACCTGCTATAGCTACTTAATATAAATTATTTTGCGCTTTTAAAAAAAGTATATAAGTACTAAGCTAAAAAGCTAATATATAACAGTATTAACTATATTATTAAAATTAAGTTTTTATTGTGCTTTAAATTAGCTTTTAATACTACTATTATAAAAAGTAATATTTTAAGTAATTTTAAAAGTGCTAGTCTAGTTTTTTTTAACTTTAAAGCTATAATATTAAAGCTTAATATTTAATTATATATTTTACTACTATTTACTGTTAAAGACGGTTTTTAAAAGTTAAAAATACTAAGCAATACTTTAAAATTTAAGTTTTAATTAACGCTAGTTAAAATAAAAATTTAAAAGTACTTAAATAGTTCTTTTACTTTAATAATTAAAGCTTTTAAAAAAATTTTAAAAGGTGCAGCTATAGTCGCGTATAAATTTGTATTAGTATAAAAAAAAATTGCTAAGCTTTAAGCAGCTAATAAAGCCGCTATATAATAAAAATTATATAAAAAAAAGTAAATATAAAAAAAAAAAATTTTTATAGTAGAAAATAATTTTTAACTAATAATTTTAAAAGAATTTAGGGCGCGTAGTAATAAAAAAAAAATAAAAAAATAAGTATATATTAAAGCAGGTAAGCCCTTTTAAAAGCGCTATAAATGCTATAGTAAAGCTAAGTATAATGCGCAAATATATAAGCAAAAAATAAAAATAGTTTTTAAATAAATTAGCTTATTATAATTTATTATTATAGTTTTTTACGGTGCTGTACTGTCGTGTATAGTACTAATTTTAGTAGGGTTTTAGCATTGTGACCGACTCGACTGGGCGACCGACTCGCCCGTGTAATACGTTATATATAGATCTATATTAATATGATTACCTTTCTTCAGTTCTACAAGGAACCGGGTAGTTTGGTATAGGCAGATCGAGAGTATGCCGATTGAATGTCAGAATCTGCCAGAGGCGAAAAGAAGAAGAAGAGTTACGCAGCAAGTCAGTGTTGGTACAGAGCGGACGTCGAGGGGGAAACAATATTTCTAAAGTAACTTTTGCATTGAGTAAACTTTAGCTACAGCCCACCCCATGGCTTCTCCCTTCGATGCTCATCGCACAATCCCCAAAAATAATCACACCAAAAGGTTCCTTCCTCCAAAAAGCTTCCGTACAGAATCCATCTTTCTCCAAATATTCCAAAGCAATAAACAAAAGGGGGGGTGTGAATCGAGTCACAAATAGGGGGTATCTCCAAACTCCAGCTCCACCAGAGAAATAGTAGCAGTTGTCGTGAGCCTGCGGGAAGTAGAAGTAGGAGGGGTGCCTCGGGCAGAGGTGTTTCCATATGCCCTCCAGTATGGCGAAAGCAGCGTCTTGAAGCGCGCGTTTCGACCAATCCAACAATGACATTGACAAAAATAGGGAGCGTAGAAGGGGGTACACCGACCACAACAAAGGTGGTGACCAACAGTTCGTAGAAGAAGAGTATAATAGAACCGAGAAGAAACCCAGAGCAATCCACATTCGTCAATCGTTTCAAACAAGAGAAGAAATGCCAATTACAAGAGTAGTATCCGGACTAGGGTTGTAAGGGTAGAGTAGAAGTGAAAGGGGTAGTATCTAGGAGCAAAAAGGCTAAATGACAAAGGTGAAGAGAAAGGGTATGTAGACATGAACGGACATCCTCGTGATACGTGAAACAAGCTTGAGCGCTGTGTGCCTAGGCCAGGCGCTTCCAATATATGGCAGTGGTGGATCAAAGACAAGCACCAGTCGATGATGCAAGAAGCGAAAGGCGTTGCGGCTACTCAGAGCAGCAGCTTAGAGCACAAGGTAGACAACGCCAGCAGCGAGCGCTGCGACGAAGGCATTCGCGTTCAGCGAAGAGGCGGCGCCAGTGAACTGGGGCTGGCTGGGCTTGGCCTGGGTGACATTGGCGTGAGAGCCAGTGCCGGTGGGTGCGATGACAGTGGCGTTGCCGGCATGGTAGGTCGGGTGGACGGCAGAGATGGTCGACGTCTGGTTGGCGACGCTGGCAGTGGCAGAGCCGGACCGGGTGACGGTGTTGACGCGGTAGACAGTCGAGGTGATGTAGACGGTGGCATCATAGGCGGCGTCAGAGGCAGTGCCCTGGGCAAACGCAAACGCGACGAGCGCGAAAAGGAAGAAGACGACCTGCTGGAAAGAGCGCATCTTGATAGTGTTGTTTTGGTGGTGGTTGGTGGTTGTTAATGAGGGAATGCGACCGAGTGTTGCGGTAATGTGACTATTGCGAGAGCGCAAAGCTGTGATATCGAGTCTGATAGTGCGGTGAGGCGTGCGACAGGGCGTGCGTTGTCTGAGACTTGTCTCGGGATCGTGTGCGTGTTGTCTGAGAGAGCGAGAGACGAGCGCGTGTTGTTCTGCGACAGCAGTGTTGGTAGTCGGTGACTAGATAGTGAATGAAGGTAGATGTTTGCTGGCAAGGAGCGTGGTGAGCAAGGCTCTGGAAACTGAGTGCGACGGTGGTCTGAAGAGAGCGACGGGGTAGTGCGTGTGTATACGGGCTGGCTGGGAGGGGAGAAACGAGTGGGCGTCTGGGGGGTCTTTATGAGGCGCAATTTCCCATAGCCTGGCGCAATCTCGGTCGACCATGAGCGCTAAGGGCGCCCCCACTTGGCCTAGCGCTGCTCGGGTTCCTGACAAGGAAAACGGCGATCTAGCGTCTGCACGGCAAATCTCTGCACCGGACCTGCACACCTGCCTGGGGAATCTCCCGGACCCACACAAAGGGCGAGATTTCAACGGCTGCACCCTTCCTCGACGAGGCTGGCAGACGTCCCCAGGGCAACCTTGACACCTTTCCTGGAGAGAGACTTGGAATGCGCCCAAGACATCTGACTACTACTGACTACACGGACAATCTATCTCCAGACCACAGCTTCTCACACCCCATCCGTTCCACCACCACAGCCCGCGCGCACTGACTGAAACATGCGCAGCGAACTGTTGCGCACTGGGGCCGTCGGGCGCGCAAAACGTGACTGGAGCCAACAGATGCGTCCTCACTCAGGTACCGTTTAGCCCTGTGGAACCGCACCCGTCGCGACATCACACAGCGGCCAACCAAGGCCAACCAGCACGCTTTGTCTGACTCGGTCCCACGACGAGGCGGCAACGTGGTTGTGCGAGAGCGGGTGCAGGCTTCTGTTACAGCACCTTGGCGTCGAACGAAAAACGCTTCAGCCACCCGACAAAAGGACGGCGAGACAAAGACAGACGGCTCAAAGGCCATGTGGAGAGGGCAAAGAACTTGCAAAGAGTTTGAACAAGAGTTTGCGCGTCCTTTGCGTCAGCGTTGAGCAGGACAAAGAGCTCAACAGCACTGTGTGGCAACAACCAGGCAGGGACTTTTCACTTGTGTACACTACGCTCGCGCCGTAGCACGCGAGCGTAATCTAGCCCCAGGTCACAGCATGGCGCGCTGGTAGCTGGTAGAACCCTACGGCTCCTCTTCTCTTCACCGTGACATGACACACGAAAACACTAAGCGTTGGTCAGGTAAAGGACAAAATAAGATTACCATTACCATTACTCCAGCCAGCCAAGCCTTCTCGCTATGATTGGCCATAGTCGCCACCCCTGCCATTAACTATTGCTTCTCATTTCTTGAACCGCCCCCATGCAACCATTGGCAAGCCATCGTGATGGCAGTGGCACGGAAAGCCAGCTCGTGCCTCTCCTGGCCCAAATCGCACAAGCCTTGCCCTCCTCATCCATCGTACAATTTGGTCGGCACAAATGATTGACTTCGCAGACTGATTGCAACGCCGTGCAATTTCAAGCCAGCCCCAGCCCCAGCCCCAGACCAACCCTAGTGCCACCTCTTTTGAGGCCCAAGCCAAGATGACAATAGACTTCGCGACGCCTGTAATACACAAAGTCAGTTACAATTCCATATCATCGTGAGAGCTTGTGCCGTCTACCCCTTGCAAGGCTACAAGGCCCCTCCCAATTCCAATTTCCCTCTTATGGCTCTAGCCCGCGGTAGACACCATAGGCTAAGTGCCAGACTCTCGCCAAACAAGTCGCCAAAGAAGAGAGAGAGAGCACGAAGCGCGTGCACGTACCTTGAACTCTGTCTCAGCACGCGTGAGAGATATACGCCCACGGCGCATCACTTCAATTTGAGTCTTGGACGTTTGATCAGCGCGCAAAGACATTCAGTCGGCTTCGACCACCTCGGCACTCTCCCATAGACGGCGGCAGATCTCGTCGGCTTCGTTTCGACTTTGAGCTTCATCGCTTTCAAAACTCTGTAGGCCTTCAAAGTCGCCCTCGTCACGGTTGGTCCTGCTGCGGCTTGGGTCACGCTCCAAACTGACTCGCGACCTCCGCGAACCTGCCCCATCGGTTTCAAGGCCAGTTTCGTGGAAACTTGTGCTTAGACTGCTGGTGCCGTGCACGTTCGCGAATCCGTTTAGGCTTGCCGCCTTGGGTATGCGTGACTTTTGCGACATTCCGGGGGTTTGCTGAATGCGCGCGAGTGCGTCTGCGAGGGGGTTACGATACCTTCGCACGACCTTGTACTCGACCGCGACATTGTTCAACTGCTGCTGCAAGCGAGGGTCAAGACGCCCCTCGCCATCGGCATTGTAGTGCATACCAGAATGCAAGAAATTGGGGCCGCCATTGCGGGGAAGCGTGACTGGAACCAGCTTCTGTGGATCAATGTTGGACGACGCACGCTGGAGCATGAGCTTCTGCTGTGTGCGCGATGGTGGTAGGTTGTTGTTTGGCGTGTTAGTGCCTGAGCGCTCAGCTGCTTTGGGTGGTGCATCTGCGTCGCTGACGTTCGGCATCGATTTGTTCCTCTTGCTTCGGCTGAGCTCGGCCCCTTCTACCGTTGAAGGAGTGCGCGATGGCATGTATCCTCCGACTTTCGGTGTGCCAGCTGAACCATCACCGTCCATGAAGCGCGACACCAGATCTCTTCCTGGCGTATCTACGAGTGTAGAGCCAACACTGGTGCTCATCAGGTTGTGGCGATCCGATGAGGACACCGCTGTTGCTGCGACTGATGAGGTTTGTGGAGGGACGTTGTGAGAGGCGCTACGCTGTAGAAGCCGTGAGGTGATCATGTCAGCATCTGCTGGCCGTGAGTGCTGGTGAGAGCTTCCGCCGTTGGCCCGAGTGTTGTTGCGTGTGCGATCGGTGAGGGTTTGGGTTGCTTGAGTCGGGGGCTCTTGAGTGGCTGTCACTTGAGATGATGGTTCTCCCCTGTTGTTCTCCATGTTTTCTAGGGCTATCTTGTGTTGTGCCTCGAGTATGACCGAGTTGGAGCGGGTATTCGACCTCGTTGTATTGGGTGATTGAGATGCGCTCTCTTCGGTCCAGCCGTCGTCACCGCCCTCGTCGTCGATAGCCGCGTCGAAGTGAACGGTAGCGTGGGCTTCCGGTGAAGGTGGACGCGACTTGTTGTGGTTTCCTAGCGAGCGCTTTGCTGCTGGTGCCTCGGTCTTGGACGCTTTCAGTGCGTGCTTTGCATGTCCCTGACGCGCCAGATGCCCACTCGAGAAGTTCTTGCGCAAGTTGGCTTGCGCTTGTACCTGTTGGTTTACCCTCACGATGGCGCCCGACGATGCATTGCGCTTGAAGCTTGGACGAGGACTGCTAGGGGCGGACACTGAGTTTCCTGACTGTGACCTGCGATGGTGTCGCCCTGTGTTCTCTGCGGCCTGCTGGACCTGCTGGCCAGCTTTGGCCAGCTTGTTTAGATTCTTGCCTGCGGACAGGTTCCTTTGCACGCGTTGGCCAACGACATGGCGCTGGACCTTGTGTTGGACGGGTCGTTGAGGGCCTTCGGACGGCGACTGCGAAAGATGCGACTGCGACGACGACTGTCTGGTCATGGCGGCTGGCCTCTTGGGCCGCGAATGAGATTCGTCGGCAGAAGCCATGCTGATTTCTGCCCGTGCGGCTGCAGCTGCGTCCTTCAGCTCGATGTCTGGGCAGCTGTTTGGCTGGAGGTTTTGCGAGTGGTGCTGCGCGTCAGCGGTTGTTGGTGGGTAACGGAGCGGCCAGCGTCGACTCTGGTTGTGCTGGCAGCTGGTTCAGCGGGCGGCCATGGAGCTCAATGGTGTGCGGATGGGCGTTAGAGCGTTGTACAGCGTGTGCCACGTTAGGCCCAATGACATCTGGGAGCCATGGTGGAGTGCATCGCCAAATCATCAAAAGCGCAGGGCGGTGAGAGCCCGAGCCCGAGCCGTTTTCGGTTCACCGCGGCGGTCCAACGTCATACAACCGCAACGTCCGCATTCCACCCGCTTTGTTACTACATCCCTACAATTAGTTGTTGCTACAATCCGTACAGTTCCTCTTTGTTGCTGCATCCTTACAATCATTTGCTACTACGATCCTGACAATCACTCGCGTGGTATCACCTCACCATTGCGGAGCCGCCCTCACAGTTTGCAGCCGCACCAGCTTCACCGTAGACCTGCTTGTAGAGTATGCACGTTACATTTAGCTACCCTATCTCTACAGTATATGCATATCGTCCGAGTCTGTCTTTCTCTCACATCATATGTGGCTGTTATGTCCGTTAAAGCCATATCTTCGAGTTCTCAATCACCTGCCTGCAGCTGTTTGTGTACCCTAGAAAAGGAAACATAGATGATGAGTGGGAAGGGGGGTCCTTCAGAATATTGCCCACGCTTCGAGCAATTTTACGACACCCAAGGAGTCACTCCTTGAATCGTGGTGTTCTGTAAGTATATACTATTCATACGAGTATTCTCGCAGCCGTCTCGACACCGCGTCGCTAGTTGTTTCGTTTCGTTTGGATAAAAAGTTCTCCTATTGTCATTCTTGCAGAGCCCAAACTTCCGTTGGACTGAGTCACGTCTTGAACTTTAGAGCGAACTTCTTCAGCTTCGCTTTCAACCCTCGCCGTTGTGCTGCTCTTTGCTGGCTGAGTTGTCGCTGTGTAGAATTCATGCCATCTATGCATCCGAATGATGACGTAGTGAGGATTGAGGCTGTATGCGACCGATAGGATGGTGGAAGTGGTCCCGTGAAGTACGTGGGAGCATCGGACAGGTCGCCGACAGATTCCTCCCGCATGAATGCCGCGACTGCTGTTGACGGTCGTGTATTATCTGTGCTTCTCACCATCGGTCTGAATGTAGCACAGACCCGTCGTTCTATGTTATGTTCACCGTCATTGAGCCTCCTATCTGCTAGGGTTCCATGACGTTGGAGTAGTCTCTCGAGCGATTGATGACCGGCTGATGGCAGTCTCGTCGACTGCGTCGTTGTATCTGACGTTGATGGTCTTGTCACAGGACGCAGGAAGGACCTAGATCGAATCAAGAGCCTAGGAGGTCCGGCTGATTGTGTCTCCTCGTACCGTATAGCTAGCAGCGGCATTGAAGGCGATCGCCTATTCATTTGCTTCCTGTCTACCGAACGTTGAGATTTGGTGCGCAACATTGAAGGCATCTGAACCTGCAATCTCTTGGTGTGACGACGGAACGACTTCACCTGCTGGCTATGGGATGTGGATGGCCGAACAGTCTCGGGCTCTCCAACAATCGGGATAGCATGTTGGACGCTGGCTGAGTCTTTGACGCCCGGGATGGTAGCTGTCCTCCAGTAAGAAAGTCCACCCATCAGTGGAGGGGAGGGCGAACTTATGCTGGCCTCAAGCCATGCATTAACGTCCCGCATAACGCCGGGGTCTGGTCTCGATGGGCGGGGAGGAAGCTGGATCGAGGGTTGGAGTGAAGCTCGCTCGATGTTGATTGGGATAAATGGTAGAGGTGGTTCTGCAAATGGTTCTATTGCCGTTCCTCTTGATGGCGCAGTTCGAGGCCGCTTGGGGGATATCCACCTCCGTGTACCGTCATCTTCGTCACCACCTTTAAGTGTTTGTTTTGATGCTGCCTTCCGTAGGTGCCGCTGCAACCACATTTTTGCTGTCTCATGTTTACTGTTCGACGTGGAAATTGTGTAATTGGTAGTCGTTGTCATGTTGGTTGTATGTAGAAGCGCTGCTCGCCGAGCATATCGTGCGTTGATTGATACGGCGATAATGTCTGAAGTGAATGTGGAGGACTCGAGGTCAGCATGGAGAGGGTGCAAGTTGGCAAATGAGCTTGGAGAGCCATTGTTGCGGGTAGGAGATGTCGATTTGCTATTGTACAATATGGCAGTTGCTAGTGAGTGAGGTCAGTGCGAGGTCAACGCCTCAACGGGCAGTCACCACAATAGCTATGGGCAGGTGCTCACAGCCACAATCGTCGTCCTCTATTGACTCAATCTCATACGCATGTAGATACTTCCAATGAGATACCGCAAAGCATCATGGATTCGCAGCACACACCACCCTTCGACCATACATTCAACTGCACGTGCATAGGCGGATCAAGCATACAAGTTATGTAGCATCGAGTCAAGGCCAACGATTGCATACACGCTGGGAAGTGAGTATCCTATTAAACTAAAACTATGCATTATACGAATCACCCAGTATTCGAAACTTACTTTCATAAGCCAGGTGGATATATACACCAAGGAACTGCAATCGACGAAAGCTCAATCGATATCAACTATACTTTTAATCGAAGATACGATATTGCCTCCTCCAATGACCAGCTGAATCATCACTGCAAACATGGCGTCTCACAGGCTCACCAATCACAACCCCGCCACTCGACTCATCCTGAGCCAACCCAACCCGCATCTTAGCTTGTCGCAACCGCCCTGCCAAATGCGCTAGCCTTGTGTAGTCGTCTGTTGAGTACGGGTATATCAATTCGAGTCGCTCTTTCTTTTCTTGTGACGATTACCTTACAACGCAACTTTGACGTGGGTTATCGCGCAACTAGTGGCTTCCTACACGATCAAGCAACAATTTGTGATTTACCCAGGACAAGATGGTGCGCAAGGGCAAAGATGCGGCGACTTCGGCAGCGGAAGAACATGTAGGAGGCGGCCATATCACGGTTACGGCGCAGCAGTCACGATATGCACTTGATGCTGTCGATGCGCCCGCTTCGAAAGAGGTGAGACACAAACTTCAACTACTACCCCTGAGATGCGTCATCAAAATTGACGCTGTTAGATTCTGGTCAAGGATCTGTCCATCTCGGTTGCAAATCGAGAACTGCTGTCTCGTACCACACTGCATCTGATCGAGGCACGGCATTACGTCCTAGTCGGTCGAAATGGCACCGGTAAGTCAACGCTGCTGAAGGCAGTCGGCGATGGATTGGTTCCTGGGATTCCTTGGAGTGTTCGGATACTACTCTTAGGTCAAACGAGAGAAGCGGATGTCGAAGACCAAATCCAAAAACTTGATTTGAAAAGCGAAACTGTGCTGCAGTATGTGGTTCGAAGCGATCGAGTGCGAGAACGGTACATGCGAGAAGCTAAGCTACTCAGCGAAGCCGTCGACCACCCCACGGACTCTATGGCTCCGGTTCGGGCTTACAGGCAAATCAGACACGAGCGGCTGGCGCTTCAGCTGAAGGAAGGCCACCGTATCGCTGAGAGGCGGAGCGGTGCGCGGGGCAAGCAGGCTAGGAAAGAGCTGATCAAGCTTGAAGAGCGTTTTGCGGAGTCGGAACATCGCTTGGAAGAGAGCGAGAGCGCTATAGACCCTAAGAAACTCAGCGGAGACACGCAAGCAGCCGCTGATATGCTCGCGGGTGTACAAGCATCCCTCGAACTCATGAATGCCGAGGAAGCAGAAGCGAAAGTCCGGATCGTACTACTAGGTCTAGGGTTCAAGGAAGATCGCATTGACAAGCCTTTGACCGAGCTCTCTGGTGGATGGAGGACGCGCTGCGACCTTGCATGCGCGCTAACGCAGTACGCTGATGTACTCTTGTTGGACGAGCCGACCAACTTCCTCGATTTGCCATCGATCATCTGGCTGCAGGCCTACGTCCGTAACTTAAAGGGCACTACTGTCCTGGTCACCACACACGACCGAGACTTTGGCGACGCGGTAGCTGAGGAGCTCATTGTCCTTCGCAACCAGACGCTCGAGACGTTCCGTGGCAACCTCAGTCTGTATGAGCGGGAGAGGTGGAAGAAGGCGAGATGGATGACCAAGATGAAAGATGCCCAGGACAAGCAGAAAAAGCACATTGAAAAAAGCATCGCGGGCAATGTCAAGGCAGCCAAGGACAAAGGTGATGATAAAAAGCTGAAGCAAGCTGCATCCCGAAAGAAGAAGCTTGACGAGAGGATGGGGGTACAAGTTGGTCTCAAGGGCGGTCGCTTCAAGCTCAATCGTGACCTAGCTGGTTACCACCTCACCAATCGTGCGGAGATTGACGTTCCAGATTTTGAGCCGCCGGTCAAGCTATCCTTCCCGCGGCAGCCTCCAGATCTCAGATTCCCTGGGGCACTGGTGAATTTGGAAAAAGTTTCCTTTGCGTACCCTAGGACGAAGACGGGGCCTATCTTGACGGACGTCGACCTGACTATTCATCCAGGCGTCAGGATAGGACTCGCTGGTCTCAATGGTTCCGGGAAGACTACGCTTGTCGATCTGATTGTAGGGAGCGGCGGGGAAGGAGGTCTGACGCCTACATCTGGCTCGATAACACGCCATGCAAGAGTGAAGATTGGACGCTTCTCGCAGCAGTCAGTGGAAGAGATCACCGCCATTGCATCCTCTAACCCACAAATGACGGCGCTCCGCCATCTCATGGACTCATCTGGGCCCGAAATGCAGGACAAGGATGCGCGATCGAGTCTGTCTGGTCTCGGACTGCACGGCCAGACCGTCTCAGATGTACCGCTTTTGTTACTATCTGGGGGTCAGAAGGTCAGGGTCGCGCTTGCGAAGTTGTTATGGCCACCGCCACAGCTGCTCGTTCTCGACGAGGTTACGACACATCTGGACGCCGACACGATTATGAGCCTGGTGGTGGCGTTGAGAGAGTATGATGGTGCGCTGCTGGTGGTAACGCACGATCGTTTCTTTATGAGGTATGTCCAGCTGTCACCTTCTCATTCAGTGTTCCAGTTTCTATGACATAAGACTGATAGCCTCGCAGAACCGTAGTCGAGGGAGAGTCACCATACTCGCTAGCGCCAGGGGAATGCGGTACCGGGGACGAGGCTAATGAGAGCAGTGACTCGGACGAGGCAGAGACAGGGGCGGCTCCAGGCACCGTCTATCGGCTGGTCAAGGGCCAGCTCAGGAAGCTCAATGGTGGCATGGAGCAGTACGAGGAGATTGCGGGGCGGTCAGCGGCAAAGCTTGGGAAGACGCGAATGTAGTACGGTGTGGTGATAGGCAATTGATACATGATGTATGAGATATGAGGTACGATGTATGATGTATGATAAAAGAGCCGCCTCGTCCAGGCGTGTCGACGGCGCGGTGACGGTGCGCGGTTCGCGGGGCGGTCAAACGTTCCCGCCTAACACAGATGACTGCGCGCCACTTGCGCGCAAATCATCGACGCCCCTGGGCTTAGGGCAGCCGAGTAATATTGCCCCAACGCGTCGCTCCTTTTGCATACTGCACCAATTGGTTTCTTCTCATTATTAGCCCCAGACATTGTCATGCCCTCCTTTTGCGTATACATTCATACTAATTTGGCTGCCATTATGCGGTAGCCGTACCCTCAGTCAGCCCTCCAGCAGGCGTGCATGAACGACAGGCCATTGAAACGAAACAAGCTTGAGCTCGAGCTGGGGGTTCCCTGAATGACCTCTGCCGGGCATCATGGGAGAAGCCGAATCTACGACACCTCACTCGACAGCCGAATCCCAGCTCAAAGCCGTCAAAGACAAGAAGTGCCCCTTCTGCAACCAAGCCTTCACCTCGAGCAGCTTGGGGCGACATCTCGACCTGTACATCCGAGCCAAGAACCCAAAGGCACCCGATGGCGTGCACATTGTTGACGAGATACGGAAGCTACGGGGCGGAATCACAAGGCGGCAGGTCAAGGGCAGTGTCTCGACGCCGAAAAGAGACGACAGCCGGGTGAGCACGCCGGCAAACAAAAAGCTTAGGAGAGTGAGCGGGGACTCGTCCATGCTGGTGGAGAGCCCCGAAGACGACGATGACGAGCTGCAAGTCGGCAGGGCACGGACCCAAGGCAACGACGGCAAGCAGCAATCCTCGAGGCTCGGCACCAGGGCAGTAGACGTTGGGCGAGATGTATCGCGGCAAATGCAAAAGGCGGACCTGGACCAGCGGAGCAAGACGAGCGAGGAAGCCGAGACAGCAAGGGCTACGGAAATGGCACTAAGGGAGCTACTCAAGAGCGTGCGGGACGCCAAGTATGTCTGTCCATAATGCTGCTGTGACTTGTGTTAACTGTCTACAGTGCGAAAGCATTAGGCCCGGGCCTCTTCGACTTCGACCCTTACACGCTCAGCTTCCCATCGCTTTGCCTCCATATCCTCTCTACCCCGGCCACCCTCTTCTCGCCCACACCCTTCCCGACCTCCGAGTCTTGGTCTATAACCCCGCCTGGACAGAAGCAGCTCGACGCGCTGAATCGCCAGGTCCGTGAACGCCTGCTTGCTTACCAGCGGCAACGCCATATCAACACAGTGTACCCTTCGGGCACACAGTCTAACGCCTCCTCCGCTGCAAACTCGCCGCTACCCACCCCGCCGCTCGTTGATCCCGACCCACAAAGACTGTTCTGTCATATTGCCGAGGCGTACAACCACTGGATTCACCAGACAGATAAAACAAGGCACGAGTACTGGCAAATTGAAATCCTGCGCTGCTACGCGCGTGCTACCGACAAAAGACGCGAGGTTGAGGTGCACCTCGAGAATGCACGGAGAGAAATAGATTATCTCAAGGCCAATCGGTGGACGTCGGGAGCACCTGAGGTCTCACCCATTCGTATCAGCCTAGCTGGTGACGCTACGAAAGAGCTCGGCAAACATGGCATGGAATTCCGCAACTGGGATTACGACCGTCTGATCGACAAGTGCAGGACAGCCATTCGGGAGAGCAAGGCTAGCTCCTCGGGCATGGCGGCGCAGCGACCTCTCCCTGGCGGCCATGCTAGTACCAGGAGCTGCTCCATGGCCAGTCTTCCACCTCAGTTCGCCACTGTTAATCAACCAAGACAGACTAGCCCGGTCAAGGTGGAAGGCGCCATGCCCTTCACCGCGCCGTCGACTGTCAACGGCGACACAGGCAGTGATCAAGTCGATGCAGAAGGTGATGACGACGACGACGACGACGACGACGACGACGACGACGATGTTGACCTCAGCCCACAGTCCGAAGATGAGGATCCGATGAACCACCTCCAGCATCAGGCCCCTCAGCCTCTGCATCAACAACAGCACCAAGACTATGGGCTGGGAGCACCGATACAGCCAACACCCATCCATCCTTCGCAAATCCAATCTCAGATGCAAGCAAACCTCCACGTCACACAAGCTCAAGCTCAAGCTCAAGCGCAGGCGCAAGCTCAGCACGCACAAGCCCATGCTCAAGCACAAGCACAAGCTCAGGCCCAGGCACAGGCACAGGCATGGGCCGCTGCACGACAACACATGAACCAATCTCGAAACCAGGACTACCGGCCGCACCAGCACCAGCACCAACAGCTTTCACCGCATGTGCAGCACATTGCCTCTGCTAACAACAGTCGACGGCCGTCATTGGCCATGATGGATCCACACGCCATGAACAATAATACGGTGACTGGAATGAGTGGATCCATGGGCCTATCCACTGGCATGGAAGATCTAGAGCACCACCAAGACCAGTTCCTTCGAATGGAGATGGGACTCCCGTCCGGATTCGTTAACTCGAACGACGGAAGCGTATCGATGGGCACCTAGCCTTGAAGAAGTGTAGAAACACCACCACCCGTCTAAGCACGAACATAATATTTCCTTTACGGTGTACAGGCGTGAACGTTTCTACAGGGGATAGGGGGGGAGTTTGCATTGTTCCACTTTCTTTTGTCGCTTCCCTTTGTTGATACTTTTTCGCGTCGTTCGTTGTACATGCTCTCATCGTTGTCTCTACTTGGCTCTGTTTTTTGCATACCCACATATACCCTGTTTTGCATACGCCTCTCTACAGGCTTTACATATATACCCATCATTAGAGCTTGCATACAGCAAGGTACATATTATACTTAATACTAGACATTCCGCGTTCATTCTGCTTGGCCATTTAATCTGGATATCTGTGGTGAATCTTGTCTTGATATAAATCCTTCTTTATAATAAGCTCGAGTCCTGCTTCTCCTGATTACTCCTAACCTACCCACTACCCCCAAGCCCACCACTACTCATAAACTCTTCATTCTGCTCTACACGAGATGTGCGAGAGTGCTTATATTCCACCAGCACCAGTCCATCCAGTACATCGCGACTCCTGTCGTGCGTCACTCTTCCAGACTCCTGAGCTCCCTTTGGAAAGTTGGACGGACGGGATGGTCCACTAAATTGCGTTTGCTGCTGTGGTGCATTCTGCGCTTTAGCACCTTGACGACGGAGTTTTAGTGTTGGCTGCGGTTTGGAAGATGGAGGGGGTTTTGATGGCGGTGCTGGATTGGGCTGTGTTTTCGGTCTCGAAGGTGGTGGAGTTGATTTAGATGTCAGCGCTGGTCGAGTGACTGGTAGAGAAGATAATCCCGCTCTTGATGTACGAGTGGTACGCCGGCCTAAGATTTTCTCAATGACTAGGTCGCTGGGACTTTGCTGTGTTGAGGGGGAGCGATGATCACGTACGCCCGACTTTTTCGGCGGTGTTGCAAGATGCTGATCCGTGCTGCTATATGAGGGTCTGGATGGTGTTCCTTTTTGCATAGTAGGTTTTGTCTTTTGTTTCCGTCGTGATGGTGATGACGACTTTTGTAGTTCCTGTACGCGTAGTGTGTACTTTGGTCGCGTGTCTGAAATGCCTTTGAATAACCTGCCGTTTGCTGAAACGGGAGGCACGCGAGCGGGAATTAAGTGTGGTGGGAGAAGTGTTGGAGCTGGCTTGGGTAAGGGCTCGAATGGTTTGGGGTGGGAAGTGTCTGTGTTTGAATCGTTGGTACTGTTGAAACCCGTCGTCTCATTAGGCGCCTCGCCATTGTCCTCTTCTGGCATTTCGGCTTGTTCTTCTTCGGTATCATCAGCTTCTTCCACCGTGGCCTGGTATCGTGCACGTTCTCGAGCTTTCCTCTCACCATCTCGTTCTTGTCTGGCTCTTTCTTCCTCCTCTCTATACTCCGCTGCCCACTGCTCCAAGTCCAGCTGAGTCTCTCGATACAACAAAGCCAATTGTTCCCAGACTGCACTAGTCACAGTCCTCAAGTACGCTTCTGTTCGCCTCACAGCCTGTCTTCCCGCTGCGGGGATAACTCCATACCGAGCATTCTCGCGCTCTCGCATTTCTGCCGTGACGCGCACTTTGCAGGCTCGCTCTCGTTCTCTCTCGGAGTTGTATGCAGCGTCGGCATCTTCTTCTGCTCTGCGCCTCTTTCTAGGCCTCTTAGTCTGGTAGTCACGATGACCTTCATACTGTATCGGAGAGTCAGGGGCTGACGCGCTATGCCTTTGCGGATAGTGAAAGTTGTTGTTTTGTGACATTGCTCGAATTAGGCAGAAACAATGTTAAGTGAATAAAACAAAACTGGTTGATTGAGGTTGCGGTACAGTGATCGTGTGGGTGAGATGTGATATAGAGTTGAACAAGGAACAAAGGCACGCGATTCGACAAAGAGGTGAAAGGACTTGAGCGACGTAACAATGAGCTCGAATATCAGTGCGGTGAATTGTTTTCCTGTTATCGAGGGCCTTACGGTATTAGTGGTGTTGAGCGTAAAATGAAGTTATAAGCTATAAGTGAAGTGTTTTGCTGTAGGGAATCTGATTAGCACTATCAGCCATAGGATTGGGGGCCTACAATGAGAAATGAGGATCAAGTAGAAGTATTTTTCTTATCATGTAAATCTACTTACGTGTCTGAACATGCCGCCCAGGGTATTTCATACTTCCTGATCTAGTCATGGTAGTTTTGTAGCTCAAACATACTCGATGCAATCTGGAATAAGTCCACTTGTGCGCAAGGAAGCAGAGTAAGATGCTCCAAACTGTTCTTCGTCTGGAGGCGATCGTTGATTGGAAGATTTGTTGGTAGGACATCGCGTTGGCTTGTCGACTGAGCATGCCGAGAAGAGCACCCGACACCCCTCTTTTCATACGAAGCTACCCTTTGGCCTGCTTGTTGTGGAAAGTCCCTATGCTCTGAGTGCTTGGTGTGTTCGCCGGAGATTCGGATAAGTTTGGTCCATGACGGGCAGTTCTTCTAAGCCGGAAGAATTGACACTGTGAAAGTGGAGAGCAACAGCTCGGATTTATCAGCTAGGTGGTGTTGAATGGACTGTCTAATACCATTCTGACGAGTGGTCCTTGCCAACACCTAACAACGGTGGGCTCTCGACATGACAGTGTGTATTCCACCAGAAGTATAGGAATAGAAGCTTAAGAGCCGATTCGCACAAGACGCGTGGCATAGGACTGATATACAATATGAACATGAGATCAGTCGAACCCGAGTAATTGTGTTCGTACCCGCGTAATCACGGGTGTTTAATTACGTTTGAAGATTGGTGGCAGATTGGCTGACGAGGCTGGGCCTCGAGACTGTCTATGCCCCGAATCGGTAACTATGGTGCGAGGGCGACACGGAAGACACAAATGCTAGCTCGTCCTGTATGGTCTCTTCAATCAGAGCCTGGAGCTTCTGAATTGTCTTGCGGCCCTATAGGTTTCTCAGGTATGGCGAAGGAAGGGAAGCAAGTGAGGAGAAGGGGCTTACCCACATTCGATCGGAACTCCTGGGGAGAATGCCACCCTAGGCCTGATCCGGCAATATGCATCGGACCCCTTGCCACCCCAACGCTCCCTTTCCTCTCAACACCAGCAAGGCGGCCCATTCGACAGGCAAGACGCAGGCAAGCGAATATGTTGCGAACTGGGATACAGGCAGGATGCCGTACGAGCCGTTTGACAGTGCCCGGCAGCGTCCCGTGACACACAGATGGCTCGCAGTGATTCGCCACGGCATGTCGGCTATTGAGCTTAGCAACGGGTGGCTCGGACTGCGCCTGCGCCTGCGCCGCAAAGGGCTGCAAGGCCCGCCAAGTCCAATCTCGCCCCGGCGCGGACCTGAGTGCGGACCTGAGTAGTAGACTGACCGCTGACGGCCTTTTTAACTGTGCTGAGCCCCCAATCTGCCAGGGACGTCGCCCCCCTATCGTCAACACTCACCGCCGCCCTCGCCTTCTGTTGCTCCTGAGGCTCTCAACCACACTCCTGGACACGCGCAGCCATGATGATGAAGCTGCCGTCGGCTGGAGGGCGGAGCCCGCTGTTCGCCCTCGCCGTGAGCTCTGGTGTGGTGCTTGTCTTCATCTTTGGATTCATGGCTTGGCAAAGACCATCTCGAATACCCTTCCCGCATAGCGCTGGTTCGACACATTCAGTCATGTACGTTGTAATCTTTGCGCCAGAGATGGGTTGGCGAGGAACCTGTCCTGGCTTGCGATGGGTGTGGATTGCCACCGACGAGCCCAACTGACTAGTGACCCCCTTAGAACTTCTACGGGCGAAAGAGTCGACATTTCCATCAACGAGATCATTCGGTTACTCTACGACGGTCTGAAGGCTGCGCCGACTGAGCCTTTCATTCGCGAACCCAATGGTAGCCACATTGAGCTTCCTTCGAGGCCGCGCTACAAGAAGAAGATGGGCAGCGACATCTTGATCCTGGACTTGGAGACGAGACCGCTGCAGTCGACTGAAGATTTCAAGAAGGGCGAATACGATTGGCGCAATATCAACCACGTCTCTGGTGGCGTCTTCAACCACTACACGTACGCGCTCATTCACGGCTACGACTACAAGTTCATCCACGCGCACGAATTTGAAGACCGCCACGCGACCTGGATCAAACCCTCTGCGCTTGCGAACCATATCAAAGACTACAAGTTCATCGTCTTTTTGGACGCTGATGCTGCTTTCCGCTTCCTGCATGTACCCATTGAATGGATGCTCAACTACTGGGACATCAAGCCGCAGCATTCTTTTGTCATGGCCAAAGACCCATGGGACCCGAAAGAACCTCAATACAACTCGGATCGATTCAATCGCACATACACCAACACTGGCTTCATGATTGTTCAGAACAACGAAAATACTATGCCCATGCTGAAAGCGTGGCACGAGTGCCCCGAGGATACGAGGTACGCCAATTGCTCCCAGTGGAAGCAGCCCAAGTTCCACGAGCAATCCGCATTCGGCGAGTATATTCGTTACGATTACGACAAATATATCAAGGAGCTTGACTGTGGCGAGGCGAATGGCTTCCCTGGTGTCGAGATCAGCAACTGCCAGGGCAAGTTTGTGCGACATTACTGGTTCGAAAAGCACAACGTCAAAACAGATTTCCGCGAGAACATCATGAACGCCATTACGCTACCAATTCAGAAAATCTTCGCAGAAAACAAGGGCGGTGTTATTATTGAGCAAAAGCAAAACGCCATTCATGCATGATCAATCGCTTACGAACGAAGAGAAGGAGTTTTGGATCAATATGTTAATGAGCAGCAAGAGTATAATCGCATAGCATAGCGTTGCATCATCATGGCGTTTCGGTTTTGAATAGTGGGTGGGGCGGTGCTCTTTTATCTGGTTTCCAGCAATTCGCTTTCGATCTGGGTTCTTCGATGCGTGGATACCCCAATACGAGTCTTCGTTTGACGACATCGACACTTGGTTACGCAACCTTCCTTTCGTTCTACCCTGTTGTATTACCATTACTTCTGTGCGACGCTCGGCTTGTTTGTGATAGTCCGCAACGGCATGTCTGAGCCACCGCCAGCCGTCCCCGCGTTGCCGCGCGATACGATTTCTGTAGCACTATCCCTTGCGAATACTACAATCACTACGTCATTTTTTTTTTGCAGACAACACGGTCTCTGTTCTTCGAATCGCACCAATGCTAGGGTCGCCTGGACATAGCCATCCTTGATGGAATGCGCCAAGCCACTATCCCTACACAGCCACATTCCTACAGCGGGCCGAAACGAACGTGATCGTGGGGTGGAAAACTGGAGCTTTGCTCGTGGTCGAAACAGGGATATCAATCCAGATGGTGTAGATCGATTTCTTCCCCACTCCAAACAGGTTATTCGACAGCTTCGTCGCTGATCCCTGGCCGTTGGAATCGCAGGTTGAAAAGTCGCCGAGCATAGCCCCACAAGCCCCCATAGATCTTTCAATACTTTCGCTTCGGGAGAAGCCCTGTAGCAGCAACCTAGGCACTTCTCCCTCATTTTTTTTTCTACAGCATATGGCGTCTGGACGATGAGATGGCAGATGTCGTCTTTCAGAAGACACGGAAGCACGCAATCTCAACAAAAGAAGGCGTTAATCACGCACAAGTCGGCTAGACTCCCTGTATGTACTATCATTACGTTACTCAACGAGAACTCGTGGTAAACTCGGCGGTAACTGCTACAATTGAATTGAATTAAACAGTACTCTGTTCCGATATTGTACATATAAGTAATGAAGGTAGCTGGCGTTGACAAGCCCTATCCATCCTTCGATATCTCTCTATTGCTACTTTGTCTTTAATTCCCTTCCTTTTCGTATGGACCAGGGCTGGGTGGCTGTGCCTAGTGACGCTCGCGGGTGTCAGAGCGAGCAGGTGCAGGTTCGGGTTGGGATGTGCGTGTGTTCTCGACACTCACAGCAGCGCTGCTTGATCGCGCAGACCTCGCGTGCTCCAATCTGGACCCCAAACGTCCGGCTTCGAAAGCTTCTTCATCAAAATCTACTTCTCTAGGTGCACCGCGTCTCTTCTCGTCCGTGGCATTTCTTGTATACATTCTGATAACCCTCGGGTGTTCAGCTTCGAGAGCGTCTGTATCGACCTCCACTAGTCTAGGCTTCGAACATCCAGGAGATGGCGCCGCGACTGCAGGCTGCTCGTCTTTTGGTGGAGGCGTAGGACGCGGATCGGGGGTCGGTTTTATATCTGCGCTTCGCTCGTGTCGCGGGCTTTCGCTGTTGTTGGCTGGGAGTGACGAGGTTCTGCGCTGTATAGCGCCGAAGAATGGGTTTGGGTTGTGTGGCATGTTTCGATTCGCACTGGGGGTGAGGGCTTGGGTGTAGGAGGAAGAGTTTGAGGGATGTACTGGAATTTATAATTCGTTGTTCGTCGTTAAGGTGACTGCTGTTCTATTCTACCAGTCATGGATGACTGATCGCAGTTTATTGACTCGTCGGTCATCGTACAGGTTGCCGTGGGAGCAATGGACAGTCTAGTAGGAGGCAGGATATATTCTTTTATAAATAGTTGGTTGATTCCCCTTCCAGGCTTGGAGGAGTGCGACGATCATATTGCATGTTCACTTAATCTCTTACTGCAAAACCATGATGGAATGTTGTTCATTACATTATATATGAGAAATAATTCTGTACCCGTTCTGAGTAGCTTTAGCCTAGCTGTAATACAATACAAATTCGACCATCAAATGCCGACAGGATAGTTTGCTAGGAGGTCAATGATGCGACCGGCGAACCTAGTTCGCAACGCAAATATGATAATGATGTCAGGGTATCGGTAGTACTTGGTCAGGGTTGTGCTAAACAGCCAGATAAACGCCAAATAATGCTTCGTCGCCATCTATATTTCCTTTCTAAGTGGGGTTGCAATATAAGCGAGTCATACTGTGTTGGTGCGCCTGGCACTCCGACCATCGAGCGAACCTTACAATAAGTGACCCAAATGATGTCGACTCAAAAGCAAGTCAGGCGCAAAGTTCGCCAAGTACGTGACATCGGCCGTGTTAGCAACATGGTGTGCTGTCTCCTCAAGGTTGTTCATGAACATCTGGACATCACCCTGTGGGACATCCTCCATCTCTTCATCCACATCGAGGTCCATATCTTGGAGGTTGTCAACGTCTTCTTGCTCGAACTCCAGTGTCGACGCCTGCCACTCTTCAATGTCATCGTCTGTGAAGAACGGCTGCTCACTTGTGTCACGCTCATTGGATGACTCACCAAGCTCGTCTTTCGCTGCCTCGTTCTCAAATTTCATTTCGAATGAGCTAACTGAAAACGTGTCTAGATCTGCCAAAGCCGAGCACACAGAGGACGGCAGCGACGAAGGCATGGAGCTTATGGAAGTCCTAGGAATAGAGCAGGAGTCCAGATCCTCATAGCTGAGATCAAGAGTGGTGAGGTACTTGCTTGAATAGCGACCTGTCAGAGGTCTCTCCAGTGAGGCTGGGTCCATAGTATGCGCATCTGAAATGGAGAATCGAAGGCGAGATCCGAACTTGGCGTGAAGTGTGTGGGCGACCCCCGGGGCAAACCAGGCGTTCTTCAGTTCGATGCAAGTGGTTTTAGCGACCCCTGATGCGAGCAGTTGGAGTAGCGCGACGGTAATAGGGTGGCTGATGTCCAAGATCGAATCGTCGACGCGGGAGTTGAGAAAATGAGAAAGCGGGGACATGATCGTGATACTGAGCTCGTCGAGCTGTGTGCCAATAGCAGCTAGGGATGCGATAGTAGTTGCGGCCTTTTGTACACTGGGTGTTCTCGCCTGTCCAGTCAAGGTGTATATCGTCAGACGGCGCAGAAATTGAATATACTTATCGGCGATCGGAGGGAGAATAGTGGCGGCGCCGGTAGTAGTGGATGGAGCATAGATGGCGATGTTGTTATGCTGATAAAAGTACGACGTCGATTCCTCGTGAATTTGCTTGGAGACCATGAATATTGCGAGTTCGTTGCCGGCAGGGTGGCTGTTGCGAAGAAGCCCTGCGTAGAGGACGTTGCGTAGCTCGGCTGGCAGTTCGTTGAATTTCGCCATGACAGTTGTAGACAATGCGTTGTTTCCGAAGTATTGAGGACGATGAGTCTGAAGATGGGGGAGCGATGTCGTTTTGTGGAGCCGGGCGCGCTGGCAGACTTCAGGGTGGTGCCGTAAGCAGTCGGATTATGTTGGACAGCCAGTAAAATCGCCAGCTTGCATCCAGGTCACGTTGAAGTAGGGGCGTGACACGAGTGGCAATTGACTGCTGCCTTATGTGCGGCGCGGAAGGTGTACACACTTTTCTCGCTGGTTGAGGAAACTTTAATGATCGAGTCGTAAAAGGAGGGGTGGCAGACGGAGCAGCTCATCTAGGTCCCGCCGTAGCGTGGTGGGTGCGCGCGCGTGTTCACAATCGTGACTTGCACTAGTGAAGCGACCCAGCGTTTGCTTGTACGAAGTAATATTGAAGGGTAGGCTAGATGTGCCAAGCCTCATTACCCATGGGATGCGTACTCTTTATGCATACGCGACGACTGTACCCGATGACTCAACCGATTCGTATGCGTACATCGCCTCAGCCGAGTCCTCCAGCTGCGTGGCTTTCAACACATACTTGCCAAATCTAGCCAATGACGTGACTTTGAAGACCTCAAGTGATGTATACAACCTGTTGACGGTAGTACGCCTCAGGCAGAAGCCATACTGAAGATAGTGGGTCTACCACTAGAAATTGCGCAAATCAAATAGAACAGCGAATACGACATCGGAGGTAAATGTATGGTACAGCCCCAACCGCTGCAGCTGACTTGTTGGCTTACCTAGATGTCTGATCCAGCAAAGTATTGCCAGCACATGACCATGACCATGCCCGCAGAGTACCTGCATGTTCAGCCTTGCGTAAGAACCTAATCTCTAGTTATCAAAGGCCTAACACGCTGACTCTCAAGCATCTTGATCTTGCCGACCTGCTTTGATCCCCACATCACAAAAAGCAGTCGCCAGTGGTATCGTCGATACATGCACCGCAGTTGACTATGCAAGATTGGAAATCATTAGAGGCAAAGGCAGGCATCGTTCCTACAGAGCAATCGAGGAGCGAATTGGGCGCAGTGTATTTCGTGACATGCAAAGGTGCTGCCAAGGAAGGGCTAGACGGTGACAGCCCTGGTTATCGATGAGTGATGGGTCGATGGATGAAGGCAACCATGGGCACGCAACTTGGAGGTGACGTTTACCGGAGCCCAAGTTGTTCCGGCGCTACGTAATCGATAAGCCACCCCTTTCTTCACATCTAACTCCCATGTCATCAGCCTCGTCTCATATTACTGCCGGCCTCTTCGTGACGAATCGAAACCAAACACGTGTAGGGAATCTTCCACGCTGCGCTAAGTACGAGCCTCATGTTGCGGCCTCGTGATCATGACTCCATCATTGCATTATCTCGTTTCAAATGGACACGCGCTTCTTTCCACGCTCAAAAAGAGTCACAGGGTCATGATATGTAAATTGGTTGCACAATGGAACGCCCAGTTCATAGACTGTTTTAACGTCCCAGTAGACGTCATGCTCAAGCCATAGGGCTGCGGATGTTCTACGATGAGGACCAGTTTCGCATTTGAGGCGTTGACGAAGCCTGCCATCAGCTGCTGCCGCCCCGACGTTGCTGCAACACGCATTACACTCATCTGCTAGTTTGAGTTCCATTGCTGTCGCTTCCGCTACACACTATTCAAAGAAACCGTGATCCTCGCGCACCCCGACGGTGTTGGCTCCAGGATCGATGAAAGCCCATCTCCGACCCCTCGAGTCTCACAGTTGTACTTCGAGTCTATTTTTTGTCTAAGCAGTGATTTAGCAATTTCCCTCTACACCTCCAAGATGAGCTACCTTTTCATGAGCTTATCTTCACGCTTGCCAAGCGGCTCAGACGTCCGGACCGTGATGATCGCTGTTGTTATGGCTTCGACAGATGAAGTCTGCGGATTGCACGTCGGACAGAAGCAGCGGCTCAGGCACGATGGCACAGACGTCTCGATTGTGGAAATCGAAGAGCTGAGTGTACTGATTGACGGAGGCGTTGAGATGAGAGTAAAGGACCTAATTGCTAGGGTTGGGAGATGAGATACCGTTGCGCTTGTCAATTTCAAGATGATGTAAGATAAGATAAGATAAGAGCGAGTGCTTGTGAGCAAAATGGAGATTCAATGTTGGAAGAGCGGAAATATTTTGGAAACAACGTTGATTTGAGAGCAGTAGGCAATTTAAAGGCTAAATCAGGCAATCTCGCATTGTCGGTACATTAAACATTTAGTTGCAGCATGCGCGGGATATATGCATGCTTCCTGTTCTTCCAGTCGAATCCTCATATAATAATGTAACCTTCATCTCTGATCGTTATCCTCTCTGTGCGTCGCGGTACCGTACCGTTCATTGTGTCGCAATACCGCTTTTACAATATCCAGAGAGTTCTCCGAGGCCCAAAATTTATTTTATTTCTCCCCTCTCTGTGTCGTGGTAAACCAGCCCGCATCTTAAATGACAAGGCCGGCCCCGTTAACTAGATTAGGATCTGTCACTGCCTCAAAGGTATCATTGGCGAGTCTTCGCACGGCCTCGGACTCAGAATAAGCAGGTGCTACCCATGTAACGTTATGACCTCGATGAGCAAGGAACTCGACTGTTGCGTTGTCGTACGTGTACTCAAAGAGAGTTTGATAAGGATTGAGCTGGTCATGCCAGCGAGGCGTGGATAATGCTGATTTGATATCAAGACCGCGATCTAAAACGTTCCATAAAATTTGAACCACGGCGGTAATTATCCGAGATCCACCGGCCGAGCCCGTTGCAAAGTAGAAAGATGAATTCGAGAGGTGTTCGACTATGATTGGACTCATCGACGACAGTGGAGTCTTTCCGGCGCGTACAAAGTTAGCTGGAGCCGGGATGTATCCAAACCCGTTTGATATACCAGGAACTGAGAAGTCGTTCATTTGATTGTTCAATATGACCCCAGTTTCAGGGACCATGATATACGATCCCCATGGGTTGTTCAGGGTTGTCGTTAAGGTGATTACCATGCCTTCGCCATCAGCTACCACGATATGTGATGTGCCATCGTCATCATGAGTCTGGAAGCCTTTTGCATCATATTCTGATGCATACAGAGTGTGCAGATCCGATATTTTGGCTCTGTTGTGGACTGCAGTCCTGGCGCTTGCCATATGTGCTTGATATATTCTCGAGTCGTTCACGAAGATTGGATCTCCAAGGTGTGGTCGCATGCCGTATGCAAATTTGACTGCTTCAATAATCCTATGCGTACTCAAATTCATCAACGATGGTGTGCCAATATCGTCATAGCCCTCAATCAACTTCATAGCGCTGAGTGTCACGGCTCCACTGGCAGGTGCTTCGCATCCGGTCAGTTTGAAGCCCCTGTACGTGATCGTCAAAGGCTCGCGGATCCTGACAGAATACGAGGCCAGGTCATTCATGCTGATAATTCCCCCAGCTCTCTTAACTGCTGATATTGTCAACTCAGCAATATCTCCAGAATAGAAAGCCTCTGCACCCTGTTCGGCGATACTGCTGAGTGTGCGCGCATATCGAGGACGAGTCACATAGTCCCCAGCACCTACTCGAGTGCCGTTAGGTGCGAAGTCCTGCGACCAAGATGGATCTTTGACTAGGAAGTCGGTTTCTCCGTAGTCCAAATAGCGAATCAAATCGGCACCGACTGGAAACCCATTCTGGGCTATTTTGATGGCTGGCTGTAGTAATCGTTTCCAGGGAAGCCGTCCATAGGTTTTGCTAAGGTACTCAAGGCCGCGAAGCTCACCCGGGACTGCGCTTGAAGAAATCAGCGCAGATTTCGCTTTGGAAGGATAAAAGGTGCTACCTTGAGTTTCCACCGTGAAGAGAAGACTCTATTGCTCCTACGAACATGTCCTCGAATGCAGCTGATGGAGCAGTTTCGCGAAAGTCAACGAAATCATACGAGCTATTCGGACTTCGAACCAACGCGAAGCCTCCGCCTCCAATCCCGCTGTGATACATGCCTAGTAAGAGTGAGAATGCGCCTTTCGCATAAAATGCGTTGTAGCAGCTTACCGATTACACCCACACAGAAGACAGTACCTACCATCTACCAATACGTTAGCGGGGAACGAGGCTGAAGAGACCTGACTTTACAGCATCTGCAGCGTTTCCGCCCTCCCGGATAATCTCGATCCCAACGCTGGAGCATATTCTGCTCTCAGATGCCACTGCACCTCTACTTCCGGGGTGGCCATACTTTGGCCCATGGGTGGGATGCTGGGGTGGGTTGTAGACTTGCGGGGAGAGTCGAACATAGAAAGCCACAGTTATCACGGCTAACACTAAAATAGTGGCAGACAGAACAATATCCCTTGGTTGCAGGGCGAAGTATGGCATGCTTTTTGATAGTTTCCCAAATCTGCCGTAGCATGTGAGGAAGATGGCGAGAGTGATGAATTGTTATCTTACTAGGCTGTGATTGTATTGGGGGCTGACGTTCCCTTATGCACGGACACGCCGCGTGAGCGCTGCGCACGAACTCTTACTCGCAAGCACATGCTTTATATAACACAGCATACTAACTTTCGGTACATTATAGGTGGAAAAAGGACTTAAGATGTGCTTACGCGGTGAGACTACCTTTTAAGCAGTTGTTATATCAAGAGGTTTTTAAACGTAAGTTATGATCACCATGAAAGATTGCCCATATTGTATCGTGCAAAAGCTTGGATCAGGAAGTTTCTCGACTTTGTGGCTATCTCGAGATACAATTGAGAACAGATACATCTTCTCCAAACGCATTGTCGGCAGACACACTCCTGAAGATCAAAGAACCACGAATTCCAGGCCATTGCTACGACCTCCCTCTCTCACCCAGGACGATTTGCAGAGAGCTCTCCGAGCTTTACAACTTATTCTTCTCAGCCTGGCTACTGCCAACGCGGCACCTCACCGGCAACACAGCCTGGTCCTGGCGGAGTCATAGCGAGGGTATATATCCTTCGTCGTCGTTTCTAGGAGAATCGACGACTTCATCAAATGGCGAGATCCGGATTCTCCATCGGAGATATTATGCTTGTCAGTGATTATGCGTACAGAGTGTACAGGTCCTGCAAGAATACAGGCGGCGCTATCAAGTCAATCACATTAGACAGTAAGGACGCAATTAATCGGATACAAACGTCTACTGATAATCGCATGGCACAGTGAACTCACTGCGCTCAGGGGCAGACTGGTGGACCACTCTCTGCTCGTTGGAAACATTCCATTAAAATTCATGTGTCGTACAAAAGTTACGGATGGTCTTGACTTTAATACAACATCTCAATCAAGCTACCGCTCGACTCGCCACCTACTTCCCAAGAAGCTTCCCAACATACTCCGCAACAGCCAACATTTTCTCCTCCTGTAGTCTCCGCCCTACAATCTGCAAGCTCACATGTGCACCATCGTATATCTCAGGATCATCTATCACATCATTAGCAAGCAGCGCAAGACCAACTAACCAAACAACAACACCGCAACAACTTACAATCATCTTGTATACCCTTATCTCTCTCATCGATCGGCTTATACTCTTCTTCAACTTTATCAACACTCTTATCAACATTGCCAACCGGCACAGTAACACTCGTATAATCCAAAAAGTTCACCCACGTCGAATACCCATAATACCTATACCTTCCCGGCCTAGCAGCGGGCCATGGCGCCAACGGACAAATCACCGCATCGACAGGCCGCCCCGTCCCCGTGAGCGCCTGCGTCCCAACCCAGTAGTCCAGATACTCCTTCTTCAAGCGGCGCAGCTCGACGTTTGTAGCGGCGATTTCGCTGGCGGTAAACTCTCTGTCGAGGGAGCCATAGAAGTCGATTTGCGACGCCATAGGTTCGCCGGAAAGAGCGAATGCAGAGCGCACGTCTGCGCCGCCATCGTAGATCCACGATTTGAAGCCGACGTCCTGGATGGGTTTGTGCGATGGTGGGTCCCATGGGATGACCTCGTGGCCGGCGGATTGGAGCGCTTTGACGAGCGTATCGATTGCACGACGGATAGGTGGCGTGGGGTTCACAATCCCATCTGTTCTCATCACACCGAAAGAGAGTTTTCCGCCTGCCTTTTTGGTCCCTCGGCCATCGTGCACGTTCTCCAGGATAGCGTTCTCGTGGTCGTAGCGCCAGGGGATTTCGTGGACTAAGGGGTCCAGTAGCCATGGTTTTTGATCGAGAAGGGCTTGCGTGACGAGGCGGAGAGACGCTACGTTGGATGCGATGGGGCCCACGACGGAGAGAATACTGTTCTGTCCATCCATGGAGTTTGCCATGCCTTCGTATGGGAGACGGCCTGTTGAGGGACGCAGGCCGTATAGTCCGTTGAAGGCAGCGGGTATCCTTATCGAGCCGCCTATATCTGTGCCGAAACCTACTGGTGCTGCGTACGCCAGTCAGCTAATCAATCATACTCTAGCATCAAGGAAAGGGGCACTGCTCAGAAACATGATAATGAACTTAGTTAACTTACACCCCTTCACCCCAATCAACGCCCCCTCCCCCCCAGAACTTCCCCCACTAGTCAACCTCCTATTCTTCGGATTAAGCGTATACCCGATAATGTTATTCACCGTCTCGCCACTCATCAGCGTATGCGGGACACTCGTCTTACAATACAGCACCGCGCCCGCCTTCCTCAACATCTTCACCATCTCACTCTCATGCACTTTTTCTTTCCCCGTACCTGTCTTGCCTTCAAACGTGCCAATCCACCCCACATAGCCCATGCTCGTTTCTACGTCTTTGACGTGGAATTGGTCTTTGAGTGAGATGGGGACGCCGTGGAGGGGGCCGAGGGGCTTTTTGTGTTGGGCGTAGTATGCGTCGAGGGTTTGGGCGGAGGTTATCGCTGCGGTGAAGAAGATTTCGTGGAGGCAGTTCAACTATTGCGTGTTTGGTGGTTAGTGTTATACAACATGAATTAATGTCGAATGAACAGTTTGGGACCCCCTTATTTCTTCACCTGGTTTCTTTGAAATCTAGTATAACAAGACAGCGATATGCAGAATACACAATATCGAATACTAAAACTCATACATACAAGCTGATGCGCAATAGCCGCCCGATGACAAAATGCCCTCGCAACACTTTCAGCCTTCCACTCCCCTCCACCCACTCTCCGCGCAATCACATCGGCACTACACTGCGTGATCTGCACCTCTTCCTCGCTCAAATACTGCTTGATATACTCGGTGACATCGACCTGCTCGTCAATGGAGGGGGGACTCTCGATACGCCATTCTGGGGGTATGAGGGCGAGGAGGGAAGCGCGTTTCTGCTCGGCGGTATCTTGCCAGGTTGATGGCGGCATGATGCTTGAAGGGGGTTAATGGATAATGGGGAGGGTGTTAGTAGATAGGATGAGATGGTGATGATTGTCAGCTAGCTCGCTGTCAGGCCGAGTGTATGATAGCTTGATAGCTTGATACCTAGTCATAGAGGTGGGGTAGCTCCATTATACATACTTAGTCGCCTTCCACATTGGTACAGCTCCACGAATAATGCGGAATCAGACCGCTTATCGGAACGAGGAAATTGATCCTAAAACAGCTCTCACTAGAACATATTCGTGAGCTGTACATCGAACAGTCGCAAGTGGCGGTGATTGTTTGGAGAAAGGCACGTAAATATATGGAGAACTAGAACTTGGAAAAGAATTCATGCAAAATAAACCACGTCAAATCTCTTCTCTAAGTATGTAGGTATCTGAAAGTAAAAGGGCCTAAAACAGAAGCGTAAATCATGCGAAGCTTTAGATCTCAGCATGGATACCGTGTGATGCCCATGAAGTTTTATAACTAGAAGCAAGATCGAGTTCTCAAATGAGAGCTGTAGCTCAAGTACCCGCGCGTTGTACCAGTCTAAATATACGGAGAACTTATGGTATCGTTCCATGCGAGCAAGCGGTATCAAGGCGAAGAAAAAGCGTTAAGCGTACGAAGAACTAGTCGTTTCGATCGTGAATTCGAAACTCATTTATACGGTTTCGACGTAGTTGCTATGACTCGTTAGTGGCTGCACATTATTGAAGATGGTTAGGGATAACGTACCTTGGGAATATTCCTTCCCTGTCACCTACCCTTCCTGTCCACCAATCTGTCTCGTTGTCTGTCCTCTTGAGGATCGTGATGACCTCACCCTTCTTGAAGCCCAGATCGCCAGGCTGATCCGCATCAAAGGTGAACTTGGCAATCGCCTGATCCGAACCTAAGCTTGCCCTCTTCTGGCCAAATACAGGCTTCGGTGCTGTCGGTCGTCCAGGCTTCCCACCGCGGTCACTGTAAGCGTAGTCGTCGCCAAACGTGGAGGAGCGACTGCGTGAACCTAAGCGGTCGCGTGAGTCCAGGCTGTCGAAAGTCTCGTTGGGGTTTGCGCGGGTGGAGAAGGAGCGATTTATGCCGCCTGCAGATGTAGGCTGGCGGTCGTAGACGTCGTCTGCCCAGGTCGATGCGCGCTTGGGGCGGTCGCTGTATTGGTAGTCGTCTGCCTGGCCCACAGAGCCTGTGCGGTCTCTTCTGACGCCCTCGCCCATTGCGGAGCCCTGGCGACCTTGCCAGACTACGTTGTCGTGCGAATCGTCGTAGACGGGGATATCGTTGTACATTGCGTCATTCTGAACATTGGCTGCACCTCCCACACCGGCGAAGACTCTTGAGTTGAGAATGCGCAGGAGTGGTTCAGCAGCGGGCGGTGGAGGGACCGAGCCGCTGAGCAGTTCGCGCGCTGTCCAACGACGGCCGTATAGCTTTTCGTTTGCATCTCTGCGCTCGATGATGCCGCTGCCCTCCAAACTGACACCAGCGAATAGCCCCTTCGTCTTGCTGTAACTGAATATGCCTGCTACGCCCTTCAAGCTTGCTGCGCCGGCAGCTTCCGCATTGCGCCCGACGGGTCCCGCTGCGATGGAGACATTGCCTCCCAACGTCAATGACCCTGCTTGTGCGAATGTCCTGACCGCGGACGCGTCGTTGAGAATGAAGACGAAGTCGGTGAGCTCGAAGCCAATCTGTCCGCCGAAGCCGCCACCGATTGTACCGACAGCTGAGGGTGCTGACCACGAGCCGTCGGCGAGACGGGCGACGACGACACCTGAACCGAAGCGCGCTGTGCCAAGGAAGCCCGCCTTGAAGACTGTGAGAATCGCGAGGCCCTACAGAATCTCATGTCAGTATATTCCTTCTGGTCTTGCAAACCCCAGCCCGCCATCGCAGCTCGGGTGATGCTGGGCATCTCGCAGGACGGCCGGGAGGCGGTGGAAAGCGCGCGTACCTTTGCATTGGCAAGAATGTGTGGTGGTATGATCTTGTCAGGTCCAAAAGCCTGTTTTGGGTCTACGAAGGATGCTAGAATCTTTCCCGTCTTTCTGCATTCGCCTGCGGAGGAGAGAGCTGTCAGCGACGTCACCGCATAATCGAGCCTCGCCGAGGCGGGCAGCGAGTGGAAGACTTACTGCTCATAGAAGAGGGCAGTGGATTGTTGAGGCTGAGGCCCATATTGAAGGCTGTTCGAGCAGTGTCAAGCTCTGGTTATGTTTGGGGGGGTTTGAGCGCGTCGCTGCTGTTAAGTTAAGTTTAAGCTGCCGACGGGGGTGGAGGGGTTCCAAGGTTGGATCCAAAAAGTCCCGTGGCTCAGCAGCTTGGCCGTCTTTGACGCGCAACCCTCTCTCTTCGTACCTCCTCTTTGCCACCACATACACGCACACAGCCTTTTGCCCTCTTTTTAAGTTGTGAATACATGCCTATGTCATAGCGATGACGCTGCAACGCCTGCTACGTGCGGCCTCGTCGCAGCTTCACCCAAAAAGAGGTTAATAACTAGGCGCATAGCCAGCATACCAAGCTGGAGAGTTAACATTACACATGAAAGTCACTATTCGTTTGCCACTCACCCTCCAATTCAAAGAAAAGCCGTCAGCGTCGTCAGAGCCCGGACACCAAGACTTTCTTATCCCACTGCGCCACAAACACCACGCTCGGATCCGAAGAACCTTCAAGCGAATGTGTACGTTGTTCAAGCAAACTAACTCCCGCCTTTGTCGCCCCTCAGATACTCCGAGAGATCAAGATCCAGACCTTGCTTCCCCATGTCTTCCACAAAACGTTTCTTGAAGTGTGGACGCTCGTTGAGGAACTTCTGCCACGCTTCATCAGACGTGTCGATGACAGCAGCATCCCGATTCCATTTCTGCATGAAGAAGTCATAGACGGAAGTAAACAGACGACACTCGTCCTCGCAAGCGTATTCCACCAGCGCTGGATGAAGGCCATGTCGCTGCTCGTGGACAAGACGGAATATCTATTTCATGGCGTAGTCGTGGAACTGCGATGCTTGGAGGTAGCAAGCCATCTTGTACGCGAAGAACACTGCTTTGATTTTCCACTCCGGATCGTTCGTCTTCGGTTCTTCCTTGTATCCCGCCTTAATCCTCCAAGGCTCGATGAAAGTGTCGTCTTCGACGTACGACTTTAACTGAGTTGTACCCCAATCCGTCGGTAGACCCTGATCCCGCCAGCTCCCAATGAAAATGAACTCGATCAATAGTTAGAAGGCGCCCAGGCTTTTGTAACAAGCGTGGTCTTCCTCAGCGGAATCGTCGCATCCGTCGAAGATGGTCGTGTGGTTTAGAAGGAGGTGCTCGGGTATCTTGTAGTGACAAATACCGTCGTGCAGGACGATTAATGGCGATGAAGCCTCGGTGCCCAAGCTGCTCAGATGTCAGTTCCAACTATTACTGTGAGTAGGTGCCGCTCGATGTACAAGTCAAGACTGCCTTGCGGCTTATCGTAGAGGTTGACCTGTTCGTTCCTTGGCTGAAGCTGCGAGTTGAGGTGGTTGAGAGAGTTGATCGAGACAAGGCCTGCGAAGGTTCCATGTGGTATTCTACGAGGAGGGCTGTAGCTTGTTTGGTATAAGCAAGTGGCTTTCGCTTCCACCTTTATGGTTCATATTCACGCGGGAACTCAAATGACACAGTCATCTGTTCCATTTAATAGCTATTTTCTGAATGAGGAGAGTATAGAGAAGCAAATGCATGCACAAGAATGTTTCCTAGTCGCTCATAGTCTAGATGCTACCCCAACCCTCCGGTCCGCTCTCCCAACTATCCTCCCTGAAAATCAAACATCTCTTCGTTCCACCCTCCTCCGTCCAAGCCCTGAACATGCCACCGCAGTTAAAATCAAAAACAACCTCCGCCTTCTTCCCCACTAGTTCAATACCAATCAGCCCGCCAACACCTTCATGCGTCTTACCCCACCGATCGCCGGCGGACTTCTGAAGCTCGCCGCCTGGACCGGCCATCCATGATGTTGCTGTTGAGAGAGGGGTGGAGGTGAAGCGGGATTTTGCGGCCGTGGTGCGAGCTGCGCACAGGCGGATGAAGGTGTCGCCGTTGCCAGTGCCAGATAGGCCTACTGCGTGGCGAGTTGAAGTAGGCTTCTCCATGGATTGAGTTTGTGATTCGTATGTAGCTGATGCCGGCCTTGAATTGAAAGAAGGCAGACAATCACCGACAAGACCCCCTATGTCGCCTCTTGATAGCTTGTCGACGGGCGAGGTTGCTAAGGAAGGCTGGTAAAGCATCTGTGTTTTGTGAAGCGCCTGTTCCTCAAGATAACTCCATTCCTCTGCCCAGTATCCCGTACCCATAGTCGGCGTATCTCCCACGCGTCCAGGGACTTTATTAGTCAACCCGCCCGTAGACGTAGCAGTGCAGATCGTACCAAAACTGTCCAACACAACAGCTCCACACGTTCCAAGCGAGATATAATTCTCCTTCTCCCAATCACTCGTCTCATCCATCGCCAGTCCCCGCTCTTCCTGCTTCTTCTCTTCCGCGAGCCCTCGTTTATGCTCATCCCACTTGTTCTGCGTGAAAAAGTACTCCTGCCCCACAATCTCCAGACCCCATTCTTGCGCAAGGCTTTCGACAAACTCACCACTATATTGGCAATGATCCTTTGCGCCGCCGCCATCTTCGTCTTCTCCTCGTATCAACAGCTCACGCGCCAGCTTGATGGGGTTCTTGACGTGCTTCAGCATCATGCAGCCTACCCCTCGCTTCTTGTACCCATTGGATACCATGATGCTGCATTCGAGTTCATTCCTGCCTTCGCGGGTGAAGACGGCGCCTTTGCCGGAATTGTATAGCGGATCGTTTTCTAGCTGCGTCACGGCGTAGGTGGCTACGTCCAGGGCTGTCATACCAGGCACGGCGAGGAGATCTGCTGATTGCGCGAGGATCCTATTGAGAGAGGCTTGATAATCATTGTAGCGGTCTCGGGGTATGGTGGCTTTTGTGAGGTTTCCTGCACCGCCGTGGATGACGATTCGTGGTGTGATGGGCGCACCAGGAGGAGCTGCGGGCTTGTACTCCTTAGACATGGTGATTGCCACAGGTTTCAACTTTCTTAAGATCAAGCTGACGTCCCTCCTCTTTGGTGTTTTGTGCACTGTGATAGGCGAGCAATATCCGGGGATTTCAGGTGGGATAGTGCTCAACAAGACAGACACGACTTCATACCATTAGACTGCAAATGATACCAAGTCAGGAGTGATGATGCATTAAGATGAAGTTTTTGGGAGCTTGAGACATACCACGGCGGGAAGTTGAAGATACGGAGTCGAGGGCGTGTCTACGGATTGCCCAGGTGTCCTTCAGCCGCTAGCGTGAATTTGGATTAGGCATTAGCCCCACCTTCCGCCTTACGTTCAAAGGTTACAGTAAGAACAACACCATAAGGTGTATCTAACGGCTTCCGAAGACGAAGACCTCCAACGGAAAGCAAGCGGGCGGAAAGTGAGCGGGCGGAAAGCGAGAGGGCGGAGGGCGCAGGGCGGAGGGCGCAGGGCGCAACGAACATGGGGTTCTCGTGGAGGAAGTTCTGTGATAGCAATTTGGTGGTAGCGATTGCTCGGTGCCGGTATATAAGACATCACAGTCTCGACCCTAGCTGGGCTATCGCTGGTTCTGTGAGTGTACTTTGGATGCGGAGACGGTTGTGATTACACTAATTCTTCTAGGATAGGCTGTTAAGACGGTCGTTAACTATAGTTTTAACCCTTATTATTGTTCTCCTATAGTACTAACTATCAACCTTCTAATATCGATGAATACTATTGACTAATGAGTCTAATGCGATCCGTGGTTGTATCTGCGATGAGTTACTCGCTCTTAAGGCATGTATAAAGTGCTCTGCTCCGTATTCTCCATTCTATCTACTATACTATACGATGGCACAACAAATTCCTTTCGTCCTCGCCCACCCTCGCATAATCCTTTCAGAACCACCTTGGTCAATTCCTCAGGGGCCTTCTCTCGATGATTACGTGGTAGGGAGCAGTCTCGAAGTATTACTCTTCACCACACAAGATCTCGCAACGCTTTCTAAATAGCAACAGTTTTCGACGCAACGGTACTCAACTTATTCGACGCAATAGTACTTAAGGATAAAGCCTGTTTCCTGTGCTGCGGCCTACAGAGGGTTAGTTTGTCAATACCTACTAACTATACCTCGCTGACTGTCGCGTAGATGCCGTGTATCCGCTATCAATCGTCAACAAGGTAGACCTTGACCACCCAAATGCTGCGACTATAGAACACAGGAAGAAAGCCGGCATCAATAACAAGCAGTAAAGGCTGAAGCTACTGGAGGTGTTATAGCTATTCATAGCCTATATTAACCCTCTATGACGTAGGCCATAAACAGCTTTAACACCTCTGGTAGCTTCAGCTTTGCTGCTTGTTGTTGATGCCGGCTTTCTTCCTGTGCTCTATGGTCGCAGCATTTGGGTGGTTACTACCTACATTCACATCATCGAAGGCAAAAATTTGATACTTTGTACCAATTGGGAGAACGATGATGAGGGTTGATATTGTGGTTGACTGTTGGTGGCTTAAAAAAGCGCCTACGACCCAGGCTATTGCGCAATCGTCAATCTGCGGAGGTACTTTGAGTGCGGAGATGTTTGTGATTACGTTTTCTCGAGCCACCTTTGGTCGAGCTAATTAATAAGTAGCCCTAGAAGTGTTTCGGTACTACTGGCACACTTGAGATCCATACACGTGATTAACACACCAATTCGGAAATCGCGTCGCATGCGGAGGATGATGAACATATGCTTTCCCCACCTGCTGTAGGAATTCAACCTTCTATATCCACCTTGTTCCAGCACGTGTTTAGTTCAACCCCAGGTGACCATGGTCTACCCATCAGTCAGTACAGAGCATACGGCGCCTCTTTGAGAGCATCCTCGTGGACGAGACCGGTGACCAGAATGTTTCAACGACCACGCAACAACAAACTATGTAAGTTAGCTCAATATAAACATATAAAAGAGCAGGATAACTACTTTACTGGAATACCCTCTCAACGGCCCTACGCACTGCAAGTCTCCACTTCTTCTTCTCCTTACTACCGCGAACCTCTGGCACAACTGGTTCTGCTATCTGCTCCAAGTCGTCTTCCTCACTGCTGTAAACCTCAGGTATAACTGGTTCTGCTACCTGCTCCAACTCATCTTCCTCGCTGTTTTGAACCTCAGGTGTAACGGATTCTGCTATCTGTTCTGACCAATCTTCAGTACTGCCGTGAGCCTTAGATGTAAGTAGTTCTGCTAGCACTGCCCACCCATCTTCCTTTCCCTGTTGAGAGTGTGGTAGCCTATCTAGGCAAGCCTCAAGCTCTTGACAATTGTCATGAGAGGGGCCGAAAAGAACCTGATAGCCAACAAGAACGCTTGAGTACATCGCTCGAGCCCTCTCATTCTCGCCCCGTATTTTGTAGAGAACGGCCATGTTGTTTAAGGCATCAAGAGCTGGCTGATATGTTTGTAAAGTTGTGTGATCGAGCACCCGCTGATACCCTTGCAGCGCCCGCTTGTACATCTGCTCTGCTTTGTCTAGTTTGCCTTGTCTCTTATAGAGGACACCTAGGTTATTAACTGTCTCTAGTGTTGAATATTGCTTAGGTCCGAGTGCCTCCTCGCACCCTTGCAGCGCCTGTATATACATCTGCTCTGCTTTGTCTAGTTTGCCTTGTTCCATGTAGACATTACCCAGGTTGTTGATCGTGGCTGGCATTGACGTGTGTTCAGATCCAGGTTCCCTGTTCCCTTGCAGCGCCCGCTTGTACATCTGCTCTGCTTTATCTAGTTTGCCTTGTCTCATATAGAGGACACCTAGGTTATTAACTGTCTCTAGTATTGAATAGTGCTTAGGTCTGAGTGCCTCCTCGTACCCTTGCAGCGCCCGCATATACATCTGCTCTGCTTTATCTACTTTGCCTTGAATGCTGTAGACATTGCCCAGGTTGGTGGTCGTGACTAGTATTAACGTGTGGTCAGGTGCGAGTTGCTCGCATTCTCGCAGCACCCATTTGTACATCTGCTCTGCCTCGCCTAGCTTGCCTTGGTCTTTGTAGAGAATCCCCAAGTTGTGGGCAGCTTGAAGTACAGATAGCTCCTCGTCCTTTTCCACATCCTCGGCGTGACCATCGTTATCTGCAAAACGCCGCTTTGTCTTGCCTTCTACCACCCATTTGGAGCACACTTGTGCATGGGGATGGAGCCGTCGCTGTATGGCCATGTCTTCCCTAGATGGGCCCATTGGCACAGCATACCCGACTGTAATTACCGCCAGTCGAGTAATTTCTACCGCAAAGCACTTGCCCTGGGAGTGGTATGCCCATTGGTGAACAACTGGGTGCGTCGCATAGCTTGCCGTCTCTTCTACCTTTTCGATTAACGAGTACTTAAGCAGTAGCTTCATTGCCCGGCTGAACTCGAGCTCGCTTGATGCAATCCCTCCAATCCACTCTGATAGCATCCTGGAGGCCACTGTAGATTTCTGGTCTGCTGCTGCGATCAGGCCATACCACAAATCCTTGTTATCGAGAAACGACCACAGGAGGAGAAGGTTGGCTGTAGCTTCGTGCTCGCGGCGAATTGTCTGGTACGAGATGGCCCACGTCTTCCACACGCTTCTGGGGTAGTCTTGGAGTGGCGCATCGTCCGACTCCATTAGCTCGCTCCACTGCTGCTCGTAGAACCTCAAGTAGGCCGTCAGCCCCACTCCACTCTGCTGTAGATACGCGCCCGCTTGTGCGATTGCGAGTGGCAGGCCGTCCAGCTTTTCAAGAAGGCACTTGATCTCAGTCGTGTCTTTAGTCGTGTCAGCGTGCATCAAAACGTTCAACTGCTCAGCTCACCGTGCTTCCCCTTATACCAGCTCTCCAAGATTGCCTGGGCCTGTTTGTGGTCCACTTTGGTCAGCGGCTGCGACTCCCCCAACTGCTGCAGCTTCGCCAGTCGGGTCGTCACGAGAACAGAGCCATGGTCCGCGCCTGAGAGGTAGTCCTTCACATTGTACGCATCAGGGTCGTCGCTACCCCGTGGATCGTATTCTCTGTCGACGTTGTCAAAGATGAGCAGCCAGACGGTGTTGTCCGGCCGCGCAAGCCAGTCCATGATGCCTTTGACGACTGCATTCACATCGGCCTCGCTGTTTGCTTTCCTGCTCGTCTCAGGGATCTGACCTGAAGGGATCCTGCTCGCGTGGCTGACGATGCTGCGTTTTAGGTTGTCCTCGCTGCTCCCGTCTAGCCAGAACACTGAGCTAAACTGCCGGTGGTATTGACGCGCAAACGCAACCGCTAGTTGCGTCTTACCTATGCCGCCGAGGCCATGCAGCACGTGGATCTTCTGCCGGCAGCTCTGTCCTCGTCCGGGAAGGAGCACTCGTTCGAGACCCTCCATCTCTTTCGGTCGGTCTACAAAGTGGCTCACCGTTGGGACTCCCTCTAGGCTGAAGTTGATATGATATTCGCCAAAATCTGCACACTGCTTAGCTACGCGACCTACAAACATTGTGTTGAACTAACAGGCTCTCCCCGCGATGCTGCCGGCACATGCCTGCATCTGCCTATACACCTCCTCACTCCCAATGTACTTTCGTGTGGCTGCCGCCATCTCCTTGACCTTCTTCGACTCTTCCAGCCCGATGTCCTCTAGCCCACGCACTACGTTGAACCGGTAGTACCGACCAGTATCGGCAAGCAGCGATTTCTCACGCCGGAACCTCTCTGCTGTCTGCTCTGTCTCCGTCGCGATCGCGATCAACGTCTCGGCAATGTGGAAGACGTCATCCTTGAACGGCTTGAGAGAAGGCACACCCGTCCCGATCGAGACCAAGCACTTGACCTTACCCTCCAGTGGCCCTGGTCCCCACACCAGCTGCGCTTGGTCCCACAGCTCTCGTACTGGATTGTTCGCTCCCGTCGCGCCGTCTACAAACTTCTCATCAAATCTTCCCACTGCGATCGGGTCAAAGAAGGACGAGGCAGCTGAGGTGGCCCGACAAGCCTCCCACATCTTCACACTGTTCAAAAGGTCGCTGTTTCCGCGTGGCGTCCGATAGCTTGTGAGGCAAACGGTTTCGCTGGTCTCTTTGCTTGTCGCGCACACGAATCTAAAGCAGTCAGCCAATACTACTAAGGACACAGTCAACCTACACCCTGCAGCCCGCTTCTGGTGCGTCTTTGAGTAGCGTGTCTTCTGAAAGGCCTTGTTGTTGGACGACCTCTCTCACAGCTCGTGCCAGCTCCTCTGAGTCGAAGCGGCCCTGAACCTTGCCCCTGACCGTCACCCGGTGTCTCGTCTTGCGGAACACCCGGTCTGAGAGCGTCAGGTAAGCGGCGATGCTGTCAGCCACGCTCATCCTCAGCCGGCCGAGCATGATGGCGATCAGCCTAGTTGGTCAGCACCCATTCTTTATGACCTCTGCCTAGAGCTACTCACCCCCCAGTGCTCGTACCCCCGATCATGTCAAAGTATTCGCACGGCTTCGGCGGCGCGTCCGGATTGACAGCCTCCATGAGCTGCTCGAGGATCATCAGGGCTGACAGGCCACGAACGCCGCCGCCGTCGAGAGCGAGTAGACGGAGCTCGTCGACGGCCATCACGGGTAGTTGGTTCAGGTTAGTATGGATTGTAAGAGAGATGGCAGCGCACGAGCTGGGAGGAAGGCGTAGTATTTGCATCACCCCATGGCGGTCATACAGCGCAGCAGCAGGGAGCCAGACGCAGCCTTGCCGCTGCGAGTGGCCAGCAGTACGAGCAGCAGCACATCTGTTTGGGAGGGGGAGGCGAAGCTGGCTCGACATTGGCTCAGCTGGAAAATCCCTGGCCACATTTTGGCTTATTAGCCGCCGAACCCAGCAAGCATACTCTATAGATCTTTCATAGTTAGTTTACTGGTGTTCTATTAGACGATGTATAGATGCTTCGCAGTCTTATGACAGATCTTTACACCAAAATTAGTTTCTCTCTTCTTGAACATCACTATCCCATTTTACGGTCAAACGCCGAATGAAAGCCACTAAGGTCGCAGGCTCGGTTGAAGGATCTATGTCAGCTTTGCTTTTCGCGTGTTCCTTCCGTCGACCAATACAGATGAAGTGGGGAATTGGGGGCCAAATATCGTGTTACTCCGCACTTGAAGGTGGAGCACAATGATGCGGACCAGGAACAAGAACACGAGAAGATAGTGTATTTGCAAGCTACTATCAGTATCGGACTTGTCGCTGCTCTGCGAACACGGATGGATTTGGAGAGCTTCGTTATTGTGATGTTGAAGAAAGAGAGTTAGTGCGCGTTGTCCGTCATTTGTCATTACAGCTAGTGTCAACTTAATTAGCCGGCACGCCCCCACCTTCTACTTCCGCTCCCGCATTACTCCTCCACGTGGCTCAGGACTCCCCACAGTCCACCAAGATACGACCAGCATTGTCGTTGAGATGGTATAGACAATATTATTGATATTTGAGACTACCCTCAGCAGCCAACCTTGGAACGACATATCCTAGGAATTTACAGAAAGTTCTCCGAGCTTTACAACTTTTTCTTCTCACATCCTAGAACTCTGAGAGAGTTTCCATCAGCCTGGTCACGACTCTTTGCTGCAATGCTACTACAGAGTAGACTGAGCCATGCGACTTCTTAATACCTCCACCCTCAAGATCGAAGAGTTTCTTCAGAGACAAGTTCCCGAGTATGTCATCTTATCCCATACGTGGGAAGAGGAGGAGGTGAGCTTTCAAGATATGCAATCTGGTTCAGCGCACGCAAAGAAGGGCTACGCCAAGATCAAGAGCTGTTGTAAGAAAGCAGCTGAAGATGGATTTCTCTACTGTTGGATTGATACCTGTTGCATCGACAAGACGTCGAGTGCTGAGCTGTCCGAGTCTATCAATTCCATGTATCAGTGGTACAAGGATTCGCGCATATGCTACGCTTATCTTTCCGATTTCAATATCGATTCGGGTATGTCAACAGATATGAGTATGGTCAATCAGCAAGGCGGTCTCGGATCTCAAAGGTGGTTCAAACGTGGATGGACCTTGCAAGAGCTTATCGCACCCACTATCGTCGAGTTCTACGATGCCAACTGGAATGAATTTGGTACACGGTTGAGTCTGCGGGAGCAACTCACGCAAATTACTGGCATTACGAAGTATATCCTCCAAGGTACTAGAGATGCCCTAATAACCTGTGGAGTTGCCGTACGAATGTCGTGGGCTGCAAAGCGGAAGACAACACGCATCGAAGACGAAGCATACTGCCTGATGGGACTCTTTGGCGTCAATATGCCCTTACTCTACGGAGAAGGCTCGTACGCATTTAGAAGACTGCAAGAAGCGATTATGCGGATCACGGAGGACTACACTCTATTGGCATGGTCGCCTAAAGAAAGCTTCAGACCCGACGTGATCATATCTCGAGGTCTGCTCGCACATTCACTATCCGATTTTGCGGGGTTCAGAGCCGAGAATCAAGAACAAAACCCTCTAATGTCGCATGTTTGGCGCCCAGTGGATCTATCTCTGAACCATTCCTCGCTATTCCCGCCGTGTCTTGACCATGTTCCGCCACACCTTACAAGCCGTGGCTTGCGCATTACGCTGCCAGTCATGGTCATAGATTCTGGAAGGCAAATTTACGCGTGCTTAACATTGCTCTACCCACCAGGACAGAATCCAATCCACATGCTTTGTGTAAAGCTTTACCACTCGGCTACCGACGAAGAGCGCTACATTCGAGAAGCAGGTGCACCACTTGTTGTATTGCCAAGAACAGCTAGTACGAACTTTGAATACAAATCCATATATGTCAAACAGCCGCCCTTCCTTGCGGGAGCACCCATTTGGGAGCCAAATATAGATGATCAGTCACCGGCCTTGTCGCTGCTGCTCTTAAAAGCACAGTCAAATTTCAGTTGGCCCATGATGTGTAACTCACGACCATTCATCGATGGGGACAATATCATCCAAGTTCGTTCCGGCTCGCAAACGTTCGTGTCTCCGATCGTTCCAAATAGCGTAGCTATTGCGTATCTCAATCCAGAGGTAGATCACCACCAAGGCAATAAGTTGGTCCACGCATACGCAGATCTGAAACAAGGTTTCATACATGAAATCGACACGGCTAACTCAACAATATACTTCTCCCCATGTGACAACACTTCCAGAGATGGATTCATATTCGAATTCGAGGGACAGCCTAAAGCCGCTTTCGACGTTCGGGTCAATCTGCGGAATGTACCATCATGCTGGGCCATGCATTGCGCCTCTCCAACGTACAAGCAGACGGAATGGCGTGCAAGCGCTCGGTCGGCAGGCCACACGCTAACGGATCGCATTGAGCTTAACTTAGAGTTTGAGTATGATGACACAGGCCAGACCCAGCCACAAGGACAGGAGAAAGTAAGGCATGTGCAAGCCACTATCAGCATTAGACGCGTTGCGAATCTACAAACACCTATGGACCTGAAGAGATTTGTGCTCTCGGTCAGTCTCAAGGATGTGTCTGCTCTACATAGATGAGACGTAGCTACTGGCCTCAAAGCATATTTATCAAGCCCGGAAGGCAACCGTGTAAGCTCTTAGATATTAGATCCGGCACGGTGCTCTACAAGGCCGACAAGGAAATATCTAAATCTATATATACTACATCGATGTGGAAAGAGACTTAACGCTAATATTGTTAGGAACGTTTATATAGCTAATGATAAATAATCTAGACCTATCGTGAGTACCGGACCAAGACAAATGTTCGGCATGATGCGGTGTCGATCTCTATCACACCAACCATCCACCTACCCCGCTTTGCTCAGCTACGCCCCAACCACCCCCTAGCAAAAGCAAGTAATGCAGCCCTGTATATACAGCATGCAGCTGCCTCGCTATTTGGGTCGTCACTATTCAGTCTACAATCCCTACTGCCACTGCGATGACGACTGCAATCTTCTCTACCGAAGATTTAAAGATAGATGTGCAATTCTTCCCTCATCACACCCAACATCGTCCCCTGCGCAACAATGGCACGCCATATAAGTACTATACCACCGCGGTACAGCAATGGAGGCGAGTGAAAGTCCTCGGAAAAGGAGGGTTTGGAATGGTATGGCTGGAGAAGAACACCGCAGGGGGGTTAGGGGAGGAGAGGGCCGTAAAGGAGGTTTCGAAGTTCGCCACGGGGCGCATTGCGACAGATTATAACAAGGAGCTAGTGGCGCTTGCTAGGCTTTCACAGGTGAGGTGACGAACACTGCTACCTTCCGGTGACGAGAATCCACTGATATTTGTCGTGTTGTCGAATCAGTACGATGAGCATTTCGTCAATTTTATGGGCTGGTACGAGAATGAACACACCATCTTCCTTGCCATGGAGTATTTTCCCCTTGGCGATTTAGCAGCCTGCGTGACGGGCCCGTTGAGCGAAGATGCAGTGAAAGAAGTCACGGTCCAACTAATCGAGGGATTGAATGTCATGCACACTCACGGCTTTGCGCACCGTGATTTAAAGCCACAGGTGAGCCAGCTACACTTGAATGTGTACCATTTTTTGTTTGTAAGATTGACGCACTACAGAATATCTTCGTGCTATCAACAACCCCAAAATGGCGCGTCAAGATTGGAGACTTCGGCATAAGCAAACGTACAGTCCACAATGATGCTGCGCTTACTACCGCCATTGGCAGCATAGGCTACGTTGCCCCAGAGATTTTAGGCTGCATTGAGAACGAAATCAGTCCCAAGAAAAGTTACAGCAATGCCGTTGATATCTGGTCACTAGGTTGCGTCGTCTACTGGATGCTGACTACCACAGTTCCGTTTACGACAATGAGAGATTTGTTCCTATTCAGTGAGGGCTCCACTCAGTTTCCATCTTCGTTGCTATTTCAATGCGGGTTGAGTGTTCTTGGCCATCAGTTTCTCAAAAATGCAATGGCGTTGCAGCCTGCCCGCCGCTTCAATGCCAAAGAGGCCTTGCAACATCCCTGGCTAGTTGCTTCTCAACCCGCACAGAAAGACGATAGCCTTTTGGAAACATCCTTTGTCGGGATTCTCTTCAGCAACCTAAACCGCGGCGGCGTTCTAGCCATCTCTCCAGATGGTCGGACAATAGCATTCGGCCTACGTGAGCGAAACGTACTTGCCCTTTGCGATGCCAAAACAAGAGGCCCCCGCCTCACTCTTCAGGGTCACGCAGAATACTTACTCACCGCGAAATTCTCCCCTGACGGAAAATCCATCGCCACTGCAGGTGGGGATCGCAACGTCCTTGTATGGGATACGGAAACAGGCGCGATGCGCCACATCTTCAGGGGCCATTTTGACACCATCAACGACCTGTCATTCTCGCCAGACGGCTCCCTCCTCGCCTCTGCTTCGGACGACCGCACAGTCCGGATCTGGGATGTATGGAGAGGAAGACTAAGAAATGTGATCAAGGGCCACTACGGCTCTGTGTCGGGCGTTGCTTTCTCTCCCGTTGGCTCCATGCTAGCGACCGCCTCGTCCGCTGGGGTGTGGCTCTACCTCTCTCTGACGGGCATGCTGGACAGAAAATTAGAGGGTCCAACCGGGCAAACCCATCTAAAAGTATCTTATTCCCCTGATGGCAAGCTAATCGCTGCCTCGTTGTGGGATAACCAGAACACTGGCAACTTCATCCTGCTGTACGATTCCAACACCGGCCAGGTTTTGCACAAGCTTACTGGTCATACAAATGTAATATCTAGTATCGCTTTCTCAAACGACGGATCGCTCCTGGCGTCCGCCGCATGCGATAACACAGCACGACTATGGAGCACTGCAACAGGGTCGTCAAGGGGAGTATTGAAGGGGCACACTAAGAGCGTATGGGGTATAGAATTCGGGCCCGCTGGTCAGCATGTAGTGACTGCATCAGAGGATGGAACGGTGAGGGTGTGGGAGTTGCGGGGTGAGAAGCGCCCGGGGAAAGAGATAGTAGGCGGGGCTCAGGGTGGGGAAGAGATTGCAGAAGGAACGGTGAAGCCCAAAAAGGGAGCTCGCGTAGGCATTTTTGATTTGGCGAGCAAAACCTCGACTGAAAGAGCAGCGGATATGCTACGGCCGGGCAAGATAAAGGCTTTCTGCTGGGTCGCTGTAGCTATGCTAAGTAGTCTACTACTATCAGAGCCTTGGAATAGCAGAGTGTTTTTCGGGATGTTGATATCTTACATAGCATTCCTCTACTTTTCTGTACAATGAGATACATAAGCACTTATGTGTATATAGTAATACGCCTCTCGTACTTCCATAGATGTATCTTAATATAATAGTCAATATAATAGACGTGAGTAGGAGGTTAGGCGTGCGTGTTGGGTTCGCCGGCCAACATGAGCCAAAATGCAATAAAAGATTTCCTTCCAGAGTCAGAATCGAACGAGCGACAAAAATTACCCATGCCAGGAGTCGAACCTGTTCCGCTCCCGGGGCTCGCAAGCCATGGTGCCACGTCGGACCCTACGCTCTTCCAGTGGCCCCTTTTTCGAGGGTTGAACTCGAGGGATTGGAAGCACTAGCTAATGAGACCAGCCACAGTAACCGCCTGTTCCATAGGTGAAAGTCACCGAAAGTAAAAGCGCTATATACTCCATGCTATGTGTGATGATGCTCAAAATTCTAGCAACTACTGGCTTCAAATCTCACCAGATTGTGGGATGAAGCTTTGCCTATCTGTTAAGGAAGGAGACGTGCCTGCTCGTGGAGGAAAGAAGCACTCTCACCCATTGCGGAAGTCGCGATAACCCTACTTTGGAATCTTTGATCAAAAACATTTAGGTGCTCAGGAAACAACGTTTGTAGATTCTTGTGAGAGACCTGACGGTGTAGACACGAGTTCTCGATTCTCCTCGTCGAGATAATCCGCCCAATCTTTAGAACTCCCACCCTGTCTCGTTTCCCTTCTCTTTTGCCTCGCAGTCTTTCTAAACCCCATAAAACCTTGTAAAAACCCGTCTAATATCCCTCGCGCCGTCGCATTGTGTCCTAAAATCTCATGCGCGAGACTTAGGAGTACAAGGAGAGTATACGCCGCGTCATTTCCAGAATTGTGTAGTTTTTGGGGCTGGATGCCTCTTAATTTACACAGCTCCTTTAAAGATATGTTTTTTGATGCATTGTCCTTCCAGAACAAATCCCGAGCGGTTCTTTGCGTATCTATACATGCTATAGCTGCAACTTGAGCTATATCAAAGCCTGCTCTCTGGAGTGACGCAATGTCCTGACTGATTGAATGGCCAACGATGATGACTGGGCGTACGGCTGTTCGTGCATCCACGGACTGACTTTCAGAGGGCTGAAAAGGTTGAAATATGTGGGATCCGCAGCAAGGCTCGACGTTGTCGTCGTAGTGGGAGAAAATGTGCGTAAGGAGTTGATTCCGATGCCTCGACGAAACTTTTTGTGCATCGCCATCAAAGAGCGCCCCCTTGCGCGTGCGACTTACACTATAATTGAAGTTATAAGTCTGGGTCCAGATCAAGGGGTGGTCATGCTCCGAAAATTTTCGTGTTTCTAAGCCTTTTAGACATCTTGTGTCTAGAAATGATACTCCGATAGCACTGAACCCTTTCTTGTTACCGTGGGCGATGTCGAAAGAGACGATTATAGGATCGGCATGATTTTTTTGGTTGCGGGCCTCGTTCACGACAAGGATTCTCTCAAAGAGGCGCCGTATGCTCTCTACTGAATCTGAAGGGTAGAGCATGGTTGTCTGGGGTGAATTAGGTAAATACGTGCTGCAAAAAGGTGGACGTAGAAGGTAAATGCCTACAGCAAGTAAGGAAGACATCTCCTGCGTATGCGTTGCAGTTTTGGAATTGGTGTAGCAAGGTTGGGTCTCGAGTATTCAACAGAGGACTATGACGAGTTGAAGAGATTGATTGATTGATTGAGAAAGTCTCGGAGGGAGCGAAGTCTATATACAATAAGATGGCTATGAGTCACATGATATACGACCGGTTCCATGTTCAAAACCAAGTGTGCCAGTGGTACCGAATCACTAGAGGATCACTCTTTGATTTACCCAACCCTAAGTGGCTCAAGCAAACGTAATTATTACACATTCCCGCACTCAGCATCTCTACAGACTAAGAATAGCTCAACAGGTAGTCCTAGTGCGCGGGAATTGACCAAAGGCGAGGTAAGATTAGGTAGATATTTCTAGGATAGGTCGAGAATAGGCAGCCATGATAAACCTCATCATCGTTCTCCCAATTGGCACAAACTTTCGTCCATGATGAGGTAAATATAGGTAGTAACCAATCAGTTCAAGTGGGGTGTAAAGTCCGGACCGTGCAAAGCCCCGTCCGTGGAGTATGACTCCACAGTAGCGCAAAGCCCACATAAAATGAGAAGCAGTATTACGATAATAGGGGTACAATACCGCGACGCCAAATCTCACCGAAGTGTACCAGAAAACTTGCATCAAACACGTCACAAGACAGGTGAAAGGTGCACCATGGTCAGGCCCACGGGTACTGCTTGGCTAACCTGTTTCATCACTTGGACACCAGAAGCTAAGCAGCGAACTCGATATTGAATTTTTGAGCCTTTAACGCCCTCCTTGGGCCTACGCTGTGTAATGGGGGTATCTATGCAACCTTAAATAAAAAAGCTAGAGTGAGACAGCCATCCACCCCTCAACGCCTAATTTGGAAAAGCCTACGCATAGGCAACGGCTATGACATGGTCCAACTCGGAGGCATGACAAAGCATTGATATTATCAAAGTCATCAAAGCCACAAAACGCCTCCTCCACTTATGCTTGGCTCGACATTGTCCCATGCACTCGAGTCCTGTCCCACCGGGAGTGTTGGCTCACCAGGACTCGACGTAAGTGCTTGCAAAGACGGCGTCAAAGTGTGGTAGGGAAACAGGTCGGCGATATTCGGCGGGAGAAGTGCTTCTACGTGCTGGAATCCGCCTTGGATCTGCCGATCAGGCGTGAACTCTTGAATGAGCGTCGCTACCACACCACGGAGCGACGCAAACTCTTCCAGTACACGTCGGGCATAGGAAGACTTATACCTGAGCATGTCCAGCATGGCGAAGCCGTCCTGGAAGCCGTTGACGTATGCGGGGTAGTTGTGTTGGAGGTTCAGATCGGGAGCGGAGAGGTCGCGCACAAGCAGGGCGCACAAGATAAGAAGAGCACCAGCGACGGAGGAAGTCATATTATGCCGGAAACTACGGTGTTTCGGGGTGGGACTGGCGTTTTGCGCTGTGTCAATGAAGCCGCTAAGGTGGGACATCGAGTCGAGCGCGAGGCCACCAAATTCTTGAGCGCAGTTACCGTCATACTGAAGGGAGGTCATTTCCCGATGGCGCAACAAGAGCGTGATGTTGTTGTTGTTGAGCAGCATTGCAGTCTTATTATAAGCATTGGACTGCATTCCTCGAGGGTGGGGAATGTGCATAGTAGTCAACTCGTTGGTCAGGAAGTGGCTGATTTGGGCGTCGATAATCGCGATGCTATCGCCATCAAGCCTACTGTTTGGCGATCTTGCGACAATGCTCGTATCCCATATGTAACCGGCACGATGGGCCAACAGAGTCGTGTAGTTCATGTATAGATTAATGTAATGTCTCGGGTCAGACTCGAAGGGAGGTTGTCGGTGAAGCAGGACCTAATGACAATTAAAAGACCATCAAGGATAGAGCGACTGGGCAGTCGATAGCGGCCAGCACTAACCTTGTTGAACACATCCATGGGAAGCTCAATGTTGATATCTTTCTCACGGATCGAGTACGGGCGGCCACATGACAACGAGATGCAGCGGTCAGCGGCGAATACGTTCCAGAAGACACACACATGAGTGTATAACTGCTCTGGGTCGAGATGAGAAAGTGAGCGTTGTTGATGCAGGCCGTATTGGAAAACCAATCTGCTGGCGAGGCCAATGGTCGTGTAGGCTGAGCTGGGGACGTCGGCAAACTTAAGGTACAAGGCCTTGGTTGTTAGTTCTGTGGACATGCGCAAGGAGGGCATAAAAGCTTACCTGGAAAAGCAGGAGCTGAATCAGAGCCAGATCACCCGGACCAGTAAGCAGTGTTCTCTTGTCGACTAGATCGTCTGCTATTTGAAACCAATGCCAACCATTAGGTTTGCCGCTGGGAGAACGTGGTGAGGTCTCCAGCAGCACCTCGCAGCAGGCGAAGATGGCGTAGTTCAGGGCTAGGAAGAAGACGTCGCCTGTCTGCACAACTCCAATAGCCAGTATGCGCTCACCAAAGGCGCGAAACTCGCTTTCCTCAATGCATGGGTGTCGTAGGTGGAGATCGCCGAAGAATTGGCTCATATATTTCCGGTAGTCGATGAGTCGAGGGAAGGGTAATGCACGACTACCTAGGCGTATGGTGACGGGCGGTTCAGCGCTGTTCGAATGGTCCTCAAATTGAGGAAGAGGGTGCCTACACGTACGATACGGTTAGCGAGGATTTGACAGAGTTCGGAGAGCGTCGCAATGTATTCTAGCGAGGCTACGATAGCAACGTACCTCCAGTCGGGCGATTCGTATGGTATATTTGACTGCTGTTCCATCTGGGCAAGGGCCGGGTTGATAGGATCGAGAAGCGGCAGAGCGAAGGCAGCATCGCTCCGCAGCCCTTCATTGCTATTCTCGCGCTCAATGCTCCCCATGGGTGTCATAGCCATGCCTCGCTCGTGTATAAGGGCCTCCATCATGGACTCGATGCGAGCCATGCGGGTTTCCATTGTCATGCTGAGAACACTGGCGTCGCTCGCTCTTCTTTCAGTGCTTTCGTGGCGCGGCATTATGTTCCTTCGCGATAGGCCATTTCCGTTGGTAAGCGACGAGAGTGGTTGTTGTGCGGGCGTGGGTCGACTGAGGTTTTGCAGGGCTTCGGCAGCCGTTTGGTCTTCTGAGTAGAAGCAGCGTTTTCCGTTGTCGATGCATCGCTGGCATGGGTTCTCCCCGCTACACTGTGTACTTGTCAGTTATGACTGCCTTTCGATGTTTCCATTATAGCAGGCGCGAGTTTCACGGTGTCGATGCTGGCTGTTGCGGTCGAGTCGAGTCAAATTTCAATGTCGTGCAGCCTCAGGGGTGATACGAGGTTGGAGAAAAGCAGTAGGCGACAGGCTGCATACCTTGAGCTTCGATCGTCTACACGAGACGCCTACGTTCAACTGTCAGCTACAATATCCTCTTCCATTAACATGTCGCTACCCGCGATGCATCGAACCATCGCGGAACGGTCGGAATGCTGCCCTCGAGCTCCAAAGATGCCGAGGGCGCATCAAGCATAACAAGAGCGCGACGTACAGGCTTTGGGGGCGTATTTTTGGCGAATCTTCTTGCGCTTGGGCGACGAAGACCTCCTTTCGTCGTCCATGTGGCCAAAAGGCGACGGCTGGTCGTTCATGGCGCGATGAAACTGGGGAGCAAAGGAAGTTGCGCCTCGAAGCTGCTCGGAACGCGACCGGGATCCTGGCGCGCTACCGTAGTGCCTTCACATGCAACTGACCAGCCCCCAACCACAACCACCTTTCCCTCACTCTGCATCGTGTGCTCTCGGAAAAATCTCGCACATTCCTGGACGCCAAATTTCACTCTACGTCAGGAGCATGCGTAGATTCAGCAGTCATGTCAAAGCCTGAAGGTGAGCTGAATCAATGTAATCACAAACATCTCCGCACTCAAGTACTTACACAGAACCAGCGATAGCTCAACTAGGGCGTAGACGCTTTGGAACTTCTCTTATGAAGGTGAAATAAGCTACGGAATGCGCAGTCAAGGTAACCTCACGGAGCACTATCTTCATCGCTACCTTCCCCCCTTTCATATGGTTTTCAGGTTCGGCTTTGTAGAACCATATGATTAAATTTTCCATCAGGATTCACCGACGCACTCGTCTGGTTCGACTGAAGCTGAGCTATGATACACGCAGTTCATGATAGCCTGATGCCTTCGGCTATTCGTTGCTCCAAACATAATCTCACTTTTTCACCAACGCCTTTTACCACTCCATTCTAGACCCAATTGTCACTAATCACAATGGATGTTCGCCTCTTGGAAATCCGGGTCAACCTAGCGCATTCGACCTCATCCTGTCACCCTTTAATCTTCCTCGATAAGGTAATGTTCCAGCTTCATCGGCTCCTCGCGTCGCTTCTCAAGAGACACCGCCATGCCCTTCATGAATTTGACTCGGAAACTCTCATGCTTCACGATTAATAGCGACCACTCCTCCCGAGTGTGATCCACGACTGAGGTGTCTCCCCAATTCCGGATGACCATTTCCTCGAAGAAGAGTGCTACCTTTGGTAATGATCGGTTCGAAATGGTCCAAAGATCGAAGTCGACTGTTGCTTTTGGATCCTGTCGTTCGTATGCGTCGAACAACCTTGTCATGGCGTAGTTCTGGAATTGTGGGGCTTCCAAATGGGCTCCGAGGTACCAGGACAACCACGCTGCTTTGACAGCCCATACCATGACATTGGTAGATGAGGCGCTGGTAATCTCTAAACCTGTATTTTGAAGTTCTCCAAGATTCCAGCTCAGTTTCTTCGCGAAGCCGCTCTCCTCTGAGTATGATCCGAAATACAGCCATTGAAGAAACAGCTCTACCTCTAGCGGTGAACAGTTAGGAATGTAAAGTTCTTTCGCTGTTCCTTCCTCAAGCAGGGTGGTATATTTTTTGTTGTGCACCACAGATTGAAGAAGACTACCCGAAACGTGCCAACCACCGAACTCGGTATCCGGACATGTAACGAGCACCGTATCGTCCGCTCGTATGCTACTAGCTATTAGCGAGCTACGACTACGGTAGTCTAAGCACTCACCTCCGTATCAGTAGTGCTCTGCAATGCCATTTTTCCAGTTTGCCAGACACTTCGTCGTGCGTTCTCTTCCGGGCCATGGCGTGGGATGTGTCGAGAATGTCGCTAGACGACATTGGTTCCGGCAATGGAGTTGAAACTTGAAAGCCTAGAGCCTCCAGATTCTACTCGACAGGCTTGAGGTAAAGGTGTATTAACTAGCAAAGATCTCTCACCTAGTCCAGCAGAATTACTCTAGCCACGAAGCTAACTTGAACTATCCCCGCTTCGAACGCAAAGCAGTTCGACACAACAATAGCAGAGGCGTTGTTACTCGTTTGGTAGACATCTCCTTGCCATGACTATCGTTCGAACACATTTTTCTAACCTTGCTATCGCTGGGCATTATTAGCAAGACCGCATTATCAAGACTCGTCCAAAATATCACACTGATCTAATTTGTCCTCGTTGGCTTTCTATGCTCTTTTCACGACAGTGTAAAAGTCTTGTCGTCTTTAGCTAGAATATGACTCGACTATACCTCGCTGCCCACGACTTGACCTTCATCGCCTCATTAAACCCGCCAGTAATAGCGCAAGATCTCTTCGGTTTATCCCCTCACACTCATATCATCGCGTCAATCTTTCCCGGTTTCACACACGTATAGAACAAAAGTATACTCACTGCATGACCTTAGAACGCGTTAACTGCGTTGCCGTCATCGTCAATTCCTGTTCTAGACTTTTTTTCTCTGTTCTGTGAACGTTATTAAATATGTGTCCGCTTACACACACTTCTCTACTAACCGCAAAAACAGCCACAAGATTTCATATCAGCATCACTTTCGTATGCAAAGTAAGCTAAATTCAAAGGAGAGAGAATTCAGATTCATGGCGCGTGAAATGGGATGCTGGAGTCGGTATAGATTTTGTAGTATGCATGCCCAAGACAAGAGGAAGTTATGTGTGTGGTATTTAAAAAAGTTGTACTTCTATGATAATAGGCTATGCTGTAGTAGAGCGCTAATGAAACACATTCAAATCTAGACCACCAAGGATGTAGCTCCAGGATTTCTTTCTAATCATATCAAGATAAGGGACTGCGTTACCACGTTATTTTCTTGCAACACCGCTTCTACGATTTGCAGAAAGCCTCCGAGCTTTACAACTTATTCTTCTCTCTCTTACCACGTTATATTCTTGCAAGATTGGGTTGAGAGTAAGTTCAAGTACTCCCCCATGCTGTAAATAGACTTTCCAGATAGCATGTACGTATTAATGGAAGTACAGGGCGTAGCCTCTGTGGTTGAACTCTAACTCATAGGGTTGAATATATATATGACTAAATGAACGAATGATATCAGTGAAGAGAAGTAACTTTTTAGTTGTTGAGGAACAGCGGATATACGTTATGTTGCCAAAAGTTAATTTATTCTCAAGTAGGGTGTAATATTATACAGCAGCTGTTTTCTCTCCTATTGATTACATTCAATCAAACACCCAGATAGACCCACAGTCATATTCACAGAGACATCATGTGCACGCCAAAGCCCCAAACAAGTCTCTCCTGATCGAATATGCCATTTTCCCAATCCGTCTAAAGGATTTCGTTTCGCAGGCTTATCCTCTTTCAACCGGTGACCTCCCCCTAATCTTCTCTACACAATAACAAAAGCATAATTCTCACCCTCGTGAGTAATATGCCTTACCCAACCTATACTCGCTCGCGAGCAGCTTAAAATACCCCTAAACAAGGCAAGCGATCGCTCTCCCCAGGATCGAAGGTTTGATATAGCCCAAGGATTATATTCCGAGGTAAGATCGTGAGGCTCCCTCCTCTATGCAAGCATGTGATTCAGGTACACCGAACCGAACTGGGTATTCCAACCATTATCTACAAGCGGCTAAGAACGAGGGTTTTTGCGGGGTTGCCTGACGCGCCAACTGCCGGTTTCGAGCCGTGCATATCCACAGTGCCAGTACCGTCTCGAACAAGTCCTGCGGTTGCAGAAAGAAAATAACGTGCAGCTGAAACACGCTCAAACGCGTTTGATGACGGCGCAGGAAGGGGGGGAATAGAAACGTGGAACTGCTACTCGTGACCTGCTGATCCCTATACTTTTGTTGCTTGCGTTCGCCCCTCATGCTGGCGATGATCTGGGGCCAAAAGGATACGGAGGAGCAGTTGGAAGTGACTCGACTCCAATCTCGATGATGGACAGAGCTCAGCGAGCCGACGTCATGCTGTCAGCTGGTGTGCGCCGCAGGGTCCCCTTTTCAAAGCGTGAGATACGAAAAGGGCATGCAGACGCCGCTAAACAGGGCAGGGCGGTAGGAAGATTTCGCTCCGTCCCTCCCTCCCTCACCGTTCACCGTCCGTCTGATGTCAGCATTGTATCTCGCAACAACATGCCCGATCCCCACCAGGAAGAGGCTTAGCATGTGATGGCTATTCGTGTTTCGACATGGGGTGGGGGGGAAAGGTATAGCAGGCGCGTTAATGGACGGCGAGCTTTTCCCACGCGCGACAAGTCTGGGGTAAGCGCGGGAACGGGGGGGAAACGGAGACTACGGACGTTTGCCAATCGTGGAAGGCGCGTACTCTAGCGCTGAGGTGAAACGAAACCTGGCGAACTGACTTTCCTTAACACTGGTGTTATACCTGGGACGCACATGGAAGGGAGTTTGTGGGTTCCAGAATGGTGGCGTTGGACTCGTACCAGCACTATCCAGCGAGGTTAGGTGACATCGCAATAGTATTGCGCCGCATTGCTGCATGCCGAATAGGCGGAAATTTGGAGCCGAGGGTAGTTGGAAACCTTATGATGGGCTTGAAGTATGGCTGAAGTTGGTGATGGAGTAGCTCCATCGGCTGAACAGCATTTATCCCCATACCATGGCAAAGTGCGGCAGTGCGATTGGAGAACAACGCTCGGTCCGATTGTGGCACGGTAAGTCTCGCCTTCCCGATACATCAAAGATCCGGGCCGTGTGATGGTCGTTTATGCTGTGCGATAGCTGCCGGGCGACGTTCGTGGGGTATGATGAGGTGATACGGCACTTGTTCTATTAGTCCTATCGTTGGCTCAGCGTATTACGTTGCATATCTTCAAGACAGCGTGGCGGTGTTTGAGCTCCTAATTGTAGGCCTTCAGTAATGAACCGTGGTATTGGGACACAAGGCCTACACCAGGCGCCGGTCTCAGGCGGTGAGGCAATGAGCACATGCGCAAATCCGTGTTGCAATACACTAGAAAATAGCCGTACGACAGCTCAGTAAGACAGGAGGATCGAATTTGGAGTCTGGGGTCAGCCAGTGGAACCCGACAGTATGGTGAATGGGTTATCTGGCTCGGTTACGTGACATTTGATACGGAAGTCGGCGTATTAGCTGAGGCTGACCACCCATCATAAAGTGCCCCAAGAGTTCTCCTATACTGTATGCGCCGTGGGGAGGACAAGATAGATGGAGATGAACAGATGACAAGTCAGCACGCAGTGTTACCGAGCCATACTTAGACGGTGAACCAGTAAGTCGGAACAGAACCTCGGCATTAGACCCCTCGTGTTCGATGCTATTGTAAAGAGTGCTGGTCGTATCATATTCTCAATCTTTCGAGACGTGTCATAAGCTGATCCATGACATGCTGGATGGTGGTGGCAGGCCTGAGGTGGAAGGACTACTAGATGGAGCAAAGCATAAGTAGCAATGCTGACAAGCCAGGTCGCCATGGCACGCCTTGTGTTGCCCACGCGGGTTTGACCGACACGCTAATAGTGAATATGGAAAGTAGAAAAGTAGCGCAGGATACGACCCGAAAGCAGAAGGTCGTAGAAGAGAGTCTTCGTTGGCGGAGAATTGGCGGAGAAAATGTCACAATCCCGCGGTGAAATGTCGTCCCAATCGGCTTCCCTATTGGCTGATTTAATCTTATCAAAACCGTTGAGGCTTGATTTGATTGCAGACTGTTGGTTGAGTCGCAAACATGTTCACATCGTATGCACCCCCATTATTTGGTCTCGGGACGGCCTTGGGGCGGTCTGTTCCTTCGAATCCTCTGAAGGAAGGGTAACCCCACCCACCAACGCTCGGATAAGCTGTGATAAGCACGTGGGTGACAGGAAGCCACGGCACGCGATCCGCCAAGCAGGGGGTGGTGCATGTGAGCTCTGTTCTGGCCAGGGTAATGAGCCTCGAAGTCTCCCGTTGGTCTCTTCCAGTCCACCCTTTTTGTAAACCCCGAAAGTCGAGAACATGGCATAGTCCTGAATAGCCTGAGGTTTGCAAAAAAGCACAACAACCGAGTTACCTGTGACCTGTTTAACCTGGACCGGCGCTCACATCCGATAGCTGTTGACTCGGTGACCAGCGCTCTTACGAGACTTCGTCCAGTTGGTAATCAATGCGGAGACAAAAAGAGCGATGAACTGACCTTCTCCCTCCTGCAAGCGTGGGCTTCATGCGCCCGACCCCGATGTCCAGGCGATGGGAATTCAATGCTTCTTTGGGAGCCCCACGACACCCTATTGGGAACGAGACGATGCCCAACCCACGAAATGAAGTCCCGAGGCGCTGGAAATTCACGACCTATTAGCCTACCATGTTGTTTACCGGGAGCGTTGCCCGCAGCCGATGAAGAATTGAAGCTCGCAACGTGCCGCGATTCGAGCAAAAGCACTCGCCCAACTGAATCAGAATAGTGCACGGAGGCGGAAACCAGCATCAAGTTCCCCCCCGTACGCTAGACGTATGATAGTGCGCTCCACTAACGCGTAAGCAGACTCCTCTCCTTATTCAGGGCGGGATTTACTGTGCCGCCGCCTGTCTGGGAGGCAGGAAGTCATTTCGGGGGTATGGCAACGGCAGCCGCCGCCTTCGCTAGCATCGTGAACACGGTCGGCGTCATAGAGTACAGGTCGCAGAGCGACCGCGGCTGAAACGCCTTGATTTACGTGGGTGTGTGCACGTTGTCGCGGGGGATTGGGCCATGAAGACAGTGCATAACGCCGCGTCGCACTACGCCCATTAATCTAACTACGTCGTCTTCCGAGGACAGCGACTCTTGGGGGCGCTGGTGACAAGCAGGGCGATAATGAGCCGCAGGAGGACTCGTCGCCACGAGCGCTGGCAACATGTCGCTGCACCAACCGACGCGATAGCCGGTGGGTGTAGGCCGGGCGATTGGTGAAAGCTGAGGGCTGTCGGTGATAGCCACGCGATTCGTGTGCAGGCGGCACGCTTCACACTTCCGTGTAAGTCCCGCCCCCGAAACGGACTAGACTGAACGCCCGATCCAGGCTGCCGGGCCTTTGGGAACCCAGCCAAATGTCCGGGAATGTGGCTCTGTCATGCCGCCATCGTGGGTGCGGATTGGTCCCATGCTCAGCTGCATTGTCCCATTTGCGGGGGTGTATACAACATGTATATATGTATGTATACACACGCATGTATACAGACTCGTTGTGCTGCGCGGTGCACGTCGCACTTCTGTCTCAAGAGTAACTGGAGACGTTTACAAATGGTGAGGGAACGCGAAAGCATCCCTTTCCTAGACATTTGTGATGATGCACCCAGCTGGGCCTAGACGATAGATAGGAAGGGCGATCCTTTCCCAGCGCTGTGTATATTGTGAGTCGCGGGATGTGGGTGGGATGGGTGGCTGCTCCCGTCAAGATACGAACGCGCATTTCTCCTTGAATCGTCAAACAGATACCATCGCCGGGTTCTGTTTTATACCGTGTTATGTTACAAGCGTACAGGAAGCGCGAAAAAGCAAATAGAGCCGATGAAGAAGCACCTCATCCATACCATGTTTGCATCATCAGCCATGACCGCTTGGCTAGCAGCGATCTTGTCGCAAAGTTACGTATTGAGCATGTACCTTTTTAGACCTCATTTCAGTATTTGTTGCATTCCATTTTCTGAACGAGGTCACATTGCATTCCGATCGCTTTTCGTGTAAGGAAGTGCAGAAGGATGGTTTGGGCCGTCCCGAAGGCCGTCCGGAGCTGTAGCACATCGGATTCCTGTCGACGTGTCATTGTGGTGATTGTTGTGATGCGAGTTCTCTTATTGCCAGGCGTGGTAAGACAATGCAAGGGTTCAGGGCGGTGGAATCGTATTGAGTTATGCTGGAGTCCATCATGGCGTAGTTCGGGGAAGCTGGAACGACACCCGGTTTGCGCTGTGCTATCACAGTCCTTACACCGCTTAAAGAATTTCCATTTCAGGCCGTGATACTGCATAATAGGCCGTGAACGATGACTGCCAGAAGCGAATAAGAGTACCTCGCCCGTAAGGCGTCCCCGCTACTGGTCACGAGGCGCATGACTAGTCTGATTGGTCGCTATTAGTTGTTATCGCGGTGCAAATCTAGGGCGAGAGGGTTGTTGTTCAATCGAGGCAGAGAACATCTGCCGGCTATTGTGGGGTTGTGAAGAATCATGGCACACGAACGCTTTGCGGATCCGCTGCCATGACTATGTAGCAGCGAATGCATAAGACGACCATGGTGCGACAACAGCTGACCAGCTGTGACTGTTCCTCGACAGAAGCTTGGAGTGCTAATCAACGGTCATCGAAACCGAACCTGGGCCGTGGGAGCGACCGGTTGGAACCAAAGCTGGACTAAGTCAGGCACTTGGTCATCGAGTGCCACGTAGAGTTTCCAGCATTGCCTGGCAAAACACCAAGGTTGGCTGTACAACTCATGAAACAGGTAATCACGCCGCATATAGCGCAGCGAATTCGGTCGCACATGATTCTATTGCGGCTCGGTGATTCGACCTGGAGGCTCCAGATGACCTCGAGAAATTGGACGGCGTACGGGAAGTGCCAACTCTGCGGTTACTCGAGGACGGCAGTGAGCGGCGCACTGTGCGCAATTCAGGCGGGGTACCTTTCGCTACCCCAACCTTTGGAGCGAATATCTGGGGAATGACTGTCTCAGAATACTTGAAGAGGCCGTATTTAACCCGGGTGCCACCGGGCTTGTCCCTCGTGCCCTCGACCGCATGCGATGGCCTGCGTGTCGAGGAACCTGGCGAACAATGGCCTATACACGTTACATGCAGCGTGCCAGCGTGTAGTTTTGAGAGACGAGCGGATCACAGTTGCTCGCAGTTGGGCGGGAAGATGTCCAATCGCGGATACAGTGGCGGATAGGATGACCCGAAAGCGGGACGTCACCAGAGCGTGCAGAGGCTGTTTTTGACCGGCAGCAGAAAAAGCTGGAGGCCTCGTGATGTCTGCCCCCGTTGCAGATTCGCGCAAGCGGAAACAAAAGGCCTATCTAACGAAAATGAGGCTGCGTTAGCATGCGGATCCGTACTCTACTCGGGGGTAGGGAGCTCTCGTGCGAGGGTTGGGTCAATTTAGAGCACACATCCGTCAGGTACCCCCATCATAGCCAGGCCAGCCAGGCACAGGGTCCAGGACGCAGCAGCACCGTCGGCAATGTGGAGGATTGCCGACGAGGCCACCACCACCACCACCACCTGGGCACCTACCTGCGCTCTCACGGGGCTAGACGCGAGCATTGGGCGGTCGGAAGAAGCGAGAAAGGGAAAAGAAACGCTGGCGGAGGCAATGGGACTGCTTCCGCGAGCGGCTAACGGCATCCTAGCAAGCGCCATCACATGCCGCCAGGGGTGTGTTTTCAAAACGGCTGAGTGAGCGGTATTGTATCAGAGAGGAGGGGCGTAACTTTTCAGCACAGGACTCAGGTGACGTGAATGGGGTGCGACAAGCCCGTGAGCGTCAACGGGTGGCGCTTCCAGTCAGAGAGTCAGAGAGAGAGGTTAGGGCAGTCAGAGCGAGAGAGGTCAGCGGCAATATGTGCTACTCCTGTACGAATCAGGGCTGGATGGGGAGAGCATTGGGCTCGACGACGAGACGAGACGAGACGGCAGGCCAGTAGTAGAGGCAGCGAGTCAGACTCTTTTCGACGCGAGGTTCTGGAAGTACGGAAGTACCACCTTGTTGTGTGCACGGCCTCAGCAGGGCCGAGAGAGAATCATGTGCCTCCACTCCCCACGCCCAGACCACGACCAGGGCCAGGACTCAGAGCCACGCGGGCGCCGAATGCTTTCAGTAGCATTGCAGTGGCGGCTGGCGGAGGAGGCCCTGAATGCGTCCTGTCGCAGGCGAGGATTGTATGTGTGTGTGTGTGTGTCCAATTCCTGTTCCTGTTCCTGTACTTGCAGCAGCGTCATAGTGGGCGGAGCAGAGACTGCTGGCCGACGGTAGCCATGGGGAGCCAGTTGGGCGTAGCAGCAGGAGGGTTCGAAGAGCGGTAGGCCCGTCGACGGTGGACTGGTGGACTGTGGACGACTTGTCGACTGCAATCTGCCGGGGAGTCTCCGGAGAAGAGGCCTGTCTAGGGCCAAGAGCAGAAGTGTGCAGGGGGGGCGTGGCCAGGTGTGGGAGTCCAGTTGCGCCTTCCATGTCGGCCCAGTCGCTCCTCCCCCTCCCCCCCCTGTCACCGCACCACACGGCCGCCTTTATACATAGCTAGATCCACTCCCTCGTCGGCCGGCTGGCATACCATACCTCAACTGCGACCATTTCTCTCCCCCCCAATACAACACCCTCTTCGCTCCAGAACACACTATCCACCCTACTCATCCATGTCTTCGAGACGACTGTAATACCACGGGCACTCCATCTGCTCGCCTGCCATTCGCCGTTGACGCAATCCCACACCTCACCATCACCAACACCGCAAGCGGACCACGTCCCCCACCACACATATACCCACACCCCGTCCCCGACGCATATCGACACAGCACACACAATGGTCCTCCGCGCAGAACACCCCATTGTGCGCGTCGAGCACAGCTCCATGCGCACCATCGAAACCCGCAATACAGAGAACCTGTTTGGCCTCTGGTCTGGTAAGTGACATGGCTGCGCTGCCAACCATGACACGCATTCGATCAGACGCCGTGACTAACACTGCTGTGCACAGTCTTTGCACGATGCTCGCCGGCCATGGAAGACGGAAAGCGGTACGAGAACATGGCCTGGAGACTGTGGTCCCGCGAAACCTTCTGCTGCCAGCCCGACGACATTGTGCCACCCCAGTGGGCGTTCAAGCGGCAGCTATCGACGAGCGCCACTGACATGCCCGAGCTGTCGACCAGCGTTGCGTCAGATGACTCGAATCTGGAAAGCGCCATCATCACAACTTCCCGCTCTGACCTGTCCTCCTCTCGCCCAGACCTGCGCCGCCACGACTCTGCGACGAGCCAGGCTCGCGGCAAGCACATGACGTCGATCGGCCTGGAAAAGGTCGTCAACTCAATACAAGAGAAGAAGTTCATCGAGCCACTGTCGCCCCTCCCGCCGCAACTCGCCGCGCCACTCGCCCAACAGAAGCCCTCCAAAGACACGACGCCCCGCACCGCTTCACCACCCTCCAACGCACGCCCCGTTCCTGAATCGTCGTCCTCGACAGTTGCGACGACGCACGGAAGCCCCGCAATGAGCCCGCTCGCTGGCTCAGAGACCAGTACTTCTACTGACATCAGCCAACACAGCGTCGTCCGCGGTTTCGAGCCTGGCCACATGTCGACCTCAGTGCGCTCCAGCGCCAACTTGAACCCCACGCCCATCCTGAAGAAGAGCACAAGCTTCGTAGCCAAGCTCCCACCGTCCAAGTTCGAGCCCATGAAGAAGAGACAGCCCATGTTCACCCTAGGTGGATCGTCTGACGAGGACAACAGCAGCTCGTTCGAGGCATACTCTCTGCAACAGCGCAGCTCATTGTCAGAGCACCTACGAAGAGCGGGCCCAATGAGCAAGACGACATCGTTCAAGGCTGAAGTGAGCACCCGTCTTCTCCCAGACGTCACCTCGGAGAGCGAAGGCGCAATCGAGAGCGACAGCGAAGAGGAGTTCAACGAGAGCGCCATCGACGAAGACGATTCTGAAGAGGAATGGGAAGACGACGAGGAGAATGAAGACGCTGGCCCACCCGCCACACATGAGCGTCCCCTGTTCCAGCGAGTAGATTCGAAGCCAAACCTCTCCTCTCGTCGGTCTCTCCTCACCACCGCTCTCCACCAAGGCGACCGCGCACAGGCTCTACAGAACGCAGCATCGCGCTCTACATCTGCCATCCGCCGGTCCAGAACTACCACACCCAACGGCCCGTCCACTGGCAACTCACCCCACGAGGACAGCGGCCTCATGATGCGTCAACAACCCCCTACTCAGCCAAAACCCATCATCATGACCACATCAAATGTACACCCGCCTGCCATGTCCCCAAAGACTACTCGACAGGCGATGCTTCGCAGTGAGCTCACCGGGTCACTCCGTCAGAACCTCCTATGGGAACGGCAACAAAAGAATGCCACAACCAATGCGGTGGCAAAGCGACAGCAGAGCGCGGTCAACCTCCCCGCGCTGCGCCGGGCCATGACCACAGGCGACGTCAAAGGGCTAAATACCAACCCCCAACAGGCCCAGATCAGTTCCACCACCTTCCGGGACAACAACAAGGTCGAGAATTCCTACCAAGATTACTTTGACTCAGGTCTCCAGGAGTATCATAAGAGCGGGTGGTGATGACATCACACTTTGAATTTTTGCACTTGTAGCGGCATTTACAGACCGGCATTGGTCTACGGCGTTTTGACATTATTTGCTTCTATGGCCGCCAGTCATCGCCATACTGGACGGCGGATGATGGGTAATGTCTTTCCAAAATCTTCTGATACCATCAGGGCTTGAGTATGCCCGAACGAGGCTACGAATTTCCTTCATGCACTTCATTACATCGGACAAGAGCGGTTCATTTGGCTTCGAGATAGGCCACGGCTCACGCCTGGAGGTATGGGTCAGGCTGTTCCTCGAGCAACATCCCGTGGATTGATCTGTACTATTACACGCACTGTACTTCTATCAGGCTCTTTTGTCCGAGTCATTATACCCCAAAATGGGACGACGACAGCATTACCCCACATGAGGTGGCGGGTAAACACTAGGTACTTAATGATAAAAAGCGAATTGTTCAACAAGGCCTTCCTTCCCAACACGTGCAATCATCCACGACCATAATATCAAGTGTCAAGTCTCCACGTCCAGTTGGGGATGACTGTGGCTACGGGCCGGTGAGCAGATGCACTAGGCCAAAGTGCCTCGTTGACGTCTGGTGGGTCTTCTCTTCTCGTCAGCTGTCCCGGGGTTGCTGTTCCCAACAAGACGCATGCTGGTACGCAAGTCCCTTCTGTTTGGCAGGCTTCTTTACCGCTCTTCTGAATCATGTAGCAAAGAAGGGTGCCCAGCAGGCGCTTATGCACGCTTTACTGTGGGCGTTATGCAGTGGCGGATAGCACCAATGGCCAAAGGCGCAAACGATGCGTCAGGTCTTGCTCTTCTCGATGCAATCTGCCGCAACGCACGGCACGTTGCCTGTGTCACGATGACCGACAGTGTTTGTGATGTTGATTGATGACAATATGGCGAAACCTGGCTCGTCCACTATGGACAAAGAATTCGCGGCTATTGTCCACGCTGGTGCTGTCTTGTCTTGTTCTGTTCCGTAACAGGGAGAAATGGAGAACAGCAAGGACATGACCTGCCTCGTGAGACGACCATCCTTGCGCAAGTATCGACAAGGAGCCCTCCGACGTGCATCGTGGCGAGCGCATCTAGGTTCCGTTGTGCGTCGTGGGATGGCCAGCGAGACTCGATCGACTTGCTGCAGACGACGGCCTTCAGCCTTATCCTCCAGGCTCCAAACTCAACACCAAGGCTGCGATCATATCAATCACATTACCGCCTAGCACGGCTCGACGCTTCGGCTTTCAGCGAGCCATGACTGACCCTGACAGTGAGAATTTCCCCAGTAAAATGCGACGCTGAAGGATTGCACCACGTCATTCTCGCCAGGGCGCAAAGCCGCATTCTACCGCAAGTCGCCGCCGTTCTACTCAACCCTTTCCTTAACCCTCGATTCCATCAGCATCACTCAACCTCCACGCGAGCCTCACCAGCTGACCCGCGGGCAACGGCTTCGCCTATCTTCCTCGTAGCCCCTCGCTGTCCATTCATCATTACCCCGGATTGCAGGGCAGAGCTCCGCGCAGCCCCAACCGCTTGCCCCCCATTGTTGACTCACTCATTGCTGTTATTTGCGAGGCTCCTTTGATCATCTGGATCTAAAAACAACAGTAATCCCTGGACATGGCGAACGACGATACTCCATCAGGCACCGGCAGCGCTACCCCGCGACACAGTCGGTCTGGAGGTCGATGCGCTGGCAGATTAGCGCCTGCATCGAGGTCATCTGAAGCTTTCTCGACGAGTTATCCTGGAGATGCCTCAGCCTCATACACAAGGAGCTCCGCCACCGCGGGAGGCTTCTGGCAATTCCCTGGCCAACGCCCGGTAACACGCTGACACCCTCATCCTGTGACTGTGTGTGATATCGCTTCCTTCTGGCTCTGCCTCCCGCGTATCACCTACTTCTCCGGCTCCGCACTTTCATTTGTCGCGCCCGTGGGGGTTCACTCGTCACATGCGCTCCCATTGTCACACCTCTCACCTCTCAGCGCGCGAGTAGGCACGTTATGGTGACATGTTTCTTTTTCGCTAATGCTGCTGGATGCAGATCTCGCGTCTGCCTACGCATTGAGCGCATGTCGATGGACTTTTTTGGATATAGCGTTGCAGGAGACGCAATCAACTGCCGCAGCGCACACAAGCAGTACGCTGCAGATCAAGCCATCGAGACCCGCCCACCATGTCGTGCTCCGGAGTCGTGGGCGCGGAAAGATATCCCATTGCCTCGCTGCAGAGAACCGCCCACGCCAGGGTTCCGTCAATACTTCTCGCATCACTGGGTTCGTCGAACAACAAACTCGGCTTGCGGAATCGACGTATCAACGACCACACTCCTGATAGAGGCTTACTCGAACACGAAATTACCGTAATCATTACATGTCCTGTTTCATCGCCTCTTGATTATCTGGATCCTATTATTCTCCTATCGCCCCGACTTCGTCCCGCCGAAGCGTATCGCTCGGCGGTAAGCTTCAATGCTGGATATCAGGTGCACACAACGTTGTCACTCAAACGTTGCACAAGTCGGCACCCCACGACTGCGGACCATGTACCAATCGAGCTGACCGGATTAAGCATCCAACTACGTCTACAGATCGCAAGCTACATGCAGCTCCGCTAGAGGATCATGCATGTCCTAACATTCACAGCCAGTAGGCCAAGCAGAAGCCCTTTTCAGAACGGGGGCCAGGTATGATCCCATCTCCTACAGTGTGACAATGCCATTACCCTGGGAACGGGATATTTGTCGGAATAACGAGCATAGATTCAGCCTCGCACCACTGACTCGGCTCCACTCCCTTACCCCGGAGATTCGCTGGCATGTCTCAGTCGACAGCAATATCAGGTTCAATGGTCGTTTGACTGCTCCATGAGATCGAGTATGCACAGCGCATCGATTGCTTGGCGAACCCTTTCACGCAATACGACCGTCACCCCGGCTGATCGCGACTAGATCTGCCGTACAAATCCAAGGGAATAGTCAGGAATGATCACCGTTGGAGCGCGATACGCCAACATCCCTCCACTACACCGGCATATCGGTATCCGAATGCAGCCCTACACTCCCCACACCCTGAGGTCTTTAAAAACTCAAAAGTCAATTGCCATGTTTGTTTACGTACCCTTCGGGGCTTTTCTTCCTATTACACAATGGAAATAGCAGCTTTGTTACTGGACGAAGCTCGATATATCCCGATACAATTGCCGAGGCTGGCTGCCATGCCAAACCAAGCTGAACGTTGCCCTAGCTTGCCTCCCAGCTACCACGTGGGCTGAGGGATATCTCCGTGAGATGAACTACCGGATGTTTCCAATAACGCCAAGGTCAGCGTACGATGAGAACACGGCATTTACTGCTCAAAGAGGGAGGCTGTACGTATCTCATTAAGATTTCTTCCTATGCGGTGGGTACGAACTTGCTAGCGTTGCTCGAAGACAGCATGTGATGTCATCGCACAACGGTCATCACAACAACTGGAAATAACGTATTCAGGGTCCAAACCATCGAGTGATGTAAAGGGTTGTCGTGGAGCAACGCGTATCGAGATCGTCTCGACTAGGAAGTACGTGTTTGGTACCCTACTCACAAGCGCTCCCCATACCCCAGGCTTGACGCAAGCCGACTTGAAGGGGCTCAAAGTTTGGGAGCATATACCGTGGAATGGACAAGCGTCAAACATTTCTTACGGTCAGCTGCTCCGGGCGTTTCCCCGCAAACTCGGAGACGCACTTGAGTATGCCTTTTCCTCTTCCAGCTACGTTGCACGCGACGCATCCTTGTAGACTCGACGATTCAACGCCTCTGCGACGGCAAGGGCGTTCGCTCTCCAACTTGCTTCGTGGAAATAGAAGCGGCTCGGTCGATTACCTTTTTGCTAACGGCCGAAGACTTGGTCGGATTATTCGGATGTCAGCTGGTTGCAATGCGCGCGGGTTCAAGGCTGCTAGCAGCATAGCATGGACGGCTTGCCTCACTATCTTACTCGTGCTTTATTTCATGGTCCAACAACAGCCCATGGCGTTAGGTAACGATGATGGGACTGAGACAGTTTGAGTCAGTCATCGCGTCGCAACGCTTCCCGAACATCCCCAGGGATTTCCCCCCTTGTGGCTAGACGCTACTTTTTCGGAAGTTAACTCAAAGGGGATACCGAAATGTACAGAAGCGGCTCATTACGCTTTTGAAACAGAGGGAAGGAAACAAACATTGCCTCACGTCAGTGGTGTTCAAACGCATCGCCATGGCTGCCTACACCAGTCAGCTTCGCACCCCAGATCAACTTCAGATCGTTGGGAAGCATGGCGATCGATGGAAGCTCGGAGACGCTGCTCGTGACCACTCATAAGCTACTAGCAGCGCCTCGTCCCCCAACTCCGGAAAAACACACAGGGATCGGAAGAATCTTAAGCATCGCGAGAGAGACCTTCTGGAAGATCATGGGGCTCCGCAGACGATCTTCTTTTTCCTGGGGTAAGTCAATCGTCGGCAGCGCGCTCGAAGAGGGTGCGATGACGTAGAATTGCGGAGTATGCAGGTACGAAACCGGCGATCGGATGTACTCCGGTTGGTCCAAAGCTGGGGCATTCCTTTCTACGCCCTACAACCTTGGTCGAGATGCAAGCCGAAGAATAACCAGCAAGCGACTTCACGACTCACGATGTTCGCATGTTAGGTGTATTGTGGATGCCCGTCACAGCTCGACGTTGCATGCACCTGCCCAGTCTTCCACTCGTCCAGACTATTGCCTGTACGTTTTCGAGGCCATCGCCGTGTTGCTAATAACAGGTCCGCGCACGCAAGCGTTCGCCCGACATGTTTTTCTCTGCAAGCAGTCGGAAAAGAGAGCAAAAAAAGAACTTCTCTAGAAGGCCCCCTCTCCTCCGTTGGGCACCGGCGTTCCCGTTATCCTGGGTTGGCATGTGGAGCATAGGGCTCACCCTCCCCGGTCAAGCTTTTCTTGAGGCTTGCTCGTGCATGACTTTTAGCGTTCGGTGTATTGGTTGAGGTTTCGAAAGGTAATGTATCACATGCGTTTTTTCGGTCGCTCGCCGAAGTCTACCGAAGTATCTTTTCTCGCCTGGCACATGCACCTGGAGGCTTCACATGTTTTGATTGCTATCTTTTTGTTCACATGCGCCCCGAGAATTCCTCCATGTTTCTCATCTTCTCCTATCCGCACATGCACTCAACATGTTCTTCTCATACTTTCGCATGCCACCGAGGTAGCTTCGCTTCTCATCTTTCAAAGTCAAAGCACACCCGCCGCCGCTAGTCCCAAACCCGCAAGTCAAGTCATAAACCATATCCGAAAAAAAAAGGTCCAGTCTCCACTTCCCGAAAACTTTCAACCTTTCAATACCAAAATATCCACAATTCAGGCTCCACTCCTGTCAGATTCGCACGTGCAATCCAGTATCCGCGCACGAGACGAGCTCCCCCAGTCCGCAAACGCCCGACCGCTCCTCTTCGAAACGAAGAAAAGTGCGACTCTACCCGCGCTCTCTGTCCATCTCTTCTCCCAGCCCTCAATCTAGACCGCAAAACGACCCCGTCACGGGGACCCACTGCATAGCGACGCGCAATGCGTTCGTCCCCTGATGAGCCACAGTGCTCTGCTAGGGCCTCACCGCCACCCTTTCTCCCTGCATAATGTATTTGCATTGGATTAGATTGGATTGCGTGTAAGAGCCGCTCTATGCGTGCTCTACTAGTTGGCTTCCAATTTGAGCCAAGGGCACGGTGTATTCGTAGTCGGATGCGGTTTACCTGCACCACAGTTCGGATGCGACCGTTGAGAGTCGATAGTGGCGGGCGGATACCTAGGGTAGTATGTGGGTATACTTTAGTTTCTATTCTAGCGAGCATGTTTTCAGGTAAAGTTGAGCCTCATGGAGTGGTGGAGACTGTTTTTTCTTTCTTTTTTTTCTCATTCATATTCTTCTATACCCTGTCTTAGCGTCCGCATACGACTATGGACGGCGAAAGAAGATTTCTCTCCTTAGTGAAGAAAAAGCACGACTAACACGTGTGTGTGTGTGTGCTCACCTCAACAAACATGGGTGGGGATATACAATTGCTGTCATAAGGTTTTTTATGGCCTAGTATAATCTGCGTACCCGTGTGGTTCAAGTAGGACCTAGTATCCACTTTCTTATGTCATCTTCAAACCAGTTCTTGTTCCATAGACGAGAACGGAACTGTGCTTGTAGCAGGTGAGTGGGTAGGTAAATCGTATAGTATTCAGCACACAAGCCGACTCCTATCATGTAGACAAGTCAAGTTACTCAAGTAGCAAACCTTGCTCATCCGTAATTAATTTGATAGAGGGCTCAATAGTCTGTCTTGCTAGCTTATCATCTTCGTCGTCAACATCGTCGTTTGCAGTGCCACGTACATGCACAACGCGCTTATTGCTTGCGGAACGAGAATCTCACCGGCCGGAAGGATTTGCATGATGCGATGAGTTGAGTGGGTACAAGGCCTGTGCGAACGGGTTGTGGATCTTGTTCGGTGTTGGTGTCCGTGGAGACTTCTTATGCCGGAAGGGGAGGGGGCTGGACTGGACTGTGGATAGGAATTGAGTGGAGTGGATGGAACTGCACGGTGTTTGTTGTTACTGCTGCTACTATTGAAATGATTATGACTGATGTTTTTTGTTACGGATGAGTCTTTCGTTTCGTTACAAGTGGAGATGGGTGGATAGTAGGGGATGGATAGTCTCGCGCTAGGTTCGTTAGACGATTACTGTACTATACTATGTTAAGAGATTAGGGGTTGGGAAAAGGAACGCCTCTCGTTTGTATTATGTTGCAGGTAGGTGATGTGGGGTACTGAAGATGGGAGAGTGATACTAGACAACACATGCTAGTCGTTGAACACGAAAATATACTCTATAAGGCTCACTATACTCCGATTATCCAATCCATTCCGTAGAACAAAGCAGCTACCAACTAATACTTAGAAACGGTCGTTTATCTAAATACTTATTGGCATGATTGATGAGAGCTACTTCGTACCTTACTCTCCGCGAAAGTGGGTGGTTAAGAACGCCTCACCTTCTCACCATCAATAGATTGCCTCAATCGTCAAAGAGAACCTCACTTGTAAAGCAACTTCTAGCCACTGAAGCAACATGCCATTTTATAGTACTAGTAGCATCGTTCATACATGTGATAGTATGCACCCTATCTACTTCAGGAAAAAAGAGTCGGATAAGAGCACCTTGAATTTTCCAATTTCCGAAACACTATCATCCTTTGCACAAAAAAGTAAATATATCATACCGAACTGCTCCCCCAAGCATTCGTTTGTCTAATCATGCTCCCATCCCCTTTAACCTTCAACCTTTTTCACATTTCAGACCTCAGCCCTAAACCCTCAATCAACTATTTTACCTCATCTTACTCACTCATCCACTCACCCGCATTCCACTGTAACATCAATATATTCTAACCTAAACCTAGTCAACTGAAAAGAAGGGCGAGTACACCTACTTTTACCCCTCGCGTTATACACATCGCAATGAACGCATACTTTTCCGGTTCACTTTAGACAAAGGGAAGGGCACTTCGCGTACTAGGTGGTGTGCCACGACAGCTCCAATATTGCTGAATCGATTGTTGCCTTTGCATCGCGGGTGCTTGGCTTAGGTAGCTACTGCTATGCCAAGATCATTAGTGCACATTGATATCTCTGATTACTCAACTTGAATCTACTACTCATGTAGAAATGCAGTTGGGGCGTCACCATTCAGTCGGCCAAGCTTCGAGAGGGTATTGGGCATTGGGATGCTGTTGATTCTTATACGTTCGCTGTCTATGGGTATACCGCTCAGGCATCTCCCCCGTTACCGTCACAGTTCATCGCGGTGTTGTGCCTTTTGGATGCCGTCTCGGCCGAGAGGTTGTGTCCTCCCTCGTTCCATCGGCAGCAAGCGCGTCGTACGGCTTGGGTTGGTGCTGCAACGTCTAGAAGTCATTCTCATCGCTTCCTGCAATAATTACATTGTTGACCTATCCATCGGGTTAGTGTCGGAATAAAGGGAGAGGTTGAAGCAAACGTGGTACGGGCCGAACGAATGGAGTATGGAGTATGCAGCGGAACGGAGAAACCAATGCAAGGCGCACGATCAATGAATCGATCTCCTCGTTGGTACCGCAAATGATTGCGCGTTCTCGAGTGTTACAATCGACGCAAATTTGCATGCTGCGCTGTGTAACAGTGATATCACTCCCCGCTTCCCCGACTTCGGTTGTCGAGCTCAGACGAGTAAGGGAGGAGGCACCAACTCAGGGGACTCGGAAGGGATGGCGGCAAGCGAATGTGGAAGCGGGATGTTGTAACAAAAACAACGTAAGAAAAGTAAGGTAATGATACGTACCTTGAGTACCATCCTGCACAATTGTGTAGCGAGCAGTAGCTGTTGCCTCTTCGAGATCAAGGGATCGATCACGAAATGCTCTCTCATATCTGCAATAGCGCCACGTTAGCACGATCTCAATGGTTTCAGCCACCAAGGTAGCCCGTGACATATTGATAGAGTGACAGCAAAGCACTGTGTCTCAAGGGTGTGGTTGCTTGATGCCCAACGAAGCGTGAGGGTGTGCGTGGGGGTGTAACACTACGTCCCACGTACGCGCTGGCGCGGGAACATATATGCACAACGGGACTACGCGTTCTCGGAGATGAACCGCGATGCGGATACGCTCAACGGCGGTGAAAAGAAAAGGAAAACTTGTCCTGCTGACACCAAGAAATCATGGCAGATCGGGAGAATACCGTAGCAAACATCGAGGCAATAAGAAACATGTGGGAAATTGTGCACTTACCATTGCTTCCGGTTTGCATGCAGTCGACACCTAACCTTGTGTTCTTTTCTTTGGCTTGTCGGGATTTGATGTTGGCGAGAGTCTCGATAGGACTGAGACCAGAGTTCTCAGCCAACGCCATGGGCACGCAATCGAGCGCATCGGCAAAGGCGCGCATTGCGTACTGCTCGAGACCAGGACTCTGCGAAGCCACATTAGATGTGACAGTAACATTACAGTTGTTGGTCTTACCTTGACTGCCGCATCCTCGACTGCCAATGAGCACGCAACTTCGGCGGCTCCACCACCATAAACAATCCGGTTGTCCTTGACCAGGTTCCGGACTACACAAAGTGCATCGTGTAGTGAACGTTTCGCCTCGTCGATGATCTACGCTTGTTAGTGGCGCCACCTCGTTAGGCTGATATATGAACATACCATCTTGTTGCTTCCTCGGACAAAGACTGTGACGGCTCTTGTGTTTGCGCACTCCTCAATGACTAGCATCTTATCCCTCGTCGTTCCGAAGGTCAGCTCGCGGACAATGCCCGCCTTGCCAAGCTTCTCTGCGCTGAGGTCCTCGAAACGTGGCACGATGCGCCCGTTGGTAGCGATGGCAATCAATTCAATCTCCGGCCCACCGACCCATCGCACCGCGGGTAGCTTGTTTGTGAGAAGAAGATGGTTTGCCTCATCGTCGAAACCCCACTGACATATTACTACGTTTGCGCCCGTATCCTTGATCTGGTTGATCATCTCGGTGAACTTGCCTGACTCGTAGGTCTGTAGTTTCTTGAACTCCTCGACGGAGGTGATGTCCAACTTGTGCTTGGTCTTGGGCTTTGGCGGCTCGAATGCGCAAGTTAAGATGGCGATCTTGGCGTCCTTGACCTCGGAGGGCATCTGCGGGTGGGAGAAGTCTTTGTCTACTATGACACCCTTGACGAGCAGTGTGTCTTCCAGCGAGCCGCCTACTTTGCCGTCGACCTTGATTAGCTCGAAGTCGACATCTTTGCGGTCCAAATCCGCTACAGAGAGTACAGCGTCTACGGCGATGGTGGCGAACTGGTCGTGTGCTTTGGAGACAATTTTGCTACCTAAGCTCGTCTTGGCCACGCGGAATAGCTGCTCGGTGTTCTCCTTGGAGAAGTGAATCTCGTCACTGATTTCGTCGAGCTTGGCCACGGCAACCTCGCAGGCCTGGTCGTAGCCGTCTGCTATCCTGATGGGGTGAATGCCCTTGTCGATGAGGTCGGCTGCTTGCTCGAGCAGTGCGCCTGCCAGGACGACGACGCCCGTTGTGCCGTCACCAATTTCGTCGTCTTGTGACTTTGACAGCTCGACGAGGAGTTTCGCGACGTGGTTCGAGATCTCCATCTGGGAGAGAATGGTGGCACCGTCGTTCGTGACTGTGATGTCGCCATCGGGCGATATCAGAATCTTATCCAGTCCTCGCGGTCCCTGTATCCCTATAAGCCTGCGTTCTCGTTACATGTGTATTCCACTTGTATGCGTACTAGGGACGTCTTGACAATGTTCGCTACCGTCTTTGCGGCCAAAATGTGCGACTTGACGGCTTCGTTGCCATGCTGCCTCTTCTTCTTGCCTTGACTATCTTCTGTATCAGCTACTGCTCTTACTGCCAGTTCTTCGGATATGCGTCTGGTGTTCCACGTACTCTCTGACAATGATAAAGGGCCTGCCCGCCTCGTCCTTCATCACCTGCGCTGTAATCCACTTTGTCAGTTGCTGCCAGTGCGGTTTCGCGGCGAATTCTCGCGTCGTAAGAGGGTCGGAGGCATACCGTTGGACATGTCGAGTTCTGTAAGCCATAGCAGTCAGCAAGTGATTCTGGTATAGGAATGATTCCGTGTTGGAGATGTTGTAGCCTGCACCACTTACGCATCGCCATGGTGAACAAACGCTCTGCTCAACCAATATAATAAAAGATGCGAGATCAACTAGCTGTAGGGACACGCCAGCAGCTATTTCGACGTGTATGGGAGAGTGAGGGGTGGTGGGGTAATTTCGTAAACAGCTTGTATCTCACACCTTGAAATTTCCCCAGAAGATCCTTGGCAACTAAACGCACGGCCGTCGCGTCGGCCTTCGTAGCTTCTAACCATCCGACTATGCAACAACAACCTTGGTTTGGTTTGCGCCTCCACCACATCTCTCTCAGCACTGCGGCGCGTGCAATTGCCTTATTTTGCCTCGCCCGAGCTTTCGGAAGCTATCGCTAACCCATCCCACCTTGCGCCAACCCTAGCGACAGCTTTCAAGATGCCGCGTGAGTTACGCCCACTCACTAGAGCATCCAACGCGTACTATATGTATAGCTGCTAACGCGCGCACAGCTGCACTCAGCGATGACAACGAGTCCTCTGGCGACGAGCAGATCCCCGCGCAGAAGAAAGGAAGGCGGCCCAATGCGCAGGCCGAGCTAGTCGAGGACGAGGACGAGGTCGACGAGGAAAATCAGGAAGATTCGGTCGAAGACGAGTATGCGCAATCCTTGTGCGCACTTTGATCGTATCGCGCTGACCGTGCTAATGACAGATACATCGTGGAAAAGGTTCTGGGTCACCGTATCAGAAAGGTGCGCCTCCTCCACCTCTGCTACTGCGCCCGTAACTAACAACACCAGGGCGAGCTGGAATACCATGTCAAGTGGCAGGGCTATGATGACCCCGCTGACCACACCTGGGAGCCTGAGCAGAACATGTATGACCGACCGACGTGCCTTACAGCTAGCGAGTCGCTAATAACAAACGCAGGGATGGCGCCGTCGATGTGCTGAAGGAATATTTCGACCACCTCGGCGGCCGACCAGAGATCAAGGGACAGAAGCGAAAAGGACGACCGTCAGCCGCCAAGTCCGAATCAGGGACCCCCGCCTCGAGTGCCAAGCGCGCGAAACAAGAGAAGCAGTGGAGTCCACCCCCGGGCTCGTGGGAACACGATGTCAGCCATATCGACACTGTTGAGGAGAGTTTGGACCCCAAGACGGGCGAAGCCGCACGCTTCGCATACCTAGTCTGGAACAACCAGAAGAAAACACAACACCCACTCAAGCATGTCTATGTCAAGTGTCCACAGAAGGTGCGCTTCCTTTGTGAAATCCAAGCTGAGTATGACTTGGCTAATGTGTGACAGATGCTCCAATACTACGAAAGCCACCTGGTCTTCACACAGAACAACGACGGGCTAAATGGTGACGATGATGACATTTAACGTCACCATGAAGAAGCCTCACTGATGCCGCCCAGGCGATTAGGTATTCCAGTTCCAATACAGACCGAGCTTTACTACGGAGCAGGAACTCAGCATCAGTCCAGCAGTGAAAATCGAACACATGTTACCTAGAGGGGTCGAGGCTCCGTAGACGCAGTCATTTCGAATCTGTCGCTATATTGACCGATCTCGGTTGTTCACATCAGATTTGTTCACGGCGCTCGTGCACTTTGCTCAGAATAGCGTACCGGGCGGCGACATGGAGTATGCGGCCTTTGAATAGCGCTATGGTCGTTTTTGGATGGAGTATCATGGGCGACTGGAAGTTTACAAACTGTACTCTAGTATTAATTCTTTACACATTCAAAGACATTGAAATTCTCTCTACGCTGCGAGCTTGCTGGGCATCAATATATATAGGATCTCGTGCAAAACAGCATCAGGTAAAGGAGATTCAGAGCGAAGCACTTCCATGGGGCACACGTTGCAAGAGCAAATCATCCATCATGGAGAAGTAGTAGTATGAGTAGTTTGAACATGTCATTATTCAGATTCTAAAATCGAACAAGCTATATACAAGAAACGCGAAAGCCGACTCAACACCACCTTGGCGGTGTAGGCCCTATATCCCAAAAGCCAGACAAACATAGCTCTTAGTTAGCTAGCCAAGTCGCATCATTAATCACATCACATCAAAGCTCTCATCCAAGCATGCCATATTTTATCCTATACGGATCGCAATGCCCAAACTCCAGATCTCAAGTTCCTAATTCCAAGCCCCAGATCCCAAACGCCATGCCATGCTATGCTATCAATGCATATGTATATGTACCCGTTCTCTGTCGTATCGCGTCGTTGCGTGCAAATGTATCGCTGGAAATGTGTACATGTCTCGCTTTCTTCACGCTTCTGTCATGTCTGATACAGACGATGCAGTGCCGCCGACGGCCATGCGTGTTTGTAGGTAGTAGATCAGGTATGCGATGAGGGCGATGAGGATGAATAGAATCAGGATGATGAGGAAGATGACGATGTTGCGCTTCATGATTGCGGGGCGAGGGTATCTCGCGGTTGGAGGTTGGAGGAAGAGGGTGCGATGCGCGAGGACGATTCGTTTGGGGTTGCAAGGACGGTGTCGCGGTGTTTGCGCGAGATAAGAGTGTGGGTTTGAGAGTTGTTCTTCTGATCAGAGAGAGTTAATAACCTGCACAGTATAGTTTTTAGAACTGTACTTACCTCTCAACGTTCCTCGGATGGCAAGTTGGCGGCGGAGTGTTACTGACAACGCAGAAGGCCCAAGCTTTCAATCTATTGTCTGAGCAACTTCAATCTCAATTTGATTCAGAGATTTATGAAAACTCAAGTTGCGTAATGTGAAATCGTGTAATGGTGAGTATGGTATGCAGCCAAGTACCACCTTTGGAATGTGGCACGCAGCAACTTTTGTAGAGACATGGCGGGGTGCGTGCGCGGGGGTGGTTGGGTGGTTGGGTCGCGTCCGCGGGGTTGGGAATGGCTGGACGGTCTGGTGAGGCTGGATTTGAAACCGAAAGGACACTATGGACGATAATTATGATGACGACCAGGTAAGAGTAGAAAGGCAAACCTGGTTTGCAACGAAATGATCTTCCCTTTCGAGATGATGAACGGTATTCTTCGGATGGAAAGGGCGCGTAATCACGTGTCCACGGCTTGGCGTGTTTCCGAGAATTAGTTGGAGAAGCGCGGCCTAAGGTTGTCGAAATGACACTATAACCTCATACAGATCAAGAGTCATTTGTTGCTTGAGAGAGGACATGAGAAATCAGGGTCTAAATTGGCTTCGGCATTACTCTACCACTTCTCTCGTCGTAAGGGTGAAGCCCGTAGCCGCCAACCGGCCCGACTCACCTGATGTAATCATCAACTTAATGCCAACGTCCATGATATCGATCGTGCCCACCTCAGCTGTTTTATACATGATCTATCCCCTTTCATACTTCTCTGCGATTGCCTACTACCACGAAACAAGATCGCCAACCAAAGCACACCCTGCCAACCCCAAACCTCGATCATGTCGAGCACATCGTCCGAGTGCGATCGTTGCACTGCAAAAGAAAGTTGGCATATTTATGCGATGAAAGATATGCAGAGGAAATGCACAGCAATATTATTTTGTCAATTGACGGCTTTCGGGACCTCCAGGCAGGCAGCAGCACCATTTTACCTTATCCGGGATTAAACAAAACGTAAGAGCGTATTATGCAGACGGGAGAAGATGGCAGGGAGCGGCTACGTTGTTTCGCCGGGATGCGCAAATTACATCGAAATGAGCATTTCAAAATTGCTGCAAGTCGCGTTGCAGACTGCGTCTTTTCTCCTCATGCATCGCCCCCTCGTCTAGTACGGGTGACACCAAGCTCCTCTTATCCACCGGCGATAGGTATTCCCCGAGAAAGTTCTGCCCATCTGTGATCACTTTGCGCCCTACGAGAAGTACGTGGAGGTGCATGCCTGTGGAACAGTCTCCCAAGGGCTAAAATATTCTCACGGCAAGGTCGCCACATCAACAAACGCCACTCGAACTTCTCAAGCTGCCCCTGGAATATCGACCTGATCGAATTTTGGTAGGATATGGCCCTCATCATTAAAGCTTTTGGGCCTTTCGCGTTTATAATGAGGTTGTATCGCGCACATCAGCTTATATTTAATTACTTTGACGAACCCTGAGTCACTGCCGGCGGTGTTGCACAACACTTTACCATTCATTCCAGACGAAGCTTAGTATCCAGTTATTTGCATGCGTTTGCCTCCTGCACACATTGGGTAGCCTTTTCGCCCAGCCGTGGGTTGCCACATAACTCTTAATTACCAGGCATCTATGCACTGCTCTTTGTAGAGTAGGCCTCCTGAGCTGATTTACTCTCCAAGGACATTACCTTTGACTATGCTGCGGATGTGCACGTTGTTCGGACAGATGTTTGCTTGTTTAACGAGATCATATCTCCCTGTGACAAGGAAATAGCGGGTCCGATGCCATGGGGCTTGAATATGGTAGACTGAGAATGGTACGAGATGATAAATCAAGCAGGTGTAGTCTCACCCGGGTTGGGGGCGGAACGTGACGAGCCGATATGCAGGACCGGATATGAAGACCTTACCCGAATGGTTCCCGAACAAGGTAGTTGACATAATGTAAGTTTTGCCCTGACTTAAATATGTCATACCTACTCATCTCTGCGCTACCGGCCGACCCTATGGGCATCTGCACCGCTACGGTCGCATCGGTGGCCACACTACCCCACAGCTAATGAAATATTAGTCCTCGTGCAACATGTTCATGTTAAAGTTCCCCGTCGGCTGGTTTCCATGGGCGCCGCGGAGCAGATAAACTCCGCGCATGACTCCAGATCCCGATCCCGAAACAGCGATCAATAGTTACCTCGACCGATCAAACTACATTCTTTAGTAAGCACCCGACACGATCTATACGAAGCATTCGTGCTGAACAAATCAATGCAAAGAACCGTGTCTTGCTGCAAGGCAGTTTGTATACACGGTACGACATTTTGCACCGCCATGACTGACTTTGATCTCTGTGTAACGACAAGAAGAGTTCATCTTTCCTGAATTGTATACATATAGGTTGTATAGAGCATGCGAATCCTAGATTACTCCACATCTCTCACGAATCGGGTGAAGCAACGCCTTTTGCAATGCAACTAACGGTAAGCATTACCAGCCATATGAAAATCACGGGCCTTGTCCCGCAACTATTCAAGGCCTATGCACATCGATCTCCTTGTGTATCCCAAGACGCATTCCCGTAAGATATTTCCCGCCTGACAAACCATGCCATTGGTTGTAAGATGTCATCGATACCAGATTAGGATATACACATCTTGGCACCTATATGATCACAGCAAGCCCGTCCAGGTTTCTCTTTCTCTCTTTGCCGAAACAGCCATATTTTCTGCTATCTCTACTATCACCAGTTATCTTATCATCTTTTATATTGATTCTTTGTTCTTACACCACCGATAAACTTGATCCTGAAAAAAAAAAAGGTATTTGCTCTTACAATTATTGTACAACTGACTACGGCTCGGTCTCTTTAGCCGGTTTTGCAACCATGCGGTGTGTTGTGAAACACAGCCTTATATTAACCACCTTCTTGGCGGCTGCCGCTGGGGAACGTGGTGCTCTTTCTTCGAGCTTACCGGCAGCGGCCCAACCAAGCGCCGTACCACTCTTGGGTATCAACCTCAACGGAAATGCCGTGGGGTCCTTGCTTGGCGGCGTCACCGGCGCCCTAGGCGACACAACCACAGGAGTAGTTGGCGGAGTCGGAGGAGTCGTCGGGGGAGTGGGTGGCGTGGTGGGTGGAGTCGTTGGAGGAGTGGCAGGTGTCCTCAACGTGACGACCCAGACTGTCGCCGACATCCTATCACCCAGTCTTACCCATCTTCTGACGGCAAGTATTGCTCGTAGAATATGATACATGATCTGACGTGTTGTAGGATGCTCCATTAAGTGTACTCGATGGTCTCCTAAAGGAAGTCTTACACCCACAGCCCCGCGATCCCACTTACCACGGCTGGCAATACTGGGGTTGTTTCTCTTCCGCCACTTACATCTCGACCCACACTCCCAAGGTCACCAACGCTGCTAATGGAATGAGCCCGAACATGTGTATCTCGTTGTGCGTTGCAGACGGTGTGGATTTCGCAATCGTAATCAACAACCAATGCTATTGCTCCAACGACAGGCCTAACAATGCCGATGGATCCGACAAATGTACCACAGCCTGCCCGTCGAATCCGGGTCTCATCTGTGGAGGTGTAGGAGGACTACTTACTACAGGAGCTATGTCGGTCTTTCGACGAGCTATAACCTCCATCCCAGGGCCTTTACCTGCTATACCTGAACCCATGGGCTGGAGATACAGTGGGTGTTTCTCCGGAGATGCCTTTATAGCTACTGCCATATCCAGTGGTTATGCTCAGTACTTCGCCAGTCCTGCGCCACTCAACGCTACCATATGTGCTACAACATGTAACTCCAATGGGAGGAGTTTTACATATGCTGCTCTGTACGAAAGGGGATGCTACTGTTCGAACACCGCTCCCCCCTCGAGCCTACAAGCCGGCCTCGGACAGTGCACCAGCCAACCTTGTGCAGGGAATACAGGAGAATCTTGCGGTGGCGAAAGCAACTACGCGCCCTACGGACTCAACACACGTTCCCTAATGATTACACTATACGCCAAGGCTCCTGCACCACCGACGTCAACACCGCTGGTACCCAACACACCCGGCCCGCAAAACTGGAGCTACTGGGGCTGCTACTACGGCGCACTCTACCTCCTCGATACCATCCTCAACGGTATCCAAACATCGGTTCTCCTCGACCCTACTGCAATCATGAGCGATGATATTTGCATCAAATACTGTCTCGCAGCAAGCGTTCTGCCCAACCCTACCTTCAACTTCGCGCTCACCTTGAGTGGGACTTGTTTCTGCAACACCAAGCCGCCGACAGCAGACCTACTATCGTCTAATCAGGCAATGTGTAATCAGCCATGTCCAAATAATTCTACCCAGAGGTGTGGTGGTATCGATCCGAATGTGCCGCCGACTTTGGGCCGTGAATTGATCAATATTCTCGGAAGAACTGTGAAGGTAAGTGGATTTCGATACTGTTACGAACTGTACATATGCTTGAAACTGTGTTCTGTGTTGTGCTTAACCCGGAACCTCGGTTCTTACCGGGTCAAATCGAGAGCAAAGTCACATAATTGCACATGCAATAGCACCAGGAAGCTTTCCGTCTTTGCGGAATACAAGAGCTCATCGCACCAGGTAAGTCCCTCATCCCCCAGATGCCGAGAACTAAGTGTGTCACAAGGACTACCTATATGTCGTCCATTGCTATTTTGTAGACTTTTGAACACGAGTTCTCGGGCGAGGTTCGTACCGATACACGTTAATCTGTTTTGGAGCTCAGAGGAAGATATGTAAATCACGACACGCTTATGTGCACAAGAGATTTGCGCTATATTAACGAGTTGAGTATAGAGTCATGCAGAAGAAGTATATTTGGTGAACGCATCGGCTGGAGTAAATAAAATTATAGAACAGACTACGATCTGTTTCAAAACACAATCTAACGCTTAAACTGCCTGAAAGTTGCTTGCTAATACTCTATGATGCTCGAGGATACATCTTAAGACAGGATGCTGTTCAGCGGGTAGTAAGAGATTTCTGACCTGCTCCCGAGACATTAATTAAGCCCCGGTCCTTTTACTGCAGCCTTATGGTAGGATAAGCATCTTCAGCCTCCGCTCCACTAATAGAATGAATATTTCGGCATGAGTTCCTCGAATGATACCGGTTAGGCTGTCACCTTGTGGATCGCGCAAATGACTCTCGTCAGAGCATCCTTTGTCTACATATATCATATCATCTTCGAGGTACGCCGAAGCCCTCAAATTCGTCAAATTTGAGAGCCCAAGGTCTTAGTAGCAACATACCAGAACTTGCAGTGGATATACCGAGATAACACCTCAAATTCCGCCTTTATTCAGGGGGCTACAGCATGTGATATCATTATTTGGGATAAAAAAACTCCTTGTATCATTTAAGCTACTAGTGTGGCCCCCTATGCTTCTCATCGTCCGGTATCAGTTGCAGATCATGCCTCCAGGTTAGCCTCTGGATTCATACTAAGACAATATCTTTGACCATATCTCCCATCTCTTTAACAAGCTCCCCATACATGATGTCGTGCAAATAGGCTTCGCCTATTAGCTCGTACTGTGCATTGCCCTTAGGCCGGAGGACATATGGAACCTTGCCACCCGCTAGTACCCAAATCTCATCACCTTCTTGCGTTGAGCGCATACCAGTTCCAATCCTGCAATTTTTCGTTGTGAAGAGATCCCTATCCTGCATACGGGAATGAAGGGACTGCAGGAAGTTCTGAATTAAGCATAGAACCTCCTCTGGTGAATATCTGTATTGGAGTGGACTGAACAATACCGACTCTTTTTCGGAATATAAACGACCATAGGGAATGCAGTTCTGTTCCAGGCCGACTATCTTCTCATATACTGCATATTCACGCCGACCGATATCCTCGCTGCATTCATCTGGACTTGTTCTCATCACGAGGGAAGTATCGAAAGGAAGACCCCCTACGATCGTACCTAGGAGAAACTCGAACACCTCTCCATCTATCGTTTGGGCGACAAAAGGAGGCTTGATATGCTCTCCGGGGATCTCAACCACGCTTTCGTTTGCTAGAAGCGTTCTCCAGAGCCGATCGCGGGGTCCCACAACAATAACATCCAGTAGAGGCTCTAAGAATCGTAGTCCACAAACATCAAATTGAGTGACTAGGTGTACTGTATCGTAATAGATACCTGACACTGGTAAGGTGCGATGTGAGCTCTCATGTAGCCCAAGACGTAAAGGCATATTTCGAGAAGCATCGAAGCTCACTAGTCTTTGGCCTGTGATAGGTAAATGGAGGCCACAGCCAATATCAAGTGGGGAATTGAAGCCAGGTGATGTAAAGTCCGGAACCCAGCTTGGAAGGGTCTTTTGTTGTCGGCACTTCTTATCCCCAACGTAAGAGAGGATGCTCAAGCTCTGTGTAGCTTGCATCATCACAAAGGCCGCCCGTGTATATAGTTCGGCTATTGGCATAGCGTAGTCGATAGGGAGATTTTGCCAGCTTGCCTCCGGTACAAGACCAAGGACCGAGTAGAGTTTGTCGGCTGGATTGGAACATTCATTCTGCCGCGTCACTTGGAGTACTACCTGGAGGGGTACCGTGTTATTCTGGTTTAGCCATCGCTCCCTACTCACTTGATTCTGAACACGCAATAAGGTGGTCAGTAGCGGCAGAGTATATATGCTATAATGGCGTGCCATTTTACACGTGCAGGTTGAGTCGTGGCGATGGATGAGACCAGAGCGCAGACTAGCACCATGGACTTGTTGCCATATGTGAGAACTGGAGCTTATCGCATTCGTCGGCATCGATTGTTCTTGTGCCGCCCATATCTCATATGGCACCATATAGAGTGATGTGTTGTCAGGAGTGTCGATCTCAGTACCAAGTATTTCCAATTGATATCCCCAGCCCATTACTGCCGTATTCTCTGCTGCCCGTCGTAACCACTTCATCTCGAGGAAAGCATGCCCACAAAACACGACCGTGTTCCGAGAGAGTACGTATTCTTGGATTGTCCAGGACCTGGAGAACCAAGCGCGATCGTATAAGGCTCTCAAACATTGCCATTCATGTTTGCTGATCAAGGGGATTCCAAGTTTCTGGTAGACCTCCGGATCTAACATTCTGCTTGCCAGCAGTTGTTCACATGTCCGTTTTGAAACACTTGATATTGCGCAGACGGCTTTGACGGCTGGTTCAGTCATCGAATCGGACGGGCCTAGCCAAACAACAACCTTTTGAGCCTGTCTATATACCCTGTCCATCAATCGTACCTGAGACGACCGCTCTTGGAGTGAGCCTTGGTTGATACAAATGGCATCTATCCAGAAATAATCGTTCGGTATCTGTTTTAGCAGATCTGAATCATCGTCCGACCTGTCTCGTTCTAGGAAATAATGCCATTGTATCATGGCGTGAAGGAAGGAGAGACAGTTTTTTGTTACGCTGACCGGATGGCCGTTGCAGATGATTTCGTACTTGCCGTGTATAGGCTTTTGAGAAATATTTGGATTCGGAACATCGGTAGGATTGGCTCCAGGGTCGCCCCAAGTATACGAAAGTGCGGAGTATTGAGGTAGACTATCCAAGTCAACAATATCGACTTGGCAGATAACCTTGCCGATTGGATTAGGCTGTTTGAGAACTTTCAGAATGCGGATGGAAGTTGTGGTCGGTAAGGTGGAGTACATTGACGCAGGGGTATCCTCAGCCCATCCAAACTCTTGCTTCATCAGAATCTCCAATTCTAAAAGCTCGTTCATTCTCAAGGACCAAGTTGACCTTCATCTGTTCAGAGAACACGGAGGATCAAGTAAAGATCACAGCGGCGGCTGTTGAAACAGAAAATGATTGACCGGTAAAGAAAGCGGGGGTGGCTGTCGTACTTCTGCATAATCGACCGGTGAAGGATGCGGGGGTGGCTGTCATAATCCTGCATAATCGACCAGTGAAATTCGGAGGTAGTTGTCATAGCCTTGGATAAGATTGTAAGGCTGAGAGGGTATGATAGTTACTTTCAATACGTATTGCAAACTCGTAAGATCGAATTAAAGTAATAGCGTTTGCGCATCCAGGAACAGCCAGTAAGTCTACTACGCTTACGTTAGAGACAAATGCCATGGCAAATTCCTACTAATACGCTGTCTTGTACTTTGCAGAGGTGCCATGAGCGATTAACATGTAGCGCTAGGTGAAAGTCTGAACGCGAACACAGTCGAGCTCCTGACTGGCAAAGGTGCAAACCCCAACCCAGCCCTTAGTTTCTCAGCCACTGTTTGGGCTGTGTTCATGGCGGTAGTAAATCGACAATCTTCGGGAAAATCGGTTTACTATGCTTTGAACATTGGAACTTCTCATTTTCTACGGCGCTGATCTCGACGTACTAATTTCCCGACCAGCAAGCCTAGAATACACTCTGAATATTACCTCACAGCGTCTGAGGTTACACAGGACGACTTTCCAGACGACGCCGGGTTGTGATTGAGTAAATGCCACGAGGAGCCTTATTCGGTGGGCCGTTTCTTGCATGGCTGTTTTCAGGAAATCTCCTCATTAACAGCGGGATCGGAGTCTACCAATCATTTTCTCATAAACGGACATTTCCATCTTCGACTAACGATCGTGTCAAGAATCAAGAACTAGAACGCGCGGCGGCGCATACGATGACTTCGAAATGCGGCTAGTGCCAATGGAAACAGCCGGCTGTCGCGTTTTTGTGGACGCTAGGTGCTTGCACGGGATACACTACGGCGAGCGTGTGGCTGTCTAACTTCGGTTCCGTAATTGTAGCGTGGTGATGAAAATGCTCTATATGAACATATATGAAGTCGAGAGACGACTGCACAAGCTTTCCAAGCCTTGTAGGGCGCACCAAGCCTCTGTTTCTTTACCCATCGCTCCACAGCTCCACAAGAGGTCCACAACATGATCGCCATTGCCACACGTTCGCAAAAGCCTCCACCTCATATTGCATGGCGCTTGACCTCAGTTCTGCTTAAGAATCCCTTTATATTCTTGCTCCGTCGTATTACTTGTTCACGCTCTTGTTGATCACATATGTCGTGATAATGGTGGGGGCGTAATGGGCGGACTCTACCCGCGGGAAAAAAGCAGCGATTGCTGCTGCCGAGAGAACCAAGACTCGTGCGAGTGCTTTCGCCTACATACTGTTCGGCTCATCAAGCTGATAATAGTTTGGGAACAGGTGCAAACGTAGATGGTCCTTCAGCCCTGTGAAATGTTCAGGGGCGGAGATGAAGGGTCTCTTAGCCTTGCCGACCGTCCGAACACGGTGGCACGAGCTGATTAGATTTTACGTTGATGCAACCCAGTCAGGCCTTTGCGTGCAGCACTACTACCATAAGGAAGTCTTCTCCCGGCCACACCACGGAGAGCAAAAAATTCGAACTTTGTCTGGCCTGTAGTTTAGATCCTTCGGAGAGGCCTTTTTCATATCTGATTTCTAATAGTGGCCTGCTAGTTGCCGGGCGGGGCAGGTTTCTCGAGCATGGACACCACGCTTGCCCAGGTCAGCCCATGGATGCCGGGGAGAAGGTATCTCTATTGGCCGCGCATATGCAGGAGCATAGGGCTTACCTCTCCCGTGCCGTCTTAAATCCGTTCTGTTCAGGCCTAGCAACGTGGCAGCGGTACGCGCCATTGTCAAATTTGCTAGGAAAACGGTTGCTAGCAAGTACGGAGGGCCCCATGCTGGGCTAATTCTTTCGAGTATCGAACGATGCGAGACACATAAATTGAAGGCTTCGTGGGGCGCGAAACACTATTTCGAGGGTCCTGTCTCCGCGGGCACCCCCGCGCTTTACGAATTCATGACGACAACGGACCAGATGACGAAAATACATGCAAGCCATGGATGCGGCGCGCCTCGCGGTGGTTTTCCATCAGATAAAATGGAAAGGTTTTCATCTGATAACGGACGGCCTGACGCTAGCGGCAGGGCTGATTGGATGGTGCGCGCCACCGATGGTCACTGATGATCGAGATAAGATTTTTCCCGCGTTCTGGGCGTTCTTGAGAGAGCCTATGACCGGCCCTTTTACTCTGATAGGCACGTTAAGCTTCGCTTGGTTAACGCTTGTTGGGAGGGGCAGATTCGGTGCATATTGACCTTCATATGTGTTGCCTTTTTCATACGCGCCATAGGGCACCAGACCCTCAACAATGTGCTACCCAGACGCGAAAGCCGACGACCGGGGTACGATGTGCAAGGCCCTGCATGAGAGTGCAGTATTTTACCCGCATATATATATGAGCCCGCAGTTCGCTCGGCTTGCCATCTTATCAATCTTACCATCTTTACTTCCGATTTTCACCGTGTCCTTGCACCCCTGAAATCCAAGATGGGCCTCTCCTTCAAGGGATTGGCCAGCAATGCGCTGCTCTCACGTAGCAACAAGGGCGTCGAGGAGAACCACAAGGACGTCGCTGATGTCCCCGCAGCCGTCCAAGGCCATACCAGCCTGGAGGATACTCCTGATGAGAAACTTGGCGCGCCGAGGTCGCCCTTGTCCTTCAACTCTGATGAGGAGTTGAACAAGGTCGATACAACTGCCGAGCATGGTGTGCAGGCGATACAGGCTTCCACCCAAGTGTGGAGCAAGAGGGACTTGATCCTGGCATATATCTTGTAAGTCTACACCAAGGCCACGGTTGAATTCGAATTGGACTAACAACACAAAAGCATGTGGCTCATCGCCTTCATGATGTCTTTCTGCTCCAGCTCGTCAAGCACCCTTTCGCCATATGTCACCTCGTCTTTCAAAGAGCACTCCCTCACGGCCTTGACGAGCGTCATTTCATCCATCGTCGCTGGTATCTGGAAGCTTCCGTACGCCAAGATCATGAACATCTGGGGCCGTCCCTTCGCGCTCTGCCTTGGTATCTCCATGTTCGTGCTCGGCCTCATTCTGATGGCCACCTGCAACAACGTCAAGGCCTACTGCGCTGCCCAGACTTTCTTCTATACCGGCTACAACAGTATCGACTTTTTCATGACTGTCTTCATTGCCGATACCTCCAAGCTCAAGAACCGAGGATTCTTCATTGGCTATGCTGCTTCCCCTTTCCTCATCACCACCTGGATTTACGGCTATGCTGTTCAGAGCGTTATTGCTCCCGGCGGCATTGGCTTTCGGTGGTGCTTCGGTATCTTCGCCATCATCTTTCCCATTGTCTGTATCCCGTTCGTTTTCATGTTCTTCAAGCATGAGGCCAAGGCGCGCAGGCAGGGACTCATCCCGCCGCGACCGAGCCGTGGCTCCATGGGCCAGACCATCTTCTACTATCTCCGGGAATTTGATGTCGTTGGCCTTCTCATCCTAGCCACCGGTCTTGCGCTCTTCCTCCTCGCCTTCAACCTGTACTCGCTGCAGGCTAAACTCTGGAAGGCACCGTTGATCATCTGCTTCCTCATCTTCGGAGGACTTCTCATCATCGCATTCGGTTTGTGGGAGAAATTCTTTGCGCCCGTCACCTTCATCCCGTGGCCGCTGCTCAAGAACCGCACTGTCATCTTCACCTACACCATGGTCGCCGCCATGTACACCGCCTGGTATATCTGGGACTCGTACTTCTACTCGCTACTTCGCGTCATGTTCAACCAATCTGTTCCCCACGCCACCTACATTGCCAACATCTATACCATGGGTAGCTGTTTCATCTGCCTTGTGTACGGAGTCGCGCTGCGCTACTACGGAAAGCTGAAGATCTGGTCCCTGTTCTGGGGTGCACCGCTTATGATCCTTGGTGTTGGTCTCATGATCAAGTTCCGCCAGCCAGACGAGAACATTGGCTACATCGTCATGTGCATGATCTTCATCGCCTTTGGTGGCGGTGTCCTCGTCACTTCGGAGCAGACTACCATCATGGCCGTCTCCAAGCAACAAGACTTCCCGGCTCTTCTTGCTGTTGAGTCTATGATTGTCGCCATCGGAAATGCCATCGGCTCTACTATTGCTGGTGCCATCTGGACCGGTATATTCCCCGTTCGTCTCATGGCCAACTTGCCCGCGGATGCCCAGGCGGACTTCGCCAGTATTTATGGTGACATCGATGTCCAGACCAGCTACGCTGTTGGTACCCCAACGCGCGACGCAATCAACCTCAGCTATGGCGAGACTCAAAGGTACATGCTTATTAGCGCTACCTGCGTTTACATCATCGTTCTCTTCAGCATTGCGATGTGGCAGAACGTCGATGTCAGGACCATGAAGCAGAGGACCATTGGTCTCTTGTAGACTGATCCTATCTTGGTGTTTGGCCATCGACCGAAGTTCGAGGCACTGTTCGCTGCGTAACGTTTGTATGTATTCACCTATCTAGGATGAACGTGTAATGTAGGAAACGATCGCGGTGGATTAAAAACTGACCTAAAAGTAATCAAAGTGTTCTAAATTCTATACCTGACCATCTTCTTGCCTCGTGTACCTTTTTTGTGCAAGTTCCTGGCTTATCTTCTGCTATCATCGTCGAGTGAAGGTAGTGCAGACTACTCTTGGCGGCTACTCGACGCATCTCATTCTGAATGACCCGTAATTCACCTACGTAAAGACGCGGTAATAAGCATCCCTGATAGGCACAGTTACGCCAATGATTATTATCGCAGTATTATACATTAAGGATTCGAGCGTTTGATTGGTCCAATACCTGGACCCTACAAATACCCCAGACGGCGAAGCTCTCATAATGTCACATGTAGCAAAGCTGCAGTGATGAAGGCTGCAAGGAAAGCAGATCCAGAATCTATGTTCAAACCACCAGCGGACCCAGTGTTCCCGGGACCAGTTTGCGCGGATTGAGCATCGGAGCTGCTAGTCGCTGACGCTGTGGCAATGCTGGCTGGTGTTCTCGAAGCCGTCGTCGCTACAGGCTTCGCTGGAATCGATGATACGGTGTTCGAAGTGGATGAGCTGGACTTGCTAGGCTTGGACCCGTCACTTGCGATACCACCCGCCTTCGCCATCTTGACCACCTGGCTTACAACCTCCTCGTTATGCATGACAAAGTAGTTCAGATGGGCTTCCACGCTCTCCGGTGTGCTTCCGACGGCGCACATGGGATCGCCGTGGTGGCAGTAATCGAGTAGGACGTTAGAGTATTTGTTGAGGGCCTCGAGTTGTTCGGGTGTACGTGCGCGTCTGCCGTCGTAGGGTTTGCCATCGCCAATGGTGAAGTTCTGGTCGCGGCTACGCACCACGGCGCCGAATGTGATCGCTGCGACGACTATTGATCATGAGTACTTGTCCCAGGCAATCGTGACATGTGCAATGAGACTTACCCTTCGAGCCCGGTGCGCTGGAGGCTTCCATGGCCGGATTGACTACCTGCTCACATGCAAAGACATGTCCTCCACCTCCACCCAATATATCCTGCGCAACGGCAGCACCCTGCGAGAAACCCAGTAAAATTAACTTGCTGTCTGGACACTTCTCACTGAACGCCTTCATCTGTGCCTGTCCGCTCGCTGCCCCCTTGGCCGCCGACTTGCACCATTCTTCCGTTCCCCATGCTGTGCTTTTCGCAGGGTATTGGATATTCTCGAAACCGCAGTCTTCACCACCGAGGGCTGAGCAGATCTCGCTTGTGAGGTTTCCTAGGCGGCCAGGGTACGGCTCGTCTGAGCCGCGGGACAGGAAGATGTGGAACGGTCGGCAGTCAGAGGTTTGGTATTGGAGGATCTCGGTGGTGTTGCAGTATACGCTGGGAGAGGGCGCGTCGCACCGTTGCTGAGCGAGCACGACTGTAGCGACAAGAGCCAGAGAGGACAATAATGATATCATGATCAGCAGTACGTACTGGTAAAGGGATGGCAAACGAGCGAAAGAAGCGAAAGAGTATTGAAGAACGCTCGATATCAAGGAAATAGACGCCTTTGAATGCAAATGCAAATGCGAGAAGAGGAGAAACGAAAATTCAATACAAGGCAGGCTTCAATCGTCCATGATGAAATCCCACAGCAGGCACACGACCTTGTTTATCGCGAACGCCACCCGCGACGGAGATCCTGGCGCTACTAACGTGGTTGCGTAAGGCTCTCCATGCCAACGCGGCTGTCGGCAGGCTGCCAAGTAGTCATTGAGCGACAGGAGCCACAGCACATGGCCCAGGCGCAGGGACAATCTCCTAGGGGTTCGAGTATTACGTGTTCATGATATCAGGAAAGGCTGTGGGCTTGTCGTGAAGTGTATGTAGTATTTGCAGTAGGTCAGCGTGGAGACGAAGGAGTCGCGAAGGAGCGGTGGTTGCGGGGCTAGAGTGGTGCGAATCAGTAGACCGTACAGCTCAGCTGTCCTCTAGCGCTACTTCAGCTATCCTAGCATAAACTATATATTAGCAGTTAATATTTTTATAAGTAAAATAGTTAAACTTTTTTTTTATACTAATACTTTTATAATAAATTTTAAAATATTTTTAAATGCAAATAATAAGCAAGTATTACTAAGTATATAATTTAAATATAATTAAGTATAATTTAAAATAATTTTAATATATATTTAAAATAAAATTTAATTTTTTATTTTTTGCGCAGCTATTATAAAGGGACGCTAGCTATTATATATTTAATACTATTATTTTAAACTGCTATTATACTTTAAATTAAATTTAGGGCTTTAAATTTAATTTATATATACTATAGCAGTATACTAAAAGTATTAAAGCAATATATAAACTTAGCAATAAAAAAAAATTTAAAAATTTTTTAAGTAATAACTTAGTTATAACTAGCATTTAATTTAATAATATATTTAATATATACTTAAATTTAATTACGCATTATTTTATAGTATATTATTTAATATTTTTTTTTGCTATACTTGCTTATATTTTATTAGTAAATTTAATTATATTTAAAATAATATTTAAATTAAGTTTTTTTTAGCTAGCTAAATAAAACTAAGCTTTATTTTTATTATACTATAACTACCTATTATATAAGTTTATTCTTAAAATAAACTTGTATATATTATATTTTAATATAAAACTTAGTTTAAATTTTTATACTATTATAAATAGCAATACTTATTTATTAGTTAAAATTTAAAGTATACTTATAGTAAAAAAGCTATATTAAACTTTTAGTTTTACTATATTTAATTATATATTTAGCTAGTTTAGGTTTATCCTGCTTTTAATTTTAACTTAGTTATAATTTTAACCTAATATTAGTAAAAATTTAAATAATATTCTATTTTATAAGCATTTTAAAAAGCTAAATAACAATAAATAATTTAAAAAATTATAGTACTATTTATTTATAAAAGTAGACTTCCTTTTAGTATAAAATAAAAAAAACTACTTTAATTTTAATAAATTATTTTTAGAAGTAACTAAAATTAAACTTATATATATTTATATAATATTTAATATTGTATAGCTAACGCAGCCTTTTATACTATTTATTAAAAATAAAATTATTAATATAAATTTTAATAGCAATAGCAATTATAATAATAATAATAATATAGTAACTAGTCCTTAGAAATATCTAAGTATAAACTAATTTATAAATATAGTATGCTAAAAAGCTAGTATAAACTATATAATTACTTACTTATAATTAAAATAATATTTAAACTAAATTATTTATAACTATATATATTTTATAGGCTGCTTTTATACTTATATATTTTTAAATATTTAATACTAAAATAGCTTATATTATTAATACGCCTAATATTGCTACTTTAAAAAATATATTATATTTTATTTAAGTACTTAGTTTAATTTTAAATTAGCTTAAGTTTAATACACAATTTGCTTATAATTAGTAAAAAATCTAATATTATAAAAATTTAAAATAAAAAACTAATAGCTAAAAAAGTTTAATAAAAATTAATTTTTTTAAAAATATTTTATGCTTTTACTATTAATATAATTATAATAGTATAAAATACTATAATGCGCTAAATCCCTGCATTTAAAATTTATTTTACTTTTAGTATAGTTTAAAACTAAAATATATTATATAAAATATCTGCTAGTTTAATAATAAAATAAATTTTTAAAAAAAAGTATATAAATAGTGCAGTTTTAGTTTATACTAAAATTAAATTAAATATTTATTTAATATATTTTTAGCAGAGCAAAGGCTATATATATAAAATTTTATTTATATAAATTATAATACTGCTATATATTAACTTGTTATCTAGTAATAGGATAATATATTTATAAATTTAATTTAATATTAACTTATTTTTAATTAAATTACTATTTAAATACTATTTAAAAATAATTAGTACTATATTATATATACTAGCTACTAGGCCTTAGCTTATACTAGCAAATACTAATTTTTCTGCTTAAATTTTATATATAACTTAAAAGTTACTTTTTTCTATAAATAATTTTTAAATAGCTAAATTTTATTTTTTTATAATATATATGTAGTTGTTAAACAGAATACTACAATTTATAATAAATATAGTAAGTTTAATTATAAATTTATTTTAAAATATACTAATATAAAAGAGAAATTGATTATATATAAAATATAAAATTAATTTAATTTTTTAAAAATTGCTACTCTAATATTAGCTTATATATGCAGTATTTTTATATTTTTATACTAGTTAATATTTTACAATTTTTATTTATATTATTAGTATTTTATAAAATTTATAATTACTTACTACTTCTACCTACTAAATGTCTAAAAAAACTTACTCTAAAGCTAGCCTAAATTATTAAAAATATTTAAAATTTTTAATTAAATATAAGTATAATTTTAAATACTTTTTAGTTACTATTTTTAATTAAATTAGCAACTTTTTTTTAAAACTTTTAGTTATTAAACTACTTAATTAAGTTTAGCAAAAAATTAATTATAAAAGTTTATTTTAACTTTTATAATAAAAATAAATTATACGCAATTATTTAGAAAAAATATTTAACTACTTAAAAAATTAGTGCTTATATTAATAGAGTAAAATTAAAATAAAAAACAGAAAAATACTTTACTAACTTAGTACTATTTTAGTTTAATATTAGATTTAATATAAATTATTAATAATTATATCTAGTATATTAAAGATTTTTTTTTTAATAGTTGCAATTTATAAGTAATCTACTTTACTTAAAAGCAATTTAAACTACTTTAAAATAAAATATATAAGCAGCTTAATATAGATATAAATTATAAATAAATAATAAACTTTAGTATTAAAAAAGTTATATTTGCTATATATATTTATAAACTAAATAAATATATGCGCATATAATTTAATTTAAATTATTTTTAGCTTATAATATATATAGTGCATACATTTTATTGCGCGTTTGTAAATAAAAAAATAAAAAAAATATATTTAAAATTATTTATAAAAGTATTTAAAACTATAAAAAATAATAGCTTTTTTATTTAGTAGTAATATTTTAATAAAATTAAGTTTAAGCTAGTGCATATAAATATATATATTAAGTAGCTACTAAGTATAAGTTTTATTTTAAATTTAACCTAGTACGCTTATAAACTTATTAAGATTTAGCAACTATTTAAAGCAAAGTATAAATTTATATAATTAGCTTTTATATTAGCAGACTTTTTAAATTATTATATTTTACTATATATATTTTATAAAAAGCATTTAAAAGTTAACTTAAAGTAGTAACTAAACTTATAAAAATATTAACTATTTTTTTAAAAATATTATATTTTATAAAATAGTAAAAAATTATAATAAGCTTATTAGCTGCATCAAATATATAGTTTACTTTTAAACTAAACTAACAAAAATTTAATATTATAATAAAAAACTTTTTTAATAGCAAAATTGCCTAGTAGACTATAAATAAAAAAAACTACTATGCTTTTAGTTTTTACTTAGCTAAATTTAAGATTAAACTAAAAATATAAAATAGTGCCTATTAATAAAATAATAATTTTAATAAGCAGAATTACTTTTAAATAAATATAATTAATTAATATCTACTTTTACTTTAAGCTATTAAAAAGTATAAATTTAAATATAACCTGCATCTATTTAAAACTAATTTTATTTAATTTTAAAATAATTAATAAAAGCAATAAAAACTAATATAAAGCGTATAATAATTTTAGTATTGTATTATTATATTACTATAAAGCTATTAGTAACTGCGTTATTGCAAATTATAAAGCTAGCTATTTATATTTAAACTTATCTAAAATTTATTTTAATACTAATATTATTAAACAAATAGAAGCAGCGTAACGCGCAGTAATAAAAGTAAAATTATAAAAATAAATTAAAAATAATTTTAAATAATAATATAAATTTTTTATATGCGGACTTACTAGCTTTACTTATTATTTAATACTATATATTATTAACAGGTACTATGCAACTAGTTTAAATTTAGAATTATTTTTAAAATAGCTTTTAAAGCTAGTCTTGTACTAAAAAATAAAAGTAAAAAAAAAAATAAACTAATTTTTAAATTAATTTTAGTCTTAATATTAATAGTTTAAAAAAAATTATTTTTTATATATAAATTTAGTTTAATATTACTTAAAAGTAGAAAGCGCAGTATAAAAAAGTAAAATAGCTACTTAAATTATAATTTAAATTATTTATTATATTTAATTTTACTTTACTTACTTTTTGCAATATAGTCTTACTACTTTAAAAAAAAATTTTTTTAGAACTTTTTTAGTTAAGCTATAGTTTTAACTTAAAGTAATAATAAATTAATAGCTAATACTAAAAAGCTATATAAATAAAAAAAAAAGCAAAAATTAATAAATAAAAAATTAAAAATGCAGAAAAAAAACTAAGACTAATGCTAAAAATATAAAAAAAAAGTCTAAATATTGCGCTATTTTTTAAGTAATAGTTATATATTTAATTTATTTTTTAATAATAGCTAGATTGTAACTAAGTAATATTTTAGCTTAATTATAATTTAAATATAAATAATTTATTAAAATATGTATTTAATATACCTGCACAGTAGCGCTTTAGTACAATTTATTTATATATTAATTAATTTTTGCGTTGTAAGTAAAAATTTTTTTTTTTTTTTTAATTATAATGCAATTTTAATTTTAACTTTATTTAAATAGTATTTAAGTACTAACCTAGTAAATTATACTATACTAATATATATAATAGCGCCTTATAATTTTATTATACTTAACTATTATATAAATTAGACTAGTTTAAAATTAATCTAGCTTTTACTAATAGCTACTAAAGTCGCATACTGCTTATATAAAAAAACTATATTTTGCTTTTTAAATTTTT